CATCGGCTGTTCCCGTGGACGACCCAAGGCACGTGTGGGGGTGACCGTGACTAGACACAGTGCGAGTACTCTAGAGTCTTCTCCAGAGTATTCTCCAGAGTATTCTCTAGTACTTTGTACTCTCTACTCTGCACTCTCCCCGCTGCTCAGCTGCCATACTGTTCACTGGCATTCCTGGCAGCAACCACCGTACACCCGACCACATCGGCCCCCACAGCTGACCAGCGCTGGCCCCACGGCTCGCCGTCCGGGCTGATTGCCCTCCGCCACTCCATCAGGTACGGCTGCGACTGCACAAGCTGCGACACCCCGCGCAGAGAAAGCACCTGCGTAGTGTGATCGTTCACGCTCAACGCAAGCTGCAGCAGATCGCGCCGATCCTGATCCCACCGCACAATCCCATTCGGCATCAGAATCCGACTCTCCGTGCAGGGCGCTTCACGCGCCGCTTTGTCGAGCACGGCGGTCCCGAAATCGAGCGCTTCGCTGGCGTATACGATATGGAACTCGGATCCGCTATTTGCGAGAATGACTAGTTCCGGGCGGTAAATGGAGCCACTTGGGCCAGAGTTGCTGCTGCTGCTGCTGCTGCTGCCGCAGATGCCGTCCAGATGGGTGCGTGAAAATCCGACCCAGAGAGAGATGTCCGGGTCTGACTCGTGGACTTGGATAAAGTTGGTTCCACCGCGCATTTCACCTCTGACTTCCGGATGGTTGTGGATCATTTCAGCAGGGAGTTCTTGCTTGAATGTCCAATCGCAGAGGCCGTGACGAATATGGCAGCGTAGAATCTGGAGAGGTTGTAGGCTGTAGACGAAGTTTAGATGGCGACTGGGCTGATGATATAGGGAAGATTCCGAGTGGAAGAAGGGCGCCCAGTTCTTCTCTTTGGGTCTCTGTACTTCGCCCCGGATTATCAAGGGGTTGGTTATATTCGTGAATGGTCGATGCACCCACATCGCCCGGCGCCCGTCATCCTTTTCAGAGAGCATGTTGAAAATGACCACAGGCTCAGCGCCTGGTACCCCATCTTCGATAATCACTCGCGGGTCTTCCGGCCCGATGAATGCACCACCCTCGTTCCATATAACGGGGATCTCAAGCATGTGGGGGAAGGTAATATGCTCCTCATCCCAGTCGAGTGTATAGTTGTCCAGGTGGTTCCATAGCGCGTCGAAAACACGCCCACGTAGGAAACTAATCGTTGGCTCGGCGAGGGTTCCCGAGGGATAGTAAACCACCCGAGTGACGACGAAATAAACCTCATACTCCGAAAGCCAAACACCCGAACCAGGCAATTCCACCCAGTTCTTCGCAACGAAATCCTCGAGAGTTAAACCCTGGGTCTTCAGTGCAATATCGAGCTGTGGGTAACCCGTTGAACTTTCCACTGCCTGCGTCAGATTATCCGGCAATAATAGACTCGGCAACACGCCCAGTGTGGCCGTATGCCGACGCTCGTCACAGCCCGCCGTCGATCTCAGGTACCCCATCATTATGGAATCCCGGAACAGTCAATCTTTCGAAATCCGGTTTCGCCGCCAGGGCCTTCACGGCAGAGAGATACCGGTCCACGGATCCCGGTGTCACGACAGGGTCCTGGGCGTGTTAGCGGAGTGATCCAACGTCATTTTTTGAATACCAGGTGATCGCCGCCATACCTGAATAGGTGTGAGGTGCAGATAGGTCTTTAGTAGCCAAAACGCAAGAATGACGCCAATGGCGCTGGCAAGGACATGGCGTATTGACCGGGGTTTATGCCACATCTTCCAATTAGGGCTTTTCTCGGTAGATACCATGTAGGGTTGGGCGGATACTAGCACTTCCTGCGGTCTGGATTGGAGCAAGGGTATGCCTAGTATGCGATAGAACATGCAAAAGAGGACTAGAGATCTAGGCGATCCACTACTTAATATAAGAGATGCCTCTCATTTGCTCGGTATGTTCATCATGTCTGAATTGGTTGAAAAGACGCCCACGCTGGTTCCTGTTCACCGCTTATGGAAGCTCTCTTGTGTAAAGGGAAGACCGTACAATTTTTATTCGTTGACATTTCTGCATTCCTCGAACAATCCTATTCGCAGACGGTGGAATGTGTCAAAGCCCGCCTTCGGCGTGCGTGCATTCCACCCCATTCCCATGCGGGTGGCTGGCCCCACCGGCGTCAATTGTAGTATCGATGGCCAGAGTATTTGAACGATATGTAAAATTAGGCAAAATTTATTGAGGCCAATTTTCCTGATCTCCTGGTTGAAGGACACATATGCAGGTTGTCATAATCACGACTAATATTGTTTGTTTGTTCATTGTGCATACAATCAATTTCGAAAACTCCTGGGTATCCAAGTCGCCAGTCACACAGAGCATCCATCCAATCCGATGCCATTTAGGAAAATAATAGAACCCGAATCCGAATCTGAAATCTGACGATAATCTCTAGACTCATCTTCCTCGGCCATATTTACCCAGGCCTTCGATTTTCTTCGGAATGCTTTCTTCTCTGCTTAGCTTCACCGTCTCCAATCGGGTTCCGGGGTATAATCCGTATCGAACACCAATCTCTGTAGAAAAAAAAGTCTTCTCATCTGGTCCCATTTAACTTGTACTCAGATTCCCATTTTGCGTAAACACATCCTGCGCTGCGTGAAGGCCCCGATAGCACTGCTTCTAGCTCTCTCTCTCAACAAACTTATACTCTGCCAGACTTGAGAATCTGCTCCAGGTTTTCCCGGCTGTTTTTGTGTGTGGTCTCGTGATAGTGCAGCTTCTTCTCTAGGTTGGTGATTTCTGAGGATGCCTCGGAGCTCTCGCGGGTGAGGCGCTTGTTAACGGTATCGATGGGGACATTGACGAACCTAAAAAGAATATAATTAGCATTATCCAAAAAGGAAAGCAAAAAAAAGCAAAGCAACACGATCAATAGCCCCGACAAATATATTTGCGGGCAAAGGACTGGCCGATAAGAAAGGACGATAACATACATCTTGCCCACACCTTCGTATACCCTCGTTTCCGACGGCAACTCCGACAACTCTTTGGAGGTCAACTGCAGCATGCGGATATCGCGTTGCTTGGCTGTCATTTGTGCTTTGGTAATACCCATCTGCTGTTGTGAAGCAAGGGCGCGTGTCTCGATCTCTTGCAGGAGCTACGGACGCGTTTGTTAGCAGTTGGATCGGATTGGTCGGGGCTCCGCCCAACGGATTGCGTTGCCATTGGATTGAAGCTGGAGCTGGGCTCGGAGTTACTCGTCGCTTACCTTCTGCAGGGCTTCATTGGGAATCGACATCTTGTTTGTTGGGAAGGAGGTTTGTTGGTAGGGTTGGTCGTGATAGCTTTTGGATTCGTGGAGGGGAGAGGTGCGGGGCAGGGTGCCAGAGGAGAGGGCGGGTTTTCGGAATGTATTTATGTTCCTGTCGGGGAACTTTCGGGGTAAGAGGAATCGAAGTCGGATGCGATGCGATTGCAGTAACGAAAGGATCGAGAGAATCGACTGTCGGTGATGGCGTCCCAGTCTTGTCGTCGCTTTGGCGGGCCTGGGCGGTGGGCCAGACTGAGGGCGGTGAGAGTCTATGGGTACGGGCCCGACTTAGGGCAAGGTACAGACGACAGCTGTCGCATTACAAGTTGATATGTTGTCTTTCTGCGTCATATCATTGTATTTGGCCTTTGCTGTTATCTGGGCTATTGTGAACTGTTTGAATTGGTTTCTTCCATCTGGAATCACTCCGGCTACCCAGGCATTATGACACAATGCAATGTTTGACCATGGCTGGTCATCATTTTGCGCCACTGGCTTGAAGAATCATTTACTATTTTACAAAGACTTCCAAAAGACCGTGTGTTTCTATTAGATACATAATATTAGACCCATGTGATAGATCTTAGAAAATATAATAGAACGTAGGAACAAAGGTTAAAGCTGCTACCTAACAATCTGTAACTGAATATAATCTAGTGCTCCACATTTGGTCAATCGTTCCTTGAGTTAAAGTAAATTTACGGGGGATATTTGATAAGCCCCTTCTTAATACCGGATAGAGCTTTCAAAAACAGAATGATAGAGATATCACAGTTATTATAGTCAATGAAACTAAGCGGTGAAATTGAGGCCTTCGTAGGCAATCCTTCATGGCTCAGAAAGAGATTCAGAGAAAGCGAATCAGACCAAGAAATGGTATTTTAAAAGAAACAGCATAATAATCAAATTCAGTTTTGAATGCTTCTATACTTGTAAGTCCAAAGAGAAAATATCACCGAAATCTAACTAGCCAGTGATGATCAAAGCTTGTCAAAGCCAGTTTCAAGTTTATTTTCATTCCTTTTTTTATAAAGTTTTTCTCTCCGGGAGATGTACTCAATCCAACAATATACTCATTCAAGTTTGCAATGACAAAAGAAATCTGAGTTGGAGAACACAATTAAATTGCATGTGCATTGAAAGGATAGAAATACTATTCCACCCACCTCTTTAAGTACCAGAAATCTAAAACGCAGAAGCAAAAAAGTCCATCCATACCTAGCCATAAATCTAGAAATTCTGCGCCCAGCACTCCAAGCAGATACAGACCGACAGGATGCCTCCCAGGAAGCAAGAATGATTTGGAAGAGGATACAGAAAGGGGCAAGAGACAACATCAAAGAGGAGTACAAACTGGGAAAAAAAATAGATATCATAGTGGAGACAGAAGATAAAAGGGCTGAAGACAAAAGAGACAATGGGAATAGAAAAATGGGAACCACAAAACAAAAATAGGAAGGTATGAAACAAAAAAAAAGCAAAGCATCCAATTGTCCAGGACACCAAAGCACCTAAACTCCCAATCCCGTTCGGGCTTTGTTCCACAAAGCTCACCGGCGTAACCAACATCTGAAAACAAGCGGTGCTCGGCCAGAAAATGAATGTCGGTCAGCCTCATTAGATGTGCAATTCGGTAGATATGGACCTTTTCTTCATGAGTCATCTTCGATCATGGGTATCATTCTTCCGCTGGCATAATTTAGAAGCCTGAAGGGGCAGGGTTATCCATGTATTCCCATGACTCTCCTATGTAAGCCGCCGGGCTAGAGTGACCAGAAGGCATCGAAGTGGAGATGTAACTGGCATCCTCAAAGCCATAGATATTAGCCGGTGACACAGCGGCATGTTCATAGGTGGCTTGATGATTCTGATTGTACTGCAGCAGCTGCGGATCCATGTGCTCATTGTTGAGGTGGATTGGAGGAGGCTGAGAAGCTTGGCAGAGATCGTCATGACTGCCACCAGGAATTCCATTAATTCCGCTGGGCATATCGCTGGGCATATCCTGAAGTCCGTGAATATCATATTTCACGTCACTGTCAAAGCTGGAGCCTTGTAGCATCCCGGGGTGGATAGTAGGCAGGCTGGTAGGGAGACTCTGTGAGGGAAAGCTCGTGTTCCAGCTTCCATCATAGCTTGATGTGAGGGTTGGTGGGGGTGGTGGTAGCTATCAAATGGAGTTGAAGATCGGCTAGAGATCTCAAAGCTCTGTGTGCGGCGATGCAGGTGGGGTGGTGCCAGTGAGAATTCAGGCTCAAGGTCATCCCATTCAGAAGGACTACCCAGAGTACCAGCCGCCGAGACCGAAGAACGAGGAGGAGTAAGTTCAATTTCTGTTCGTCGCGCCACTCCATTGTCTTTCTTAGGCTGGAACTTGTATCCGGGGAAAGCGATTGCATGGTTTGATCGCTCAATGCGCGACCATTCGTTGAACTGGTCTTTGAAGCGCGCCGACTCCAGCCGCCAACTCGCACCTATAGCCCTGGAAATCTCTTGGTGGTTTTCCATGCCCAAATACTCCTTACAACGAGCAGTGTAGGCAGATCGATAGAGCATAAAGGCATTCATGGGGCGAGCAACTGCCTTGTTTCCGCTCAACCCTCTCACTCTGGCTTCTTCAAGCCGAGTCGGTGTTGGTCGGTTCACGTGGGCCTCCATATCCCGGACTGGGACATCTGTGAAATTGGCGGTAATTTCAGACAGAGGCCCTGGAAGGGCGATTCTTGCCTTCGGTCCACTTGCGGTATTTCTTTGGCTACGGCCACGTTTCTCTTTTGGGGTGCGAGTGGCTCTAGCCTTGCTTCTGGTTGAGCTCTTTCGAGAAGGTGACGGCGAGTATGGGGGTGATGCAGATTGAACCCTCATTGGAAGATCTGCCCCCATGATGTGTGGGGTATGAGCCTGGTTATTAGGCATTATTGGGATCTGTGCATTCAATATACATTAGTTTGGCGAGATACTTTTGGTTAAAGGGAAATAACTTACCGGGTGTGAAGTAGGAATGTGCGGGTAATATTGCGGGGGAGAGCCATATAGCTGGTAGTTATTGTTAGATAGGATTCTATGAGAGATGGATGCAATATGGCAAAACGTGGAACTCACCATCTGGGGTGGGGTGCTCGGGTCAAACTCTGCAGCCATCGGAAATTGCTCCATGCTGTTGTCAATCAGGCCGTATGTTGGTGAATAGGCAGAGTGAAATTCTCCCTCTAATGAAGTAGGTGGAGAGGGAGGAAGGGCTGAACCTTCTAATTTTTGACTGGCCATGATATGATGAGTGGGCTGTGAGAGATAACAGGCCAGGAAGGAAACGCAATGAGAATCCGATGGAGATATCCGGGAATCTAGTACTGGTAGTTGACCTGACCGATTTGTAAGATAGCTCTCAAGCAGCAAAGATGGAAGAACGATAGAGGAAGGCTTCCAGAAAGAGCAAAGAAGGAGAAGAAGAGAGAAGGTAGATGGCGTTGATGTTGTCCGACGGTGAGAGGCGGTCTCAAATCTAACGTGAAAGGAATAACACGTTCTCAGACAAGCCGGGAAGGTGAAGGGCCAAGTGAGACAAGCAGGAGAGTCAGAGGCCAATAAATAACGGGAGGTACCCGAGAAGAATGTTGAAAGGGAAGAACTAAGAAGAAAGTATAGTTCGAGAGATGAGGTCCACCGGGCGGGGCAGATGAATAAATAAGAAAGATCAGATCAGATTCTCTGCAATGGGGAAAAGGAAGATGAATTGAGAGGGAAGAGAGTGGAGAGAAGAACTGGCGAGGAGGGGTGTTTAATGGGTGCTGCGGCAGAGGCCCGTTGATGCTTGCAAACACCCGCCAGAGAGGCTGAAACGACGAAGTGAACCTGGATACAATACGATGGCGTGAATCTATTTTGTCTAGGCGTGTCCTAGCGCGGGTTCATGCAATTAGAATTCTTTTATTTTAATTTTAATTTTGGAAATTATCATTATTTTTATATTTATTTTTCTGTATCAGTTTTTGCCTCTTTATTATCCAGTTTCGCACTTGACCGAATTTGGTGGTACCTCCCCCCTCCACTCCTCCACTCCGGGGGGGAGCACGCTGGAGAGCCCCGGAGAAGGAAGGATGGGGGCGCACCTGTATCGTGCCCAGGTAACTTACTCTTGGCGTTTCTTTCAATCGAAGAGTAACCGTTCAGCCGTTTTTTTACCATTGGTCTATTTTTTTCCTTCTGATTATTTGATTCGCCAGCCCTTTGATCTTTTTTTTATGCTTTGGGACTCTTTTCTTTATGTGGCATTTTCATTCTCCCCGATCAACATGGCTCAGCCCATCCATAATATGACACCTGCGCTTTGTACTAATTATGGACAGCAGACATAGAAGACATTGCCTCAACTGTGGGGCTTTGGGGCACTCTATGAAGAGAGAAAAGAAAAGGAACAGAGAATTGTTGTAGAGAACAAAATAGAAATTCTTGACTACTCTAGGGTAGCTAGATCCATCTAGGTGAAATATTGGAGTGGGTGATAACGCCCGGTATGGAACGACCATGGGAGGGCTCTCTTTTTGAAAAAGAAAATAAAACCCAAGCCTCGCTCCACGACCTCTAGGGATACCATAGGTCGAATGGAAATTCAAGAAGGGGAACGAACGGCCCAGGGTATTGAAATTGGTGGATCATTCGGATGCTTCCCCAGTCATACTGAGAAGACTAAACCTACAGTTCTGACAGGGGGATAACTAGGCGAGGCTTGAGTCGTACATACGTACTTGGAGGAGGGGGGTAATGGCGCCTACACTACCACAAAAAAGCAATCATGGCAAATAGCAAGCGGCAAATTTTGGATGATGCAAGCACCCTGATGAGGTTATGCATCGAAGCCAATTTCACATACAAACCTAGACTTGTCTGTGATATCCAGAATTTTATTCCATGTGATGAAAGTTGTATCCTTTTAGGGCAATAAAGTAATTTTTCTTTATTCTCATTTGGGATTTAGCCCGTAGTTCCTCATCTCTGCCGCAGCCCTAGTTGATGGGGCCAGCGGTAGGAAAGTCGAGGGAGGCTAGGAAATGCGCCAATGATGATGGAGATAGTCCGAGAAGTGCCCCAGTCTGCAAGTCATTGTAATAAACGCCAGATTTTCGGAGATGGGGCTGTAATTCAATACGGTATTTGACTGGGGAAACTAGTTAGTTCCTGGAGACGCGCGAAGTTGATGGTTGATGGTTGATGGGAGAAGCCTCTCCCCTACAGGTCGAACCATTGATTTAGCGAGTAATCCAGGATCATCTACGAGTACTCCCACGGCCCTAAGCAACGTTCCAGACCACGAACGGGATGCTAGGTGGGATCTGACGGGTTTGTCCATCTCAATCTCTAACCATGGTTTCTCACTGAGGCGGCAGTAGCAGGGCAAATCATGCTTCGTTGGGGAGAGGGAGAAGTTGATTCGGCCGTTAGAATAATTTACTGTAGAGCATAACAATATTCGGCGACCATAGGAGACCCCGCGAGTGGGGAGTATGGCCCGTCCATCTCCGCTATAGCTTGGTGGAGACGATCACTCCTGATTGACGTGTGGGTCATTTTAGTCATTTTACGGTCACGATCATCTGAGCCAGCGCCACCTGAACAGTGATTGGTGTGAATAGACGGACGGCTGAGGAGTCCGGCAGGCCTGGACTGGTCACTCATGATACGCTTGCCCTCGTTTGGTCTTAGTGGGATTACCCGTTTGCCTATCGCGGAGAAGAAAAGACTATCGATGTTGAAACGGATATTGGATCGAGGTTGGGGGATTTTAAGTTAAAGTAAAGCTCGGCCGAGGACGTACGAATTTCCCGCTGTCCAGCGTCGATATTCACCGTTGGCACAGATTCTACCAAAACAGTTTCTAGAACGAATCCTCTCTCTTCGGTGGTTAATTTTAAATTATTATCTTTCTCCACAGATTGAGCGTGACCTGCGGCGTCTAGCGCTACTGGAACCAACCTTGTAGCATCGCCGGATTTGGCCTAGAGTAAGGCGATACCGACAACCCCTGTAGTAATTAATATTTTATATACACTGTCTGGATGTCTTTGTTTTCCGCCTCACTATGCTAATTCTACTGAGGAATGGGCCAGGATTGCGGTGAGCCCTGCCAGCATAAGTGGATGAACGCTCTGGGGGTCAGTTCGATCGCAATCATTGCCCCTCGTGGCGTCCTCACTTGCGCCCGGCCACGTTTTTTTGATCCCTGTGATACTCCACTGTGAGATATTTCTTTGTCTGTCCGGCATTTGCGAGGATCATGGTGAACTCTGCTGCCATGTGGTCCTGCAAGGATGGGAGGCGCAGTGCGGCCCCTGCAGTAAGGTGCGCACTACCGAGCAGAGTGGCCATCGCAGACTGGAGGATGAGTCCCCAGCCTCTGCGCTTCTGCTGGGTGGAAATCCTGCTCGCTGAGCCTATCTGGGGCCCCTCTGCGGAAGTACCTTTTCCGGAGTAAGAACTCTACCACATATACCCGGGGACTTGCAGCGGTTCGACAGCAGTCACGAACCAATACTAGAGCCTCCGACATCAAATATCCATCTAGTACAGGATAATTCCATGATTATCATGCCTCAACGCCTCCTAGCCAACAGCCCCTCCTTCTCTTTGGTTCTTCTTTCCTGGAATCATTCCAAATTACATCTCTTCAGCCAGTGAGCGATTATTGGGGAGGTTATGGCGGAGGGCACAGGCCTTCCGACCCAGAATTCAGCATCTACAAACCCTGTAGGTTCCCCTCTCGCTACGGAGGAGAAAGAAACACGATTGACAGCAAGGATATGCCACCAGCAATTCCCGTAAGCATGCATCTACTTACTCTGTCGGTAGGCCTATCGATCCCACTGTTCCTGAAGAGCACCAGCTCATGAATCTTGGGGTTAGTACCGTATACGGCATGCCAAAAAACAGCATCCTCTAAAATTGATTCTGCGAGATCCTTGCACAAAATCCCTGCCATAGCCACCATATTCATCTGGGCGTAGCTAATTCTGGAGTCTTGCCTCTGGTTCATTGTCCTAACCTTGATACCATACGTTCCAAAGTAGACTCGATTATTCAGGGGATTTCATTCACGCTATTGCAAAAGCTCACGGTGGTTATTCTGGTATTCTCTAGCAAACATGAAGGAAGATCTTCAGAGCCGGGTGGATCTGTCGGGGAGCAGCCGTCAACATTACGGGTCTACCATGGGATGGCTCCATATGATGGCCCCGCTGCAACGTGCTCGTCGCTTGGGCCCTCGATTTAGACTTGAGATGACATCCTTGCCAATTTGGTAATTCCAAGCCTCCCTATGCCAGATAAGGCTCTTTCTAGTTCTGCCCGGGAACCCATTTTTGTCACGTTCGAGGTAATCCGGGGGGGTCCTACCGCTCAAACCGTGTAAACAACCACTTGGAAAGCTGAATCTAGCGAACATCCCTGCGTTTCTACGGCCATTGCATCGTACACAACTTGGGTCTAGCACCGCTCGGATGTTATTGCTTCTGCGTTTGGGTCAATGAGCCCCCGCCCCTCGATGAACCATCGTTCGATTTCCTGGATGCTACTCTCGAGCCCTGCCATGATCTTCGGGTTATGGCCCCCTCCCTGTCATATTCTATTGACGTCCCGGGTAGTCGGCTGTGGGAACCTGCCAAGGCTTACAATGCATCCCTCTATTCGCTGTCGTGGTGATCGTTGCATTCTGTCCCCTGTCAGACCAGTGCATCAATGAGATTCAGTCAGAGGGATGGGCCAAAGTAGGCGCCACTCTGACCAAATACTCGCACTCTGACCGCCTCTTTTCCCTGAAAGGCTCTTTCACAGTCGAATTCCCAGCCACGAAGGGCCGAAGACAGAGTTTATAGAAAAGACAAATTCTTCGTCGCTACTCCTAGGCTGATTCCCACTGGCATCTCTATGATATATTTCTGCAATGAGTCTTCAGTGACCAGAACTTGAACTTCAAGTTGTCAATCATTTCATGATCGTGAGAAATGCATTCCTCTACTACCAGTACTTCTCAATCTCTCTGCTATCTTATTCCTATCTGATGAGTTCATGCAGTAGAAAAAAGCACTATACGTCCAGCTGAGTACCGCATGTATAGCTGCAGTTCAAGAACATATTCCTAACCACCTTCTTCTCTGGGAGATCACCACGTGTTTTACGACGTGGGTCAGAGAATCCAACAGTGATGCAAGTCTCACAATTGGCTGCAGAGGCGAGGATCACCTGTCAGCGGGCACAGTCAATCTGCACCAGAGCGGCTAGCGCGTATATTCATATCATGTCTCCTTATTGACTGGGTTCCGGGCCAGTCGGTGTGCTCTCCACCCTGCAGGCTAACAAGCCGTTGATTCTCCTCCTCATTTCTGCTGGTGGATCGCGCTCACCGATCTTACCAGGCAGCGTGGAGCCAATAGTCTGCTTGTAACTGTCGATCCTCAGTCATCGACCACGATCACATTCGTGAGTTCTCAAAAATGACACCCGAACAGGCAAACGTAGTCACCCGTCCTTTCCCTAGCACGGTATTGTATCTGAGAATACGCAGTCCATCTGGTCAGGACTTCACCAGGCAGCTTATCTCCCTGGGAGACTTTTCCCTGTTTGAAACTGATGTAATGATGCATTACGTATCCTGTCCATCAATCCATTTGCCGAGGAGAGAACCCTGGTCAATACCAGTCGCGCTTGGTTAGGTATGATGATGGTATCATTATCCTTAACTTTGCGGAAGACGCGGGCGGAAGCAGTTGGGCAGCCAGTGGGTTAGACCACCACCATCCATGGATGAAAATTTAAACGTTGACTCGCACAAGTTAACGCAAGGAAGGGTGACATATCACTACTGATTCGTGTTCCACCGCAAGCGGCGCGGGCAATTAATTACTACGAGAAAAGGGGAGAAATGAACGCATCATGTCTCCGATACGATGAATGTACTATACCCCAGAAAGGCTAGGACCAAGTGTAATATTCTGTCAAGGCACAGTCAATTTTCCCTTTTCGTCACTTGTCCCGCCTTTTAGCTTCCACTTTGCCCGCAGCCCACGCAGGTCATTTGACCCGGAGAAGCCGAGCCCTACGAAGCTCCAAATGGAGCGAGCGAGACAAGGGCCATATGAGAAAAGGAAAAATGCGGTTTCTAAGCACCATGGTACCACACGGACCATGGTGCTATCCTATGGGCGATGTCTAAGCACGTTTCCCCGGATTATCACGCTTTGCCCTTCTGCTCTCAAGAGGAAAACGATCGACCAGCAAACTTTGTTGCCGTGGAGAATCAAGAAAAGCTATGTCATGGTTTGGAGGCATCCGTCTCATCAATTACATACTCCCCGAGCTACCCCGAACAGCACAAGAACTTGAATGATCGAGCGGAGAGGTGGTCCACTCCGTCGGAGGGGCCGAACGAGTAGTATGTAACCTTTCTGGTGCCGCTTCATACCGAGTTCGGGCGATGGGCTACCTCCCGATACTCAATCAACCCCCCCTACTCGTATGCTTTTCAGTGGCAACTTGCAAAAGCCTCAAGGGACCATTGGGGTCTCAGGTCTTGTTTTCGCTATCCCCTATTGCCTGCCTACCATTTCGAGTTTAAGTTGGCATAAGCCGGTTGCCTTCCCTGCAAAGGACGATCATGATGATCTGGACGACTAAAGGCAATCGAGTAGTCAAGTCAGGGGCGCTCATCACCCATAGATAGCTTAGGACTTGACAGGACCGAGCCACGGTTGGCTGACGCCGTAGGGCTGCAATAGGATTTAACGTAATGCAATGCTCTTCAGTATACGGAATAGTGAAGTCCAAGTACAGAGTAAAGACCTTGGAGTTTGGGTGCACTTCAGTTCCTCGTACTCTCACTCGTATTCTACAAAAGGCAGGAGCCTGATGAGTAGCTTCAAATGAGGAACAAAAAGTGAATGCGATTGTCCCTAATCCACGACCTGTGATATTTCACGCAAACTAGTCCATCTGAAGTTCCTGATGAGGGTCCTGCAGCGGCTGGTGTTGGGGAGTGTGACAAATACTTTTGTTTTACCCCCTTGCCATATCCTACCGTTTGCCGCCCAACATCAGACTAGGCGCATTTAGTGGGGGTGAGTCGCGTTAGATGCGTCGGGCACAGAGCTCAACGCCTTTACTACTTTCTTGGCAAGAAAAAACAGCGTGTGTGGATTTGAGTTGAGCACAGTTATTGCGTCAACCAATGCCTTGACCATGATCTTCCCGTGGCAGCGCACGCGCCCTGGAACTTCATAAGTGGACGGGCAGGATAGCTGGATCCATCGATTAAGATAAGCTGCATGAGAAGAGCGCGGAGTGGAGTCTGTGGAGTCTGGTGTTTAAGGGAAAAGGGAAGGGGACGGGAAGGTAAGGGTCTGATCGTCTTAAACGGTTTTTCAAACTTTATACAGGAGTGAGAGAGAGAAAAAGGGGAGGGGGACAGCTTGATGACTGACTTGCTGCAACTAGTAAAGGACCGTGCTGATCCCACGATCTGTCAAACCTTCATTTTCTGGGGCGTCGATATGATGTACTCGATACATACATCAAGATATGTGTATCCATCCATCCCTTGTAACCTTGGGGTAAGAACTGGTCAATCTTGATAGTTGAGTGGCAAGCCAAATCCCCTTTTCCGCTTCTCTTTTTTTAAAAAAAAAATAAAAATAAAAATCTCCTGTATTCAATTAGCCGAGTAAATCGATCGAGTTGTGGATGACAAAAGTACCAGTTCACACTAACCTACACTCAATTTTCGGGGGATCTATGGATGTGATAGCCACCTAGGCATCCTCATGGCGAATATATCGAATAGGAAGCGTGTCAGATCGAGATGAGATCCACTACTGGCACTCAGCAATCCTCCGACCCTCCGCGGAGCATCGGGGAATCTTTGGACCGGACCAACCTCTATATCTCCGAGTCGGATACCCTTCGAATAGCCTATCCATGATCCCTTCGAATAGGCTTTCCCCTCGAATAAAGTTATCATGAGTCGTGTTCCCTCTACTGAGTGTAGACAGGTCTCTTAAACCTAATGTGGTGCGAAGTTAGTATTGGTCTGCATGAATTTAGACTCTACTCTCCGAGGAAATATTGGAAGATATTGGTGAAACCCAAATAAGACGAGTACCCTAGGGTAGGCCGATGACCTCGGGACCCCAAAAGAGATCGACACACCTTGGGTACTTTTTTGTCCAGATCTGTAGATTAAGCCATCCCTGAACGCGAAGGAGGATCATAATCTATTGGCGCACGAGTCATGCTAGATGGGGGAAATCTAGACTTTCCTTCCTCTTCCCTCTCCCCTCCCCCTAGATTCTAGTGGATTAGGAAATGGTAAAATTGGAAAATTGGAAAATATCAATTTGCGGTCCCGGGTACTCCGTACATAGTCGCCCAAATTTGCTCCAGGCAGCCTGGACGCCCAAGTGCCCAGTGATTGACCTATCAAGCCTGGCCAACAGCCGACTTGAACGGGAATTATACCCTAGCCTTACTGTCAGTGACGTGCATACTAGTAAATACTATTCCTTGCTTTGTAGTCCTTGTAACTACGTGGCACCCTGATACATACTACAACGAATATACACACAAAAGTCCTGTGTCCAATTCCCTTGTACCAACGTACGAGTATTAACTATAGCCCCCAAAGAAGGGGGGGTCACCACAGCTCGTGCCAAGAGTACTGTAGATCGCGCGCGCGCTCGCCTAATTAAGTTTACAGTAGATCCATCTCTTGATTAGTTAGTTCGCGCCGGTCGATCGCCCAAGTTCTTAGTTCCTTAACTGCGCCGAAACCATCCGGTAGGCCCCCAAACAACCCGTGTGATTTATCCACACCAATCCACGCCGTCGCCAACCAGTCTATCTGCCAAGTGGATCTCGATCCTGAAATGACGCCGGCCGTTTTTTTTTGGCTCCGATGTACATAGTATGTTGTACTCCGTACTCCGTAGCTAGTACAAGTAAATATGCCGTGCCGGCTGCGCCGAGGATCCACTGTGACAGGAAGTGAGGCTTTTAGGGGCGTGATATGATATGGTCGTGCATGATTAGCTCGACGGCGATCGATTCCGAGACCCGGTGGCGAATCAAAAAACAAAAATATCACTTCGAATTGATCGTCGGAGATGAGACATTGAACTACTAGTATTCGCGCCTTATTTTCGTTTCCTGTCACCCTGACGGCCTGGTTTATTATTGCCATTACGCGCTGGTACTGGTAATACGTAAGTCGTACTCGTCACTCAACCCGAATAGGAAATCCATACTATACTCCTAGTAGTACTCCTTGGCGAGAGACATCAACAACAGTCCTTCCTACTCAAGAGCTACTATAGTTCATTTTGCGGTGAGCATGAGAAAACACACGGAGATGGAAACTTCTATTAGAATACAAATGCCTAGATCTCAGCTACGCAGCAGACCGTCAAATACCGCCTCCGGGGCCATCTGAAAACGCCCAATTTCCCAACCATCTTAATGCAACTGTTGAACCAAAAAAAGGAGAAAAGGAAGTAGAAAACAGAAAGAAGAGAATACAAACGCCGTTCAGGCCAGAAATCCCAGGTATTCTGCAGACGATAACATGTAAAAGTCAAAGAAGAGTCTCCTATCTCGACGACATCGGCGACGTATCTCGAATCGCCGTCGTGATATGGATTCAGCTTCTTAATAGTCGCACAATTGTTTAAAGACAAAGGAAATGATGGCGGACACGACCATAGTCCCATCACCAGCAACATGAAGTCAAAATGATCGATCGATCGATCGGCTCCGCCGGGGTAATGACTCCGGATAATGGCCATTCGTCCATAAAAATCGTAACGGTTTCGGTGTCAATAGGTTAAATGAACTTCAGTCAAAGCCTGCATTGCTACAGGGGTTCCTGCCAAACGCCTGTTTCAACCGCAACTTGGCACTTAGAAGTGTCGAAATCGACCAGAACAGAATCCGGCTCAGGACCACTGCTTTCGACCGAATTTATGCATACATTGCTTTTTGGGACGAGATTCGTTGTGTTTTGTATTTGCATCCCTTCATACCATTACTGCCGATGATCCTGATCCCCATGTTGAGGAGATGGGACCGGATCTGGCAATTGAGAGGTTGCTGCCGGGCCCAAGGAAGGAATTCGGTTGATAGATGGGGATGACATTGGATGCGCCTGGCCATTAGAGGGATAGTGGTGCCTGATTGCATTCTCCCTTTGTCTGCGTTCCTCCTGCTCGGGTGTCATGCACTTCACAGGCGGTGGAATCGGGGCATCTGGTGAACTGCGGCCCATAAGCTTAGGGCTAGGGTCTAACCTGTGGAACGGTGGAAGAATCGGGGCACCTGCCATAGCGCCGGAGGTAAGAGGACGAGGAGACTGCTTGGTGGGGCTGATACCAGACATTCCGATGCCGTGTGAGCTTTGAGGGGGGTGAGGAGTGGTTGTGGTTGCCGTTGGGAGTTGCGGCTGCTGAAAAGGACGGATAGTTGCTGGACATGGCAAATGTACCACCATGTCCAGACTGGGGCCGGGGAGTCGTGTAGCTCTGATTCTGGTTTTGGAAAGGAGACCAAGAACCGGGTCCATTGGCAGGCTGCTGAGAGGGCGGGAATCCTGCTAAAGGACCAACTTCGTGGTTGCCTTGAGTGGGTGACATAGATGGTCGGTTTTGGATGGCACCGTGGCCAGAGTGAGAGGACGAAGGACGAGCAGACTGAAATGAACCAAATGAAGGAAGATGTGGCCCAGGTTGCATCGGTGGCAGAGAGACACCATTATGAGTAATTCCAGGCAGCGGTTTCATAGAGGGATATGCTGGGGCGTCCATACCTTTGGACGGGGAGAAAGAAGGCCGAGAAGGACTGGAAGATGGGAAAGATGATTGGTTTGCAGGGTATTGACGACGCTCCGGGGACGGAGGGACGTAGTACTGGGCTCGCGCAGGGACCGGTGGGAGATGGGGTTGTGTCGAAGCTTGGGCAGCTGAAGGTCCATTCTGGAGACTGGATAGAGCGGCATGGGTCTGCTTAACAGGGGATGGAGGAACAATGTTATCCTCTACTGAGCGCTTTGTTCCCGAGGAGGAGCCGATGACGGCGATGCCGATGTGCTGAGTCTGAATTTCAAAGGGGCGATTTTGGGCTTCTTAGCTTCTTCCTCCTTGCGCTTGCAGTCACGGCAAACGAAGTGGAAATCTTCCTTCTCGGCATCCTCCTTAGAGATACCAAGACAGCTGCTGTGTTGCCAAACATTGCATTTCTCGCACGCGACACTATGGCTTCCATCGTCCTAGTCGAGATGTTAGATGGTTGCTTTTCTTTTCTCTAGCCTTGGTTTCAACTCACCAGATTTTCCCCGTACACTCCACACCCAGAGCAGTCGAAGACCCACTCGTCTTCTTGAACTAAATCAGCCAAATTCTTCTGCATCTTATCGCGCTCGGCTTTGAGATTTCGTGCAGAGATGCGGCCCTCGCCACGCTCCAATCGCTCTTCTTCTATCTTGAGCTTATCCATCTCCTCTTGGTGGAGAATCCGCTTCTGCTCGCGATCTTTAGTGCGCTGCTCGCGAGTCATCATACGAGACTGTCGCTCAACCTCCAATTGTTGCTTTCGAGACTGTTCCCGGCGAGCCTCAGCAAGTGCATTTTCATGCTTTCGGGCGGTCTCTACAGCGTCACGGTCGGATCGTTCCTTCTCCTCCTTAGCAGCAAGACGACTGGATCGCTTGGCACCTGCAAGAAGTTGCATGTTGTGAAGCTCCTTCTCACGCTTCTGTCGCTTGCGCTGCTGTGCCTCCTCGGCCTTCTCCAGGATTGGCAAGACATGCTCCTCGAGACGTTCACGTAGCTGTCTTTCGTCGGCATCCTTGCTCTTGCGGATTGTATCTATGAACTCTTGATACTCAGGGAGAGTGACAGCCACACATTCCCATTTATATTCAGAGGTAGATCCGTCGGTATCCTGGGCTTGACCCTCCTCGTCGGAGCCTTCTTCCACTGCAGCGGTCGAAGTGCGCTTCGAAGTACGAGATTTGCGAGAGGACCTGCTCTTCGGCTTCTTCTTCGGTCGCTGAGGGGCAGGAATGGCGGGTTCGGTTCGACGGTAGAGGCGGTTGTCATCTAAGACATAATAGGATCGGCCATCGCGGTCCCATCCAAATTCTTCGATGCGCTTGATGGTATTAGCACCTTTCTGCATGGAGGGAAATCTCTTTAGACAACAATGAATCACTCACCCACTGCAGTTGTTCGCTCTCCTTCTTCTCAGGCATCTTGTCGCGGATACGATCCTGGTTCCAGAATGTCCACACTGATAGTTGGTGGAGAACCCGCAGCTTCAGAAAAACATCGAAATCGAGGAATCGTAAGGGGACTTCATCTTGTCCGAAGGGGTTGGGTATGTCCAAAGCCTTCGCATTGTATTGACGCCGGGTATACTCGTCGAAGTTGTCGAACCTGCATTGCAGGGTTAGCATCCGCCATCCACTTTAATTATTGTACCATTCAACATACGTGAGTCCACGATGCGACGATATCCACTTCAGAAGACATAATCCAATCTCAAGCAATTTGTATGAAGGTTCGGGTTTCAGGCATTCGTCCTCTAGGTCCTGTGATTCAGAAAAAAAGATGTCAGGGTCATACTACTTTGCACAGGGGTTTTTGTGAGACAGTCCCATCTCCTCCATCAATGCGACATAATGCGCGACATGTTCGGGCCTTCTGAGGATAGCAATCGGACATACCTCGATTTCAAACTCGTTATCGATCTTCATGATTCCTCCAAAGATGGCGATGTATTGCATAAGACTGGCAAACTCCCAGCTATTCCGAATGCGCTGGAGAAGCCCAAGTTCCTCCGCAGGCTGTTTCTCAGTGGTAGCGACCGCCTCAGAGCGGCTGCGCTTTCGCGTTACCATTGCGGCGGGATGAGGCCGTCAAGGCCGGGGGTGAACAGAGGAGGATTCAGGAAAGGGGTGGGCAGTTTGTGGACGGATCACGATCCCAGCGGGTGTAACGTTTCGATTTTGAAGGTGGAGATTTGGAATGATAGCCAATGTGGGGATGGTCGCGATATCGTCTTTTTTTTTCCCTGGCGTGGGAGGCGACGGGAAATCGAGGCGGCGCGTCGTGACGGCGGTTCACGGTCACGTGAGTGGATCCCCAGTGGTGAGTGGAATTGATATCAGAGTCACCATTCACAGTGAGAACCAGAAAAGGGTCTACAGGGAATGATGCAGTTCACTGCGGAACCTTGTAGGCACAGATTTAATCAATAGAAATGTAATTGCACGCACTATAACACCTAGTAGTTACAGCGAACCAACCATCATGCAAAGTACAAACTTTTGCACACATGTACATGAATAAAGAATAATAAAAAGAAGAACCCCAGAAAGCAAAAGCACAAACAAAACCATTGACGACCGGATCGTGGTATCTGGCTCAGGAGTCTATCTCGTAGAGCAATAGAAGGTCGTCGACGAGGAGGAGGAGGATAAAATGCAAACGACAGCGCCAACCAGAAACCCACACTACCGACTGCGAGCGCCACGAAAACCCAGGAAGACGAAGAGAGGAGGCAGAATTGAAAATCTTGTCTCTCGCAAACAAGATGCAAGAAAAAAATCACAGCTGGAAAAAATAGGACATAGGAATACATTAGTCCCCTCCCATCGACATGAAATATCACTGAAGTCCCGGAAACTGTTCCAATGTAAATGTTGCGATAAAACCCAGATAGAATGAAGAGAAGACAGATGATAAATTCGGTGCCGTCAACACCAGTGGTTGAATGAAGACGACCAAGGCCGGGTGCGAATCCATCAAATGCTTGCCCATAACTTTTGCGCCTTTGTGACCGATACTCGCCATAAACCTGCCCATGCATATCATGAAGTGGAAAAAAAGAGTTATCCCGCAAGAAAAGAAATGCGTTTTCGTATTTTACATGGCCGCCTGAGCTCCATCGGAAACGTTATCCGACAAGTTGATCAAAAGCTGGGCCAGGCAGCGCTTGGTGGCTGCATCGTCGCGCAGAACAGACGAAAATGTGGCGTCTCGGAGCGGCTCCGGCAGACATTGCCGCAATGCCTCGCGAGCTCGGCTGTTGTCGCTCAATCTATACGCGCCGTTAGAGAGTTGGTCAGGCTGGCAGTGCAAGGGATAGAACTAACCGAAGGAAACAGCGCACAACATGCTTGAGAAGTCGGACCGTTTGCTGCTCCACCAACTGTGTCACCATGTTACTGAGGACTGTACCCACAGCGTAGAACCGTTCGTATGTCGCGCAGATGTATGCCAGACCGATATCGTCGAGGAGGATCTTCTGAACGATGAAAATTGCGACGGTCTTGCTCAGCTCCGAGCCGGTCTCCATAATGCGAAGGCAGAGAGGGATAATTTCGGTAGTGAGGAGGAAGTTGATCACGTCTGACGAGTCGTTCTTGACCAGCGCTCCGATGACGCCCAGCGAGGTGAGGCGCAGGTATTCAAACGGGCGCGATTTTGAGGTGGTGTTGAGAAATGGGTATAGGAATAGGGGGATATGGGCTAGATATAGCGAAGGTGAATTAGCGCTTGAGAATCACAATCATTGGGCTTTGGGGGGAGTTGTTACCGTTCAGGAAGAGCGTCCGAGTCTCGTTGTGAGATGCGACACACTGCAAGAGCGCCAGCGCATTGCAGACACGATTTGATGCGGCAGCAGTCAACTGAGAGGGGTTCAATAGGGGGTAAACGGAAATGATCTCCTGAAGCAGGGCAGTCATGACACCTGCAAGTTGCCGATGGTTAGTCTCGGTCGGCAAAGCCGGGCACCCCCACGATGCGACTGGGGTTCTTACCGAAGGAATGCCAAATCACCAGGGCCAACTCGGGAACCTGTTCACGCTTCTTGCTCAGTTCCATGAGAGCAGCCTCTCTGCGAGCCGGGTCAAGGAGCTCGGCGACCCAGATGAAGACCTTGCGGTTCTCCTCGCTGATCCCACCATCCATGACGGAGACCGCATTCGCCAAACCCTCTCCGCCTATTCCAGAGGCACCTCCAGCACCTTGCGCAGGGTTTGCGGTTCCATTACCACCCATTGCTAGACGGCCATAGTGTTGTTGCTGCGCTGCGGCCGCCGCGGCCTGGACGTGGGCGTGCTGCTGAGCGACCAAGGAGGCATGCTGTTGGTGCTGGGGGTGTGGCTGCGCTTGATGCTGTTGCTGCTGCTGCTGTTGCTGTTGTTGTTGTTGTTGTTGTTGTTGCTGCTGCTGCTGCTGTTGCTGCTGCTGCTGATGTTGTTGTTGATGCTGCAGCCATGAGGGGTCAGCCTGCGGGTACTGCTGCTGGTGGGAAAAAACGTGTTGGCTCTGCGCTTGTAGCATGGCGAGCGGTGATGACTCGTTTGGGGGTCTCGTAATGCTCCCACGGTCGGGTTTTCTGAAAGGTACTGGGTGGCACGGTGGAGGTTGCAGATGTCGCAGAATGAATTGAGGGGAATAAAGGGTCACCAAGCTTGAATCGGGGTGCGATTCATGGATGATTTGAGGGAATGGGAAGAGTTGAAGGGAGAGAGAAGTTCGGGTCCGAAGGCGGGGAGGATCAAGCCGGCAGAGTCCACTAAGCCTTTGTGCCTTTTGTGTGCCCTGGCCGCCTTAGCCTTGACCATGACCTTCGTTCATGCGCAATGCCCATGTTCTTCGGGGCATTTAAATCGAATAGTAATGCATTTTCTCATCTGGACTCGATCCTGGTGATTCTTGACCAGAACATCCTCTGTGCAGCCGGCCCGAGGAAGGGTCATCCTTGCGGCCAGGGCATATTGTACCTGCAAGGCCAGCCCCAATCACTGCTTGTTGCTTTCGTGCAACCGTCGGCTTCTCAATTGACTGGTGCAGTCTACAGACCAAAGTGGGCTTGTTTAACTATTTCTTACATTGGTGGGCATGTGGGATGTGAAACGATCGATGACCTCGGGATAATGCTCGAGAGCAAGACAGCGAGTTCCGACTCGGAGTCCCCTAGAGGCCCCGGGTAAGGCTCCAAGGTTTCTAATCTGGTATATTCTAGTGGTAACTTGAATACTAGTGGTATATTTATGGGAAATCTTATTCATTATCTGTGTCATTGTTCATATTTTTGCTCGTATCTGGCTCTCATATCTTCATATGTACACCACCGTGCTTCAAAATCATCAAAAAAGCCATTGGATCGAGGCATCAAACTCTCATATCAACATTGAAAGAGACATATCTTCATACCCCCAAAATAAACCTAAGAAAATAATACATCAAACCATCAAAAAAGTCGTAGTCGTACATAAGTCGTTAACGAGAAATAGCGCCAGGAAATGCGTAAGAAATTCAGGTCAATCGAATTGCCGCAAGGATTGTTGCTGCTTTCGTGAGACCGGCATCAGGAATCCAAAGGATTAGCCTGCATCATGAACGACGAGAGGTCCCGCGAGATCGTCGGCTCCGTCGAGTTCGTCTGTCAGAACTTTCGCTGCCTGTGAAAGAAGCATGTTAGTATTTTCTCTTCTTCAATCCTCAAGGCGCAAGAACTTACTGCCAGAGTATGTGTAGGTATCTGAGTAATAATAGGAGCTTGGGTAGGTGTAAGAGGAGTGATCGTCATCATGCTCCTGGTCCTTGTGTCTCTTCAGTCCCAAACACAGAGCAAGCGCTCCAAGGATGATAGCAACCGTGCCCCAGCCGCTCCATTTGGACTTCTTCTTCTCGCTGATCTCACTATCGGAGGCTGCTGGGGGTCGAGTACCAAACCAGGTCCTGCCACCCGAAGGTCGAGGTCGAGGTCGACTGCCAGAGTGATGAGAGTAGCGTTCTTCGACGACAGTGGTCTCGTTTCTGCGGCGCTTGCGAATACCAAGAGCCGCAAGAAGGCCATCGAGAGCACCCTTAAAGCACAGGCAACCGCACAAAAGGAGCAGCAGAATAACACCTGCAATTGTGCCGATGACGATACCCGCAATAGCTCCACCACTCAATCCTCCCTTGTCTGCCGCTGCCTTAGCTCCGATCAAATCGGCGCCATTTGTTCCCACTGGCGCGGTGAATGCTTCGGTGGTGGTGGGTGCTGAGGTCTCCGTCGCAGTAGATACGCTAGTTCCTCGGACGCCAGGCGTGGCCTCTCCAGTGACTTCTGTGCCAGTAGCCACTGCTGCCGAAGAGCTTTCTGCAACACACTCACCATTTGAACACTCCTGGGCTGCGTCGCAGCAAGTGCTCCCACATTTACTCTCGCCCAGGTCTATTCTGCAAGTGCCTGACGAGGTAGTCGCGGCGGCGGCACGGCTGCTCCAGACTGATGTAATGGTAGATTGATCGGTTTCGGTCACGACGTATGTTGTTGTATAGTATTGCCATTCGCCGCCTGAACCTGAACCAGAGGAGCCGGAGACACACTTCGCCTCATTGCCGCTTGTTGTGGTGCAAGTCTCGCCAGTGGCGCAACAAAGCTGAGAATAAAAGCCACAGGGATTCGAGCATGATGACCGCTTCTCAAGGTCGCTTCCTTCGACATTCTCTAGCGATAGTGGGGTTGCGAAGACAATCGATGCAAGGTTGAGTAAGACGACCAGCGACGGGATCACTGGAATGGAGAAGAAAGGCCGCATCGTAAACGAGGAGGGACAAACCCCGACAATATTGGGAGGGCTGCCCAGTGACAATTTTCGGGGAATGTTCTTTTGACGCTCGGAACTAGAATCACACGTTGTTGACAAGGAATGCTCGGCTCGGTAATGTTGGGGTGGAGGGTGTTTGGTGTGTTGTATACTCGATCTATGGGAGACGATAGATCGTCACTCCCTGGGAGTAGGGTAGAGGTTGCGGATTTTCGAAGAATAAACCCAAAGCGAGTGCGGGAAGGTAATCAAGGATAGAAGAGAGAAAGAGGGAAGGGAAATGGGGGGAGAAAGGAAGTGGAAGTGGAAGTGGTGGTGGTGGACTTGCAAGTACATCCCCAGCCTCCCGTCGTCAACCCAACCACCCGATTTCTTGCGATTTCACATCAACCCGCCCGCCCCTCCCACAAAACAGGTTGAGAAGGGGCTGGGTTTCAGATTGAAACCGTTATTATCTTTTACTTTTATTTTTTAAGCTTTCAATTCTCATTGTTCCTTGGTTGATGGTCCTGTCAGGCCGCGAAGCGATTAACATTGCATACAGGAACGGAGCCCGGGAGTACATCCAGAGCCCAGTCCAGTCCAATCCAATCTGCCCCGCATCCCATCCGCATCGCATTGGGTTGTCCCCTAGGGTAGGGTACTGAGTATCTTTGTCCGCATTGGCCACTCATCTTTAGCCGGCGGGACTTCCTCGGAACAATTCTGACTGTTGGTCTCACTCACCGTCCTCCCTCGCTGCCCAAGCTGTTGAGATAGACTAAGAACACTTTGACTCATAGTGCACTGCACAACCCACTTGGAACCAATTATGCCGATCGTCGGTCAAGCGACCTAGCGGTCTGATTCACTCTAATCGCATTGGCTAGGCTAAAAAAAGACATACGACTCATGGTGCCCGTCCTGACCAGCATGTGGGTCAAATCCATGCCACTCTATCTCTCCTCGCGATACGTTTGGAAAGTTTTTTCTGTGACCAGAACCGGCACTTCTCATAGACAGTCTTTATTCGAGTCTTATTATGGACCTACTCTTGCTACCCAGGGATATATACCATGATGAGATTAACTACTTGTCGATGAGTTCACGAATAGGATAGCGCCACACCTGCTCCGCTAGGAAGAAATAGAATCATCGATCGCATTGCATCATGCGCTAGTAGCACTCAAACCATCTTATGGCACCTGAAGTTGGCTCCGCTGATTCTCTGATGCTTTGCATTGGTGCACTGCCTCCAATCTCCAGGTGCAGACTCCGCCTTGGGACTATACGAGCCGGAGACTATGACGGCAAGTCTGACTCGTATTTGATTATCACGAGCAACGCAATACTAGTAAGAGCAGGTAATCAATATCCCGTACCGTTCAACGTATATGAGGACTATCCAAAAATAAACAGGCGGAAATAAACAATTGATCATATCAAATCAAGTCAACCTCGTAATCTAGGGGTTAAGCCTAGTCTAAACAGGTGACCATGATCTACACAGTCATCGAAAGGCTTTCCAATAACCGATTGACAAAGAATCTCCTCTGGACGGAATAGCATCGATTCAATATTCCAACAGGAAATTAATAACTAGGGCCGTTAGTAAGAAAAGCGAGCGGTTAGCTCGATGGTCAGTGGTTGATTGCCCGAATCTGGCTATAATATCCAATAGGCAACGGCATCGGCATCGGCAAGTGTCTAAGTTAGCCTAAGCAGGATACTAGTAGAGATATTCTCTCGGGGTGCCTATAGATAATATGAACATGTGGGCAACATTTTCATTACCCACCAATCAATACAACCGGGAAATAGAAGGCGGTTCGTCACGATAAAATATGACAACATAGCCCGCGTGAGCCTCAAAGATCCACCCGGGCACCGTCGGCTTAACGACAACGAGAAAAATTAAACGAGTGCCCCAAGCAGATTCAAGAAATAAGCGCCAAGGAAATCGTTCCTGGATCCATTATATACAATGAACCAGTCACGGGTCCAACATAGCCCCGTCCGGGCAAAAGGGCTACATTCACCTGGGCATGGATTCAAGTGATGTCCCTCGGTTCCAAGCGGGTTGGGGTCCAAGATAACCTTGGAATGAACTCGGAGACAGTCCTAGTACTAGAGAGATATAGTATATATACTTCGAACCAGACTGCTGTTTCCTCTATATCAAAACCACAGACTCAATCATCACACTGAAAGTACAACACATCATCTTTGCTGCATCCTAGCACTTTTCAAGTTAGAACAAGTGAAGGCTGGGATCAATACCATATCCCAGGCTTAACACCCCATACAGACTCAACATGGGCTGCTTCGGATTCTTCTCCAACAAGAAGAAGGCCGCCGCCAGGGCTGAAGAAGACCGTCGCATGAGGGAGGAAGATGAAAAGCGACGCAAGCTTCAGGAAGAGGAGGATGCAGAACGGCGACGTATTCACGAAAGTGTGAAACAACAAAGTTCCACTGGCACTACCGCAAAAGCCACACCCGCATATAAAGCTATTTCGCCGCCGACATCTTCATATAATCGGTCATACAGAACCAATGGGTATTCTGGGACCTTCGCCGGTGGAGGTGGTGGTGACTCTGGCGGAGGTTCCTACGGTGGTGATTCGGGAGGTGGTAGCAGTGGAGGAGGCGGTTGCAGTGGAGGCGATGGCGGCGGCGGCGGTGGTGATGGTGGGGGTGGAGGTGGTGGTGGTGGAGACTAATCCATCTTACTCGAGTTCATTCTTGATGGTATGCAATAGAGATGATGAAGATTGGTTGTCGGGGTGTCATCCGTGCTTTTGTCGTTATGGTTCTACATGTTTGCCTTCGGGATCGTTTTCATCCCATTTGCTATAGTTTTAACCAACTTTTATACTACTGTATCCATGCGTTCCAGGCAGAGTCTACATTATAATTACCTTCGTGTGTAGGGCACCAGTAGCTACATTAAACTTAAACTGAAGAGCTGCGGAGCTTCGCGTGAATTAAATAGAGTCCACGGGTCTATGCCAGCATTCTGGCTGCATGGCTGCCACGCCGAAGAAAGTTTGATACCTTGGAATGCCTTGAGACAGGCGACCAATAGCAGCCAAACAGTCGACACTCAAAATGCTCCGAATCCATCCCGGGGAGCAAAAAAAACGGTCAAGTTTTAAACGAGCCTTGTTGGAAAACATATTCATTGAGTTCATTCACAGTAATTCCAGCTATGTATCCATACTCGAGGGGGTCATCAATCAGCAATAAAATGTACATCAAAAAAGGACGGGCCTAGTAAATATATCCAGTAACCCTTCGAAAGCCATCTCACATCAAATAAACATTCCCGCAATTCCAACAGCAAAGCCAAACGCCAGGTCGTGTAAACTGGATGCCCGACGTGGGTTGGCTGCGTTCCCACTGGTATCGCGCCCAGTCTCCGTCGCGGCCGTCGCGCAGTTTTGTATCTGAAGACCATGACAGGCCCTTGAGCTCAGGCTGGAACAAATCGAGGTCGCTTGTGCGGCTCCAGTGATTGCCTCCACAGTTACTCCTCCGCCATTTCCACCAACCGTTACCCCGTAACGACCCATTAAGTTGCCTGTGCACTGGGTATATTCTGACTGACACTGAGAGTAGTATGAAGAGCAGCTCTCTGCATTTCCGATGGTCGTAGGTATGTAGACGAATGGGTATGCCCCGTCAATTGTCCCATCGGTCATCGTGGCAGTCGTGCCGGTAGCTGTGGTAGTGGCAGAAGTACCATGCGGGGAGATGAAAGTACTACCTGTCTCAGTGCCGGTAGATGTCCCAGTCAAACTGCCCGTGCAGCTTGCGCCGGTCCGACAGCAAGCGATGTTGTCCGCAGCGTCTGTTGTGCAGCGTGACCCGCTCTTACAGCAGGCATCTGAGTTACCCAGATTTGAGCACGGGTTGTAGCCGCTGGGACAATTGTCGTCATCTCGGCTCAGCAGTCGGAGTACCTCGAGGGCTCTCTTGTTGGATTTTCCTTGTTCCGGGGACGAGAAGGGCTCTGTCTCTACCGATAAGACGACCGTGGGTATGAGTGTGGCCCAGACGCCGATCCACCATGATGCCCGCATTCTTGTGATCTGGGAGGGGAATTTGGCGGGGTGCGACCGGGTGATTTAAGATCGCTGCTTCAAATGATTTTCTGCTTGGTTCAATCGGCGCCAAATCGCATTGTTGGGAAGTAAGAAGGTAGGGTAGCTGTGAGGGTGAGGGTGATGGTGAGGGCTTATCGAGAGTGTCGGCGGATGTCAACAGACTACCCAAACAAGTAAGATTAGTGTAAGGAAACGGCGCGCAGAGAGAGACAAGCTCATTCAATGAGCTCATGGGATTAGGGTGTTTTACCGACAAGGCCAGAGGTGAGGTCTCCGAGAAGCAAACCAGACCAAAAAAAAATGACAGAGGTCGGTGTCTGGGATGGATGGGGATGATGTAGGTACAGCCGATTCTCCTTCTCCACTGGGCGCCATCCTGCCACAGCAACCAGTCACCACTCACCACTGGCCACCCACCAGTCGCACGATGCCCAACCAGCACAGGCCCAGCCTTCCAGCCATCGCAGATTCGATATTAATAGGGCACAATTTCTTTACTAACTCCGTACGGAGTACTGATCCTGGAAAACAATGGCAATCTTGACTCCTTACCAATTGATCGGGCTTGTCTCACGAAATGCCCTCCAATTGGGCATGTCCATCTCTAACTAAGGCACTCCGTTTTGCTGGTGAGACGAGAGTTGTCTGTCTCACCGACTGCATGGGAAACGATTCCCTCTCTGCACACCGCACCAGCAACGCAGTCTTTTTTCTCTCCCATCGAAACGGCCTGAATACTCGTATCCACTACGATGGCTTCGACCTCCGAGTCGATGATCCCTGTCGTGGACTTTGCCAAGTGGACCTCTGGCGGGTCAAGTCGTCTGCAAATTGCCCAGGACATCGTCGCTGCTTGTAAGAAAGTGGGGTTCGTGTATATCGTCAATCACCCTGTGCCAGACCACCTTGTCGACGAGGCCTTCTTATGGTCTCGGCTTTTCTTTGATTTACCTCAAGAGGACAAACTCAAGGCACCTCATCCAGAGGGATGGGCTGTTCACAGAGGCTATTCCTGGCCGGGGCTGGAGAAAGTCTCGCAGGCAATAAGTACGACCAATGACCAGGAACGAGCCCAGCAGTTGAGAGAGGTACCCGACATCAAGGTGAGTTGAATAGCAACAGAAGATTTGCTCAACGAAAGGCGTGAAGATCTGGTATCGTATGCAACTCCTCGCTGACTACCGGCAGGAGAGCTATGACATTGGCAGCGACCAGAATTCGTCGCAGCCCAACCAGTGGATTCCAGATGAAGTGCTCCCAGGTTTCCGTGATTTCATGTTACGGTTTTATTGGGAATGCTTTGTCGCTGGAGGCGAAATATTACGCGCTCTCGCTATCGGCCTGGAACTGGAAGATGAGAACTATCTTCTGGAGAAACACTCTGGACATAACAACCAACTACGCCTGCTCAACTATCCTCCAGTTCCAGCCGAAACCTTAGAGAACGACCGAGCAGCGCGTTGTCCTGCGCATACGGACTGGAGCTCGATCACGCTACTCTTCCAGGATGACTGCGGCGGGCTGGAAGTTCAGGACGTCGCGAGTCCTGGCAAGTTTGTTCCCGCGACGCCTATCAAAAATGCCATTGTCATGAACGTTGGCGACCTGCTGCAGAGATGGAGCAATGGTTAGTGGGCTGTGTTGTCTGACATTGTCATTGTCATTGTCACTGCGTACTAACGAGTTCAGATCATCTACGATCGACTAGCCATCGTGTTACTCTACCGCCTCTATCGGATCGGTTCGAAGGCGAACAACGCATGACTCGTAGACGCTTTTCCATTCCGTATTTCCTGGCGCCGGATCCTGATTCAGTGATCGCGTGCATACCATCTTGTATGGGGGCCGATGAGCCGGCCAAGTATGAGCCGATCACACAGGCTGGTTATAATCAAATGCGTGCATCCATGCAGTATTAACAGAGAGTACGATAGTCAATTTATTGAATTTCCTTCAAGTTGTTTCGAGTCTTTCATTTCTAGATAAATGAGTACTACTCCTAGTATATATACCCTTTGGGGTACTACTAGTATAATCAACTTCAAGTTCAAGTTGGCCGTAAGCTAGTAGTAGTAGTTAGCACCTTCCATCTCTATCACAGCTCGACCACTGGCACTCTTCCAACTTCAAGTTCGTTTCATCTCTACTGAATTCATACTTTTCTCGCTTTCTCTCTCACAAGACTCTACTTCTCTACTGTCCTTTCCTTACCTGCAGAATCCCACCTGTCTCATATACCTCATTCCTGTCGATCCCCACCCCACTTACTAAGACCGCTTGGCGTCCGGGCGCGATGGATCCACGACGGGCGCGCGTCCCTCAACCCTGCGACCCTGATCGCGTGGCCACCATGTACGGCGAATTGGGCAACAAATTGGTACGTGGTGATGAATTCAGCAAGAATTGGGAACTTCCAGAGCTCATGAAGCTAAAATAACGTGACCCAGGTCCAACATGCGAAGCGCACTCAAGCCCTCGCCCATCTCCCGCCCTACCAAACCGAAATCGTCCGCGCCGTGACTCGCGAAGTGCGCGACCTAGACCGAGATGTAGCCCGTCTCCTCGACCCCTTTGACGGTGCCTTCAATCCCTCCGCAGACCCGGCTGTTGCTTGTGCACTGCTCGTGGACCATCTGTGCATGCGCCGGAATAAACGCTGTCTCCTGGCGTATCACCGTGTGCGGACGGAGAAATTGGAAGAGCTCTGCTGGAACGGAGTGGATATCTTGGAACAGCAGCAGCCGGGTGAATCCTCCGAGGACCGGGGCCAGATGCAGGGCGCTGGCGGACATAGCTCTCTCAGTCCGGAGGAGGAAGAGTACTTTCGTCAGTATGGCGATATGCTGGCGGCGTATAAGGGACAATGGACGGATGTCGATTTGACGGGGACCTTGGAGCCGCCAAGGGATCTTTTTATTGATGTACGCGTCTTGAAGGATGCGGGGGAAATACAGACGGAATATGGGTACGTTGAATTTGCTCTTTGGTTCTTTCCTTTTGGGGGGCATTACAGTGAACCAATGGCTGATTTATTTTTCATGACAGGGTGATCAACTTGACCAAGAATAGTCAGCTCTACGTTCGCCAGGGAGATGTTGAGAGGCTGATTGCACAAGGTTTTCTCGAGCGATTGACATAGGTAGATTGGAGGAATTGGGGGCGTGGCGTGGCACGACGGGAGGAGTTCTTTGGACCTATTGAGATACCCCGCCATGGGATGGCGCTGAAATTTTGAATGTGATGCATTATGATCTGATTTTTTTTTGGTCGATCGTGTCGAGTATGTCGAGCATGAATCAGTGGCGGCTTGGCCAACGCAATCTACTGCGGAGAAGACCGATCTCGGCCCTTTTTTATGTATGGAGTGTGCCTTGTCATTTGTTCATGAATCGCGTAGAATATTTCGCAGGAGTAGACTATGGATGCAGATACATGGACTGATGAGATAAAAAGCAAACATCTCGTCAAGCTTTTGTGTAAGACGTTGAATTTGATGCATCGGGTGGATATCAATGGCTGCAGGGGGTCAGGGATCCAATCCGGAATGGGGATGGGGGGCCGGCAATTCTCACAGCAATGGGTTGAGAGGAGGCGAGCACGACACCTGAGTACCAGTTAGTAGTTGGTTGCAATCTGTAGCTAATCTGTAGCTAAGGCTGGCCCTTGTTAGCGTTGGCTGATAAGTACCAAACTAACTGTAGAGAGTTAGCTGAAGTAAAAGGTCCGCAAGCGGGTTAGTGCGTGATAAGGCGATAACGCGGGCTAAACCGCTTGGCTCTTATCACCGAGAATTTCCTTGGAACTCTCCATGAACCTTAGTCAATGCGCCAAATAATCCACCCTGTTTGATAATTTCCCTGATAATCCGCTGATCGTCGATCAAACGATTCTTTTATTGACAGCACCTCCCACAGCAGCGCAACGCGCTACCTCTCAAGTTTTCCCAATGGCCCCTTGAGCCTTGAGCCACCCCAGATCGCCCCGTTGCGTCATTCGTCCTTTGCCTCCTAACGCCGCTGCATGCGCTAGCGGGATTGTGGTCGATAATCTGCCAATCTTGGCCCATCTGCGCCAGCCGTTGCGCAACTGCAACTATGGGAGTGCTACAGCCACGAACTCGTCGCGACTCCCGAGCATCGGCCCTATCACATCGTAATTGGGGCTTCGATCGCGATGCAGACTTCTCCGTTCAGTCGTCCTCACTGGTGGAGCACGCCAACGCAAACCTTGGCAGCTCCCCCGGTGCCGGCATGGAGGCTTCAAGCTATAACAGCTCCAGTCTACGCACTCCGAGCCGCTCCTTCGTTCACCGTTCCTTCAATACTCCTACTGGTATGTTGCACTGTAAACCCTTTTAACCGGCTTAATTACTTTGGTTCCCCCGCATCCTTTTTCCGTCTTCACTCAATGCGCCCGAGCGATTTACTGACCACTCAAATCCCTCCAGACCCGGCTCACTATGCCACCGATAGTCTCCGGGAACAGACTGCGGAGCTTGCTACCTACGGTCTATCGTTGAATAAAAAGCCCTCGCGGGGACGAACGAGCTTGCCTCCAGGTCTAGATATCTTCCGGGAGCAAAATCGTCTCCATCCACCCGGTCCCAGCGGCTCACAGGATGCCATCGCCAGTTCCTATCCCACACTAGAAGAAACTTCTGTTGAGTCGGATGCTGGTCCGGCAGATCCCTCTCCTTCGTCTTCGGCTCTCACCGATATGATGCGTGATCCATACCCGGATCTAATGGAGGAACATGCCAAACCGATTGAAGAGACACCATTTCCGCCACTACCGACCATTCTAGACGAACCCGAACCGCGAGACTCTGAAAGAACCTCGTTATTATCCAAAACTCGATCCAGGTCACCTCATGGCTATGGGGCGGTCGAAGACATTGAGAACCAGGGCTTTACAGCCCCACGACCAGCCAAGTTCTTCGCTAAAGGGACGGCCAATGTTGCCAAGTGGACCAGGATACTATCCAATCCAAAGTCCTGGGATAGACGTGCAATTTGGCAGGAAGGAGTAGTTCACCCGCTTAGTCTAATCCCTGCGGTCTTGCTAGGCCTTCTCCTCAACATTCTTGATGCCTTATCCTACGGAATGATCCTATTCCCGCTGGGAGAGCCGCTCTTTGCTCATCTTGGCGCTGATGGAATCTCAATGTTTTATGTCAGTACCATCATCTCACAGGTCGTATTCTCATGTGGAGGCTCGATCTTCAAGGGAGGTATCGGAAGCGAGATGATTGAGGTTGTGCCATTCTTTCATCAGATGGCGTTTACCATCCTTGCCCGGATTGGCAATGACAACCCTCAGTCAGTATTGGCGACAACAATTCTAGCTTTCTCGGTCAGCTCCGTCTTGACTGGGTTGGTATTTTTCCTAATGGGCGTTTGCGGGCTCGGCTCGCTCATTGGATTCTTCCCTCGTCATATCCTTATCGGTTGCATTGGTGGTGTCGGTTATTTCCTCCTTGCAACCGGAGTCGAGGTTTCCGCCCGCTTGTCCGGCTCGCTCGAGTACAACCTCACTACCTTACAGAAGCTCTTTCACCTCGACACTTTCCCACTTTGGATAATACCCCTGTCTCTTGCGATCTCCCTCCTCATTTTGAAGCGTTTCATTCGGTCAACATTCCTCGTTGGCACTTATTTCATGGTGGTTGCGGCTTTGTTTTATGTCGTTATTTTATGCGCGAGTATCCCAATGGACACTCTGCATCAGAAAGGATGGGTCTTTGATGCACCATCATCGAACAATCCGTGGTACCACTTCTATACCCTTTATGGTGAGTCGATGCTTGTTCCTTTCCCAATTGCAGATTCAAGTTGACTGATATCTTACAAGACTTCTCCGCCGTCAACTGGACCGCCTTCGCCGACACGATCCCGGCAATGTTTGCTCTGACCTTCTTCGGAGTTCTTCACGTGCCTATCAATGTGCCAGCTCTTGGCATATCGACAGGGAAGACAATCTCAATGTGGACCGAGAGCTTATGGCACACGGTGTGACCAATGCCCTCTCGGGATTTGCTGGGAGCATTCAAGTAAGTTTCCTCCACTTTTAATTCTGATCTGCCAACCAAACTGACACAAACAGAACTATCTTGTGTACACAAACAGCTTGATGTTCATTGCTAGTGGTGGATCCTCCCGTTTGGCTGGACTCATGTTGGCTGCAGCCACGGCAGGAATCATGGTCGTGGGCCCGGTGATCATCGGATACATTCCTGTTATGGTTGTCGGTGCTCTGATTTTCCTCTTGGGTATTGAGTTACTCGAGGAGGCATTGGTAGACACATGGGGAAAATTGTCGCGCCTTGAATACTTGACGGTATGTTTCTCAGACCTCCTCACACTAGAGCTACAGGTAGCTGACTGGTATAGGTGGTGATTATTGTCCTCACTATGGGGGCTGTGGATTTCGTAATGGGAATCTTGGTTGGAATTATTCTGGCATGCGTCAACTTTGTGGTACAGACCTCTCGCAAGTCTGCCATTCGAGCCACTTTCTCTGGAGAAATTGCCGGCTCGACCGTCCGTCGCCCTCCGATTCAACAACAATTCTTGCATGAAGCTGGACAACAAACGCTCATTATGAAATTGGGCGGTTATCTCTTCTTCGGCACGATTGTGAATGTAGAGAACACCATGCGGGGACTAATTGAAGAGGAAGCATTCGAGAAACAACCGATTCGGAACTTGATTCTAGACTTCTCCCGCGTCTACGGGCTGGACTTCTCGGCCGCCGAGGCCTTCACACGCATCAATCGCGTTCTACGCAAACGCAATGTCCAGACGGCCATCTCCGGTCTCGATATCGAGGGCGAGGTCGGCAAGAGTCTACGGAATGTGGGTTTGTTTGAGTCTGACTCAGGCGTACCGATCTTCGAAGATCTCAACTCAGCCCTCAAATTCTGCGAGAACGATTACTTGAAGGTCTTCTACAGCCGCCAAGAAGCCATCCTCAGTACACGCACTGGCACCCCAGATACCAACAACGATAACCACCTCCAAGTCCCCATTCCCGTATCCGTCCCATCACTCTCCGGAGCCAGCCCCAGCCTCGCAGACAACATCGTCAGTTCCCCTCGAGGCCAATACCTACAACGAGTCGCAACAACCACGATCCGCGAACACGAACAAGAAACAACCCTCATGGCGGCCCCAGCCTGGTCCGCCATGCGCCAACCCCTCCCCCTCCTCCTCCAAACCTTCCAAGGCCTCTCAACCCAAAACGAAGATTTCTGGTTCCCCGCCTGCGCCTACTTCTCGCGCGAGTCCTTCCCCACCGGCGCAACCTTGTACCATGAAGGCGACATCCCGCGCGCCTTCTACCTCCTTGAATCCGGCATGTTGCGCTGCGAGTACGAGCTTCCGCAGGGCCGGTACTTCGAACTTGTCGTCGCGGGCCGGCCCTGCGGCGAATTACCGTTCTTCAGCGATACGCGCCGTACGGCGACGGTCAAGGCGGAACATGAGTGTGTTGCTTGGTCTTTGAGTGATGAGCGATGGAAGGCATTGCAGGAGAGTGAACCTCGCATTGCTCGTGAACTGTTGACTGTTAGCTTGAAGCTGACGACTGAGAGGATGGATTGTATCACCTCGTGAGTTTTTTTCTCTTATTTCTTGTTCCCTTACTTGGTAACTTGAATTTTTATCCAAACTAAAACTAACCTACTCGTTCATTCAGATACGTATTAACGATGGCTGCTTGAGATCTTTTAATATTTGATTGACTGTCTGGCTCACTTCATTTTGCTAGTGTTCCCATTTACTATTTGACTGGGGGGGGTTTGAGTGAAACTGGTGGAAGCTCTGCATGTATATTCGACTGTTCTTTGCTTGTACATTTTCATAGCTACATATCCTTCATAGAACATGGTACATGACGCTTTTAATAGCAATATTGAATTCTCAATAATTACAATTATAGTTATAGGTACACAAAAGAAAGCCGTAAATCCCCCCCGAGGTCGTTATGAGGTAGTGGCCCCCAACAGGAAATAATCGTCACGTCAGGGCTAGAATGGGTTCCAAGGTTCAACTTGAAGTTGGTATGCAAAGCTGGGTCCGTGGAGGCTAAGAGAGAAGCCATGTCCCTCGGAGGGAAGTGAGGAGGGCATTTGTACACCTGGGTAGGATTAAAGGGTAAAATTTCAGAAAGAAATAAGAAAAAAAAGAAGAACGAAAAGAAGAGCTACGATATGTCATGTCAATCAGAATCATGAATTATCCCCATACTCGTTCTCCACTTTGAGGAATTCAAAGGGGCTTCGTTAAGGAACTCTTTTCTATATACTACTCTGTGCTGAGAGCAAGACATGCGTCGACAGCTAGACCAACTCTGTCAGAAAGGTTAGTAACTAATTTGTATGACACAAGTTGGGGGAATCAGAGTAACTCACCTTCCCTCCTTTATCTTCACCACGTCGTCAATAACATCGCGGTCTCAGGTTGGGGAACATGTTCGACAGCGTCTCGACGACATTATTATGTTCAGCGCGCTGGATGCGCCGTGCCTCGGCATCTTCTGCACTGGCTTGGCGAGCTGCTGCGTCTTGGGCGTCGAGGACGCGCGTCAGATTCTTCTTTGCGCCTTCTTGCGGGAATGGACGCTCGTCGCCGGAGCGTCTCCCTTCGCTACTGGAGCGCGGGGGCTGATACACATTCGGCGTGAGACGAGGCGGCGCGGGAGCTGGTTGGGGCGTAGCGGCTGGTTGAAGAGGCCGATCATGAGGGGCCCCGGCATCGGTTTCATCGGAGAACATGCGACCGATTGTGGAGAGAGGTTTTTGGATGGTTCGTAATAGGCCAGCGACCGGTGCAGATGTGTCATCATCGCTAGATTGAGATGCATCTTTACGGCTTGGCCCAGGCTGGACTGGGCCAGACTGGGGAGGGCCGCGCGAGGTTGTGGGTTGGCTTAAGGGCTTTTCATGCATGGATTCATGTTCGCGGTTCTTTTCTGCAATCGCCAGAACTGCTGCTTCGACATGGCGCTCGAATTCTTCGTCACTGACGGTGAGACTTGTGCGGTCTAGCGTTTCAATAAACTGGACGGCCCCGGACTGCGACGAATATTAGTCACCGAAGCATTCAGAAAGGGGGGGAAAATTCCGTATGTAGTTACCAGGGATGACAGATAGTATCCGGCTTCGCCGCCGAGCTTTTCTTGGTTGCGGAACCGCAGGATGTATTGAATATTAGAGACGAGATGGTCGGGGTTCGCATGCAACACCACGTAGATAAGGAGCGGAACGAAGGAATCGGCCGAGGTGTCGGACTTTTTGGAGTTTTTCAAAAGACCAAAAATAACCTTGCAGCAATTCAAAATACAGATAACCTTATCCCGCGGTGCTCGGTAGCCATTAATTTTAAGTATTTCTGAAGATTTGGGTTAGAAATCGCCTCTGATCGGGTTGGGGAACCACAGCATCACTTACCTTGTTGAGCAAGGTTCAAGAATCGACGCCCACTGCCGCTCACAACAGGTATATCTAGGTGTTCTTCGCTGACCCAACTGTATATGCGAATCTTCTGTGCCAAGATATCATCCCGCTCAATATCTTCCTGGTGTTGACCACGCCGCCAAGGACCATGGGCTCTCTCGATCTCTCTTCGTCGACTGCGGCTAGCACTTCTGGGAATGGTGGGTGGGGCTGGGATCGCCGGTGCAAAAGTTTGGGAGTATAGGCGGTTCATGACGAGCTTCTCCATCCCTTCCTTGGCGTTATCAAATTCGCTATCCGACACATCACGCCACACCTCACATATGGCCATTTTATTTGTGATAAAAGCCAAAAAATCGCTGATGATTTTGACTTGCTCATGAACCATCCACTGTCTCTTTCCGAATTCCAAGAGGAATGATCGCAGGAACTTGGCCACCGGATCGGCCGTCCGGTGACGCAGTTGCTCCAGGAAGCGATGGAAATCAAACCTCTGATCGGGTTCAGGCTCGGGTGGAGGTGGGACTGTTGAAGAAGATGATTGTCGCCTCATTGCAGGCGGTTCATCGTAGCCGCCGGGGGTATGATGGTGCTGAGATGCGGGTGAGGGGTGCTTAAGGCTCGGTGGTGAGGCAGCCGTAGATCCAGTCGACGTGGGCTGTACAGGCTCTAGACTTGACTTGCGAGGTGGAAAGTAATGTTGGTGGCCACGAAATTGGTCGGCGAGCTCTAGTCGGGGAGACATGATCTCCTGCTGATCAGTAGTTCGCGCAGGGTCCTGGAATTGGCCCATGATGCTCTGGATCTCCGGCTGTGAGCCATTATCATCATCGCGAGACTCATCGGTCTTCCTAGCTTTCTTCGACTCTGGGTCACTATCTCCAGGCACGTCTGGGAGCTCTTTTTCGGAGCTTGGAGCGGAGGTGGGGTCGTTCGCTGACGGTATTGTGAGCGCCAGGGGGTTCGTGGAGTTCACGTAGGCATCGTCTTTTTCGGGAGGAGGAGGGGGCGGGGGAGTATTTGCTTGGGATACAGGTGTAGGCACAGCCTCCGACACATTCTTCGCTGACACTGATAGCCCTTCCATTTGTCCCGCCAGCGGGTCCGGCTGAGGCGGGACTAGGTCGGGCGAGTCTGTAACCTTTATTGAGTCTTCCTTTGAATCATCCATATTTTGAGGGCAACTATGGTCCGCAGGTGATTCTGCCTTCTCGTCGTTCTGTTGTAGGCTCTCCTTCGAGGGGTCAAGCTGCGTCGGCGTTTCGGGGAGGTCGGTTGGGGGCATGGTATGGGCCTGGGACGCCTCCGGGGCGGGCTGATCGTCCCCCTTCCCTACGGGCGGGGAGGCGGAGAGCTCTGTGGTCGACATATGCTATATTCGGCATGCAGACCTCGACAACAGGTTCAGGGCGATCTTGAAAGGGCGTGTGGGGGAGTTGAGGCTCACTGTTGATGAGCGGATCATCATTGGGCCGAGGTCAGTCCAGCTCCGTCATGGCATACACGCTGGATGGAATAGTTATAGAGTGGAATACAGCTTGTTTATTTTGATATTTAGTAATCATTTCAGGTATATTATAATTTATTCTCAATCTCACTTACGATCACTTCACTTTCTCCATCTATTTAAGCTGGTTTTATTGTCCTGCATCGACAAATACTGGTACTAGACAAACGTACAGTAACTAAAGATGACTAAGAATCGCGGGTGGCATCAAAAAGGAAAAGTCCACCACGACAAACACATCTCCTCGCCTCCATTGCAGGCACTCCCCCAATCATGTGTGGGATATTCTTTTCGATATCGACAAAATACACCCCACCGACAGAGGAGACTAACACTCTGCTCCAAAAGCGAGGCCCCGACAGCTGCCAAAAGCATACAGTGCACAAGGGAATCTCGACACAAGATGGATTGTCGCAGCCCCTGTCCCACCACCTCACATTCGTATCGACGGTCCTCGCGTTACGAGGAGACCATATTTACAACCAGCCACTTGTAGACCCCGTCACAGAGTCAGTACTTTGCTGGAATGGGGAAGCATGGAAGATTTCCGGCGAGCGGGTCCAAGGCAATGATACGCAGCAGGTCTTCAAATTGTTTTTGAAAGCCGTGAGCTGCGATCGTAAGAAGGCCCTTGGTGGACTGGCCGATGCTGTTGCAAGTATTACTGGGCCCTTTGCTTTTGTTTTCTACGATGCGATCAATTCACGGGTCTTCTTTAGCAGAGATTGTCTGGGCCGGAGATCTCTCCTGCAAGGCTTAGATGAGGATGGAGCTCTGAAGATTTGCAGCCTGTGTGATGGATCTTCAACTACATCATTTGAAGAGGTTGGCACCAGTGGTGTATATATGATCGACCTTGAAGCACAGCAAGATCCGCTTTCTGCTTTCAGTGGAAGATATAAGATTGAGACCCTGCCCTGGAGTTCTGAATCTTCACCCCCAGAGGGACATCTTGTTGGTCTCAAAATCTCACCGTGTATACAACGACAGCTGACAAATTTCCAGAAAAGCCCAATACCACCAATGAACATGTCTATTCCGGAGACACAGCCCCCGTTATTAACCTTGGAGACCAAGGCTATCATAGACCTTCAGTCAAGACTCCATCAATCACTGACTCTCCGAGTTGAAAATGTTCCTGAGCCTCCAAACTACGTCAAGGGCGAAAGTGCGAAAGTCGCAGTCCTCTTTTCTGGCGGACTCGACTGCACTCTCCTTGCCAGGCTCTCACACGACATTATTCCACTCGACGAACCCATCGACCTACTTAATGTCGCTTTCGAAAATCCACGAGTAGCCGCTGCAGCAGCTAACTCAAACCACCAATCTTCATCGTCATCTCCCCAAAGCCCCTTCTCGATCTACGAAGCATGCCCCGATCGCATGACGGGCCGTTCGGCTTTTGCCGAACTCCAAAAGACCTGCCCAGGGCGAACCTGGCGTTTCATCGCCATCAACATCCCCTACACCGAAACCCTCGCACACAGAGACCAAGTCAAGCGTCTCATGAGACCCCACAACACTGAAATGGATCTCTCTATCGCATGCGCCCTGTACTTCGCATCGCGCGGTCAAGGCACATGCTATACTTCGTCCTCGGATCCTAGCATACCATCAGAAGACATTTACACAACCTTCGCACGCGTTCTCCTCTCTGGCCTCGGTGCTGACGAACTCTTTGCGGGATATGGTCGTCACGGCGTCTCTTTCAACCGCAACGGTTTCGAAGGACTGGTCGCTGAGATTCATCTCGACGTCAGCAGACTCGGACAGCGCAATCTTGGTCGTGATGATCGAGTTCTGTCGCACTGGGGCCGGGAAACCCGGTTCCCATTTCTAGACGAAGATTTCGTTGCGTGGACACTTCAGGTGCCGGTCTGGAAGAAATGCGGGTTTGGTCTTCCAGAGCCTGTTGTCAGCAATGGCGAAGACCAAGCTGGAATCACAGCTGGTATTGATGCCGAGAAGATGTCTCTTCGTCTCGTAGCGCTTCGATTAGGCTTGCAGCAGGTTGCGCGTGAGAAAAAGAGAGCTATTCAATTCGGTGCGAGGACTGCCAAGATGGAGAAAGGTCGGACAAAGGGGACTGATGCGTTGAGTTGAATCTCCATTCCCGTCTATACATTCTATTTCCTTTCTCTTTGATACCCCACTCCTCCATTTTCTTCGATTCCCCTTTGCTGTTCACGCATGTCCTCGAGACTTCCCGGTCTAGAATACAGACCTAATCCAGCGATGATGACAAACCATGGAATCAGATACTTCTGAGACCCCATCCCTCACCCATCCTCTCTTGTTCACATTCTCTTACTATGTGAGTTCTCGCTCGCACGTACACCTGTCTTCATCCTCCCAGAGTAACAGCAGTCCCAGGACGGCGTGTAGCTCGGGCGGAGTTTGACTACGGCGTGTGCATGTTTTCTCACGGGTTGGGATGAATGGGAGAGAGAACCGGGTTGGAAGGGTTGGCGGTTCATGAGGGTGCAAAAGGCAAGTCTGAGCTGGTTTAACCATAACTTGAGGGAATATGCTGTCTAGTTGTGAGATAGAAAAAACATAAAATGATGAGATAGTATGTCCTTCTCATTCTAAAAGTGAGCAGTTAACCGTGGCAGTAGTAGGTACCAATAGTGGTTTGCGTACCTCAGATGGTTTTTGCCGCCTATAACCAGCTTTTTATTGCTTGTTTTAAGCCATTTTTAAAATCGAGAAAATCTTTTTCATATTTAGGTCAACGTTCCCACCAAGTCTAGTACTTGACGTTCTCATGCAACTTGAACTTGAACTTGCCCTAGTTACTACTAGTATCGGATCATACTCCCGCCCCGATTCCCGAGATATGTCCTGCCGAATGACTCATCTACAGAATGAGATTACTAGATCCTGAAAAGTTTTTGCGTTCTTATACATTCTTATACTCGCGGAGACATCTTTAATATCCCTTAATACTACTATCCAAGGTAAACGGTGGAAATATTCAAATTACATCTTCCAACAAACCTGAACACGCCGAGATGTCGTCTGAAACATCGTTCGACGTCCTAGTCACCGGCTCATCTGGCCATCTCGGCACAGCTTTGATGCTCAGTCTTCCATCCCTAGGCTACAAACCCCTAGGCATCGACATTCTCCCCTCGCCAACAACGACACTCGTCGGCTCAGTCAGTGACAGGGCTTTCATCGCGTCAATTTTCGACTCAAATGCCATCAAGCACGTTCTACATGCCGCAACCTTACACAAGCCACACATTGGCAGTCACAGCAAAGAAGAATTCATCACAACAAATATCACCGGCACACTGATCCTGCTCGAGGAATCATCCCGATTTGTCAATCAAATCGAGAGCTTCGTCTTCTTCAGCACAACCAGCGCATTCGGTATGGCGTTAAGTCCCAAGCCCGGAAACCCAGCTGCCTGGATCGACGAAGAGGTTGTTCCCGTGCCGAAGAATATCTACGGCGTGACGAAAGTTGCGGCGGAGGAGATGTGCGCATTAATGCAAAGGACGAGCGGGATGCCGGTGTTAGTTCTTCGCACGAGTCGGTTTTTCCCCGAGGAAGACGATGATGAGGATAGACGTGCGGCAATGAGTGATGAGAATCTGAAGGTGTTGGAATTGGCGTATCGAAGAGTTGATATTGAGGATATTGTCGGTGCGGCGGTTTGCGCGATGGCGAAGGCGAGCGGGATTCGGTGGGGAAGTATATCATTAGTGCGCCGCCGCCTTTCAGTCGGGATATTGAGACGCTTGATGCTTTGAGTCGGAGTCCTGCGGAGGTGGTGAGTAAGATTTCGCCTGATGTTGATTCGGTGTTTAAGGGGAAGGGGTGGAAGCATCTCGCGCGGATTGATCGGGTTTATGATTCCAGCAAGGCTGTTGCTGAGTTGGGGTGGAATCCGAAGTTTACATTTGCCGGGGCTGTGGATAGGTTGATGCGTGGCGAGCCATGGCGGAGTGACTTGACGGCGAGGGTGGGTAAGAGAGGATATCATGCTGTGAGCACTGGGGTGTATACAAAGAGAGAAGTTTAGGATTGAAGGAGAACTGGCCTATTCATTCCTTACCTTGTCAAGAGAATACTCTAGTCAAACTCCGTTAATCGCAAATTCGGTACCGCACACTGGCATCAAACCGAGAGTGCTACCAAGAGAGCTAAGGATTACTGATCTCTTCTGCATACTACTTCAGGACAAAGTGAAAGAGAAGACTCGATTTCAAATTAACTAATCAAATAATAGCAAGAGCCACGAGTCAATCCACTCGTTGTGGCGAGGGAGACAATCAGAACCGGCTGAAACAATTAAAAAAAAACATATTAGGAGAAAGGAAATTAAGCAAATGTAACAATGACGTCTCTGGTCATGTCGAACTTTTGAGAGATCCAAAGAGGCAATGCTCTGGTATCTCCTGGAGACGTCGGGGAAATAGGCTTGACCCATTAACCCCCGCGCCCATCAAACCAATTTTGCCGGAAATAAAATGAAAAGAAAAACACAATACAATATCACGAAACAGAACACATGTTCGGATGAAAGAAATGGCAAAGAGCTTTTAAAATGTCCGTGAGTTTCACTGGAACTTCTCCTGGATACGGAGCTGAGCCTGAAGCTTGGCAATGGTCTCGTCACGGTCGGTGATTTGCTTGCGCAGATCACTGATGGTGCGCTCGGCAGAGGCTTGACGCTCCATCTTCTTGGCACGAGACTTGCGGGCGGCTTCGGTGTTACGAGCACGCTTCGCGGCGATGGGGTCGGTCGGGTCGAAATCGACGGGCGACAGCTCCTTGCGCGAGCGGCTGATGCCAGAAACACTCGAGTGCTTGGTGTGGCCAGTGGCAGGAATAGGAGAGGCTTTGGCAGATGTCACGCGCTTGGGAGCAGGCGACATCGGCTCGGGCTTCGGCTGTGTCTCAGCGAGAGCAGCAGCAACATCGAACTGGGCATCAAACACGTTGCCTCCAGCGGAAGCATCATGGAAGAGTGGGGCCCAATCCTCCTGACCCATGTAATCCACATCAGTGAATAGCGGGGAAGGGTTCTGGCTGAAAGTAGCAGGCGAGTCGTAGGGAGGAGTGCTCAGATCAGTGAACGTGCCCGAAGAGGGCACGGAAGCGTCAAACATCAGATCCTTGGGCGAGATAGTGCCCGTGGGTGCGACGGGAGAGAAAACATCGGCCTCGTGGCCCAGTGGGAGCTGGCCAAGGTCGAGGGGAGAACCCATGCCGGTGTGAAGGCCGGTAGAGGGGAAGCCGAAGAGATCGGCGTCGGGGTCTGAAGGCGGGGTATGAGCGATAAATTCGGAGGAATTAGATTCAGAGTCAGAGGAGAAATTACCTGTGAAGTTCGGAGCGGACATATTGCGGCGGGATGCCAAGTAGTGTTGTTTCTTTTTTTCAAATATAGAAAGATCAGGGGTTCCGGCGTGGAAGGTGGGAGCGGAAGGGTGACTGTGAGGCGAGTATGAAGGCACGGAAGCCGCGTGGTAGTGCGGGGAGCGCTTCAAGTTGGGGTGAGACCAGTAGGAAGGAGACCGGGCAAGCTTGGTCACTCTGGGGTCCTGAGGGGGAGAACCAGAGAACTGTTGTTGCTGGAGATGACGATGCAACTGTAGGCTGAAGGAATGTCTTCGAGGATTGTTCTGCGCCAGAAAGGGCTGGAGGGCAGATGGCTTAGGGGCAGTACTCGAGGGTACGGTCGCACGCGAGTCTCTGAGTTGAGGCTGCGGACGAGGAGCTGGAGCTTGCGGAGCGGGATAGAGTACGAAGTCCTCTAACGCACTGTTGTTGTTGTTGTTGCTGTTGTTGTTCGAACTGGAGGCCTGTGGCAGATGGGGCGGGGGCGTGGGAAGCCATGATTGCTGGAAGGTATCCGTGGTGAACGACGTAAAGTCGATCGGGCAAGAGTTGGGGTTGGGAGAACTTGAGCTAGCGGGGAGGCTGCTGAAGTTCAGAGGGTCCTGAAAAGGAGACTCTGAAGAAGGTTGTTGAGGGGAGAAAAAAGACGAAGTTCCCGTGGGATCAATGATGTCTGTCTCTAGTGAGAAAGACGGAGACTGTCGAGACGAGTCGCTTAGAAAGCGGCCATTTTGGATCGGGGATTCAAAATGATGTTTCAGTGTAGGCAGAATGGTGGAAAATTTAGAGATGATATCAGAGTGTGGATGTAGTTATAGATGGATGAATAAATCACGGTGGATGAAGGAAGAAAGAAAAAGGCAGGCATCGACGGGGGGGGAATTCAGGCACTTCTTAAGCGGAAGACCAATTTGGCTGTGTGCGCCGAGTGTCCGGTGGGCCAATCAGCAATCAGGACTCGTTGGGGCTGAGGCCTGGTTCAGGTCACGGGGTGTGAGTCACACTTGATTGTCGCGTTGTGATTGGTTGAGACTCCGGTGGCCCCTCCTATTGGGGGACCCGCAGGAGGCTACACCAGGACAAACAGTACATGACGGTACATGACGGTACATGACAGTGCCTACATACACACTCTATTTTGTACTGCCCTTCCTCCCTTCCTCCCCTCCTCCCCACCACTGCAAGTACCGACAAGTACCTCCCTCCCGAGCCTCCCTCCCCTCTCCTCCCCCTCTCCTCCAATTGACCAATCTACGCCCTTTGCCTGGCATGTCCCAAGGCATCCACACTTCATCCACAACGTTTGAGAAATTCCCAGTCCCCTGATACTGATACTGTGGTGGCCTGGACTTAAAACAGCGCCAGATCTATTCCTCTGCGGATCCTCTTTCCCGTGCATGACGTCTGCCTGGATCTTTTCTTCATCTTCATATTTGCGACAAAGACGCCCAGGCTCGTGTTTTCGTGTTCGCATCTTCGCAGCATTATTAATCCAAAACGGTTGCCCGACAATCTCACTCAACTACGTATTCCCTAGCCTCAAGGTAAAACCCCGGCGGATGACCCTCGGAACAAAACCCTCGTCTCCGACTCGACTCGACCACTCTCTCGATGGAGTACAGACTCCACCGATCCTTTCCCAATCCTGTCCCCGCCCCGGGCTGTGTCCGTGGCCCGTGTGCCCCTGCTCTGTCTCTTTTGATCTTAGCCTTGCCGAAGGGCGTGAAATTAATATTGACTTTATCGCAACCCTCCACAGAGATCGTCCCAAAATCAATCTGCATCTGAAATCATCAAGGGTTGCATTTCCTTCCCTGACCGTCTATTCTCGTTCAGATGATAGGACGGAAGTTCCATCCCGGTTTTAACTACTGTGATTCATCTTAACTACTCTCCCTTTATCCGTAGATTGATGATCAACGAGTCCCCCACCATCCATGAAATAATTCTTTAGCCTGGTCGCTTGAGCCTTCCTCCAAAATCAACTACTAACAACTAGTTCATTTTCGCTGACTTCGTACGTACCTGGGAGATCCACCGGGTGAAACGGGGTTCGCATTTGAACCGCGCTCCTTGGCGGTCCGCCCCCGAGGTTCAAAAATCAGCGACTGGCTGACCGGGTTTCATGTACAGAGCCCGGCCCGGTCTAAGCAGAATTAAGAGGTGTACTAGTATGGGCACACCAATTTGAAAGTAGGATTCTAGATGGTAATATCTCTGATATGTCACTGTCACAATGCATACCTAGGAGATACTTGTCAAAATACTACGAGTAGTAGTATGAGTTTCTGTGGGTTCCCGCCCACCGAGATACTAGTATCACATCGTCTGTTTATGTCAGGTAGGAAGTATAGTATATGTACGATGCTAGTACAACGAGTATGCCATGACTTCCATCAGTACTGACCTCGGGATAGTAGTACACTGCCCATTGGCAGGTATCGTCATTTCTTCCCCATCTTACATCATGATGCTCGTACTACTACTCAAGTAGTTCTACCTGACTCACAGATATTCGTATAAGATTCGTAGTACGCATCTACTTGTATGCCTGGTGAGTGTATTTAAACCCCGGAATTTTTCAATATAAATATTATTAAAACCCAACTGTTGGGGTATCCAAGTTAAATCAATTGCTGCATACCTAGGTACCAGCACTACTAGCATTGTTTGAACCCTCCTGATATATCCTCAACTCATACCACCTAGGCACTCAAGCAACCTGGGCACGATCTTGCATGATGGCTGCATCTGCCGATACTACTAGTAGTATCAGTCCGACAACCCAACCTGAAGACCACGCAAACCCCGACCTATCCGAGTCTCCTGCCACAATAGCAAGCAGAGGAAACGAGATAACCGGACTAAAAATCTTCCAGAAAACAGACCCAGACGATGACATCGCCCCATCAAGGGTTGCCGAACTCATGGCAGAATTGATAGCCGACAAACCAACCGGAGGCAGAGAAATATCCTACGGAGAGAAGGACACCCAACATCTGCGCCTCTGGAAAGCGAACCCAAAATCCCACCAAGCGCCAACAATCGTCTTCGTGCATGGCGGCAGTTGGCGTATAGGAACGAATCTTGACTCCATCGGCTCAGTCAAAGTATCTCATCTGACCGAACAGGGCTACGCCTTCGCGTCAGTAAACTATACGCTCATCCCCGTCATCGAAGTCGAAGAGCAGGTCCAGGAAATAGCCCAGGCGATAAGCTTTCTGCTCAAAAACGCAGCAAGTCTAGATATAGACTCCGAGCGGGTGATTCTGATGGGTCACAGTTCCGGTGCACATGTCGTTACCCTGCTAGGAACGGACACGAAATATCTCACGCGGGCGGGTGTTGACATCCACGTCGTTAGAGGAGTTGTTTCCATCGATGGTTCGAATTACAATGCCCCGGCGAACTACTCGATAGTCCCGGCCCAGTGGTGGAGAGTTTGATCCGGGCTCTTGGAACAGACCCCGAGCGACTTCGCGCAATATCACCGACCTACCATGCGTGCGCGCCTAATGCAGCGGCTTTCTTGCTTCTGCATGCTCATCGACAGGGAGATGTGCGGCAGGCGGTTGAGTTGGCTGCGGCGCTACATGCTTCTGGGACCAAGGTTGATCTACGTGTCTTTGAGGGCGAGGGTTTTGAGGGTCATGTACGGATGCTCCTTCGTCTTGGAGATCCGTCTTACCCGGCAACATTGGTATTGGAGGACTGGCTTAGAATGCATGTTCCTGTTTCTCTTACGTAGTATGCCCAGCCTATCTTATCCTTAGAACGTCATTCACTGTTCGCCAAAATCCTCCTTACATCTTCTTGAATTTTCCTTTTTTTCCTGTCACCTCAACAAAATAATCAATTCAAATTACTCATATAGCCAAGATGCCACACGGCGTGGGTCTCGATCAGCGCGAGGTGACCCTTGACTCAACAGGCTAGGACCACGCTTCACATACTTTCCATCCCGTACTTTCCCCACGATTTCCCCGTTCGCCCAAATGATCTTTCCACGTAGAATCGTATATCGAGGCCAATTGCTGAATTCAGTTCCTTCATACGGCGTGTCTGAAGAAAGGTGTGGTGTTAGATCTCGCATATCATCTTCCGTAGACCAGCCACTTACAATCAACATTGTGATGGAGCATGGAGTTGGTGAGATGGAACGATTTGAAAGTCTCATCCGGGTGCCACTAAGTTCTCATGTATCAATATACCAGTTCTGGGTTAACGAGGGAGGAAATCGTACAATCACCAAGTCGGCATCGGATCCAGGCATCAGCGCGCCTTTCCTTGGGTACATGCCATACTACCCCTTATTAACATTCAAAGAAAGCAAAAACATAGCAAACGATCTCGTCCTTACCAATTTTGCAGGATTAGTAGATGTCAACTCGACAAATCTCTGTGGTGAAATCCGACCCTTTGCCAGTGCCCCAGTATATAGCAAAGGCAATCGTGTCTCCACACCAGGGATCCCATTGGGAATAAAAACGAAATGCACCCTGTTTGCGGCGCAAGAGGCCTTGCAATTCCTTCCCTTCATGCTGATGTTCAATTTCGCCTTCCATACTAGGCTTGTGCTCAAGCACTCCCGATAGCTTCCCATGGGGATGGTCATAGCGGAAAGGGCAATGATCTGAGGAGTAGATCGTGAACGTACCATTTGCGAGACCACTTTATCGGTTAAAATAAATTTCCATAGACTTTTGAGAAAAATGGAGCTTGGGAAACTCACACAAAGAGATCTTCATGGTCGGACACAGTGAGGGGCGGAGGTGGCGAGCAGATCATTTTGCTGTTCTCGAAGCAAGTGGGAGAGTGGAAGCGTTTCTAACATTATAGCTAGGCATTAGAGCCATTATTTCTCGTATATATAGAATAACTTACCAGATCATTCCAAGTCAAATGGAAATACTGGGGGCATGTTTCCGCATAAATTGGTAAACCCATGGTTTGTGCCCGACGGAGATTAGCTGCCCCAAGCTACTGGAATTAGCAATAAACTTTAAATGGAAAGCGCCGTTCGTACCACTGATCCGACATGAACGAAAAGAATCGGGCTCTGAATCAGCTGAGCTAAAGCGATTGCTCGATTTGTGGCTTCTCCCTCGACAATTGGTGGGCGCGACAAAGCATGGTAAAAAGGGGCTGCCATCAGTGAGTTTAGAAATATTTTCTGGTGTTAGGAACAACTTACCAACCATGCCTTTTTGCTCGAGTTTGTCTTGACTTTAGTTAGCTTTGATTCAAATCAGCATACTTTCGACACTACCTGTCAACCATTCGATCATATCACCATTCTCGGCATGGATCATCTGCAACAAATTAGTGACCATTTATAACTCACGATAATGGAACTCACTGTGGTAATCGCATTCTTCCTAGCTGCAAACATGACATCCAGTAGCTGAGAATCAGTAAGGCACTGGGTCTTGTAAGTCAAAAACAATTTGATGCTACTGATGCCCCAGTCATTCATCAAGATTGGCATCTCATTCTCGAGAATGTCAGCATCATTCCGAACGATAATGATGTGAAAGCCATAATCAACGTAGCTGCCCGTCTCCTCAGCACGAGTGTTGTAAGCTTCCACTACCTTCAGCAAACTGCGGTCTTCTCCTTTGCGAGTCTGGGTCGCGAAGGTAATGATGGTCGTCGTACCACCCGCAGCTGCACTTCGAGACCCTGTTTCAAAATTGTCGGCACACTCACCACCTAAGCCATGGGGCCCTATACCAGGATATAATTAGTATTATTCTCTAACGCCAGAATTTTGCACTTACCAGTTTCCAGATCCTGACACAGATGGACATGAGCATCAATACCCCCTGGCATTACATAGGCACCTCTGTTGCGAGACTCAGCTTGTTGCCCTTTAGTATTCACGTTGACATAACAGACTGTGCATCTATAACTTCCGCGCCTTTCAATTCATCTCCTGTGAATGAGTCTGCAAGAGCTCGAATCTTTCCATCTTTGATTCCAATACAACATGTACTTTGTCGAGTTAGCCACCGTTTCCCTCAACATTCTTTCGTAATCGCTGTGGAAATACCTAATGTCACTGGCAGTAACAACATTGCCATTCACAACTACCAGGTCGAATTTAGATTCCATTTTTGCTCTGTAAAATGATATTTTGTGTGATCAATACATATCCTTCAATTGCCCCCGGGAGGGGGCTTAAATTCGCGCCGGTGCGGGCGCCGGCCAATTTCCGCTGCTTATCACTGGGTTCGAGATAAGCTTTGCCGGCCAGAGGGGGGGGGCTTACCTTATCGAGGCGGTCTTTGATTGATAGCATTTTCTGCATCAACTGTGCTCTTATCGGGTTCAAGTTATTGATTGTGAATATCGGGACATCCCATGTAGAACGGTGTGGTTCTACATATATCCCCAACAGCAACCTGTGAAAATTAAGAGAAAAATATTCTAGGCGAGGTATCTATGCTCCATTAAGGAACCACTAGACTTTAAAGTTGATCTGATACAATCTTGAATAGGATATTGTTCAAAGTGAAAGGAGCCCTCAATTCAACCTTGGAAATTATAGACAAGTTTCCTTCTGTACATAACCTTCTTTCTCAATTTTTGAATAATTAGAATTTATTGTCAGACTACTTGAACGAATAACTCAACACAAGTTAAGTTGCACCCGGGCCTCATCTCTTGAACATTCTCCGTCATCCTCCTCAATCTTTGCCGGGATAGGCTTGTTTGCCAGGGGAGTCAATCTAAACCCATGTCTTCGATCTCCAACAGGGTAGTCTAGGGTTTGCGAGTGATTAGTGACCCGCTGATCCCATACAAGGACAGTGCCTGCTTCATAGCGAATCCGGCAAGAAAAGTCCTGTCGCTTGGCGATATGATCAAAAAGGAACTTGAGAATACAATCGGACTCTTCCTGGTCGAACCCGACAATTTTCTTCGTGTAAACTGGGTTGACATCTTTCAAATATGAGCGTCGGAGCCTGGAAATAGAAAAAAAAGATTTGGTAAGACCTTACATAGGGCTTTTTGTTTCGTCACGGGATGGATAATCACGACAGGATGCTCAGATTGAAGCGTTTGTCGTCGCATGATAGCCTTCTGGCCGTGCTTAAGCTCTTGAGTGACACCGTCATTGTTGCTGTGAATAGCAGTGAGACCCTCGAGGCGCTTTCGAAACCGAGGTGAGAGACTGCTGAATGCCCGAACACTGGAGCTTACGAGCGTATCCCCGCCACCCGTGCTAGGAGACTCCAGCATAGCAATAAAGGTGGTTCCAGGAGGCTGTTTCTCAGGGCTCTGGTCTGTGTGCCATTGAACTGGGCTCCGGCCGGCCCAAGACTGCCTTACTCGGAGATCACTATTGACTGAATATCAACACTTGAATCTTCATGGTTGCAAAATGTCGTTGTCTAACTCTTTGTGATCGTATATGATCATATGCTCCTCCGATTCCGCAATAGGATGAGGGGCCCAGCCGTGAATATGCAGAGGACCAAAATGACTGACTAATTTTTTCTGCTTTTCGAAACCAATATCCACAAAGTCTTGGTCGCGAAACACCAAAGCACCTCTCTGCGCAGCGAGGAGAGCTAGTTCATCCAACCCAGCACTGTCTAGCTGGGAGAGCTGCACGCCGTGGATCTCAGTTCCCACATGAGGTGACAGATCCACCATCTTGGTCACATTTGCGAGAATATTAGGCAGTTTAGGGTCAGCACGGTGACCAGGGTCGATGTGTTCGAATGCACCGATATCCTCTACCTTCTCGAGAGGGTCATAAAACGCTGTTGAGATAAGGTTTAGCCTTCGCCCCACGATTCATAACCGAATTTTAATATCATAGTAGACTTACGCATGTACTTTGGATACAGGAGCTTATCATTGTCGTTTTCCTTTCGAGCAATGGTGCTGGTGGTAGAGTCTGTAGCAGTGCTAAACATTTTGTCGTTAAACAAAAAAGTCGTTTATTCAGTATGAGACGACGATCCAATTTATGGAGCATATTTAACAGCCCTGGAGAATATTGCCAAAAATTGGTATGGTTAGAATAGGGTGCTGGATTTTCACAATTTTCTATCGAATTATTACTGAGATTAGAGTTGGCCGCTCGGCCAACCCCACGGGGACTTGTCAGTGGTATCGCTCGAACGCGGCCAAGAGGATGGAGACCGATCCAGCGAATCACTGATATTGTTTTTTATTATTGCTGTGGTTTGATTGGAATTTGCCTGAATCGGACTTGGTAGGAGTAATCCTGGCTCATTCAACTGGGCCAAACCAACGACATGGTTTCAATCCTTCGAGAGATAGCAAAGCTCTCTCGAGGGAAAAGATAAACTAAGGTGATGTGAAAATATCTTAAGCTCGCTCATGATCATGACAACTCACTTCGATTTTGAGATAAAAAAAATAACGCTACGATATCTCGCCATGGAGTCGACTGATTCTTCACAGCCATCTTCCATAACCGACACAGAGCGAAAAGGAGAGGCAGTAGCTACGGTTACAAACGAAAGTTCGGCGCTTGAATATGAACGTTTTCTCCGCCTTGAGAATGAGTTCAGCGGGGCCTCGAAGAAGAGGCTCCTCAGAAAGCGTAATTTTTTCACGATGATGGATCTTATTCTCGAAGCTCATTGTACTTGAACACAGTAGACCTGCGCCTACTTCCGACACTGAGCTTTCTATATTTGATGTGTTCGCTCGATAAATCCAATGCAGGAAATGCGAAGGTAAGCAAGATGATTATTCTTTTAGCCAAATCAAAAATACTGATCTCTGAGCATAGCTATTCGGTCTTTTGGAGGACATTGGTATGGATGGTACTCAATTCAACCTTGCCCTTATGTACTTTTTCTTCACCTACGGACTGTTTGAACCGGTATCGAATATCATGCTTCGAAGAGTTGGCCCCAAGATATGGTTCCCTTTTATTGTGTGTGCCTGGGGGCTTATCACAACTCTCACATCGCAAGCAAGCTCTTATGGTAGTTTTATCGTTATTCGTCTGATGCTTGGAATTACCGAGGCTGGACTATATCCTGGGGCATATTTTATTCTCTCAATGTGGTACACCCCGAAAGAGATCGGCACCAGAATGGCCATTTTTTACGGTGCCAACACCACAGCAGGTGCCTTTGGCGGTGTTATCGCTTATGGTGTTGGATCTCTTGATGGGAGCCTTGGATGGAGAGCGTGGAGATGGCTTTTTCTGATTGAAGGATGTATCACCATCTTCGCAGGACTTTGTTGCTTTTTCTGCTTGCCGTGAGATCTTAACATCCAAACTTGAACCTATTTATTGACGAACTAAAATTTATAAATAGCGCATTTCCTCATCAATACCAAGTTGGTAAGATTACCTCTTGGCTCACAAAAGGAGGAGCTTGAATATGCTTCCCTTCGCATCAAATACGCCAACGGTCATGTCTCCTCCACATATGAATTCCGCTGGAGCGATGTCATAGCAGCCGCGAAAGACCGGAAAACCTACTTCATGTACGCCGCAAATTCCTTATTATCTTTTACTGGTCGCTAATATTTCTTAGGATGATGCTATTTTGGTGGGGCGGTTCTGTCCCTACATATTCGCTCTCTTACACTCTGCCCACCATGGTCGCAAACCTTGGATATTCTTCAGTGAAGGCGCAAGCTTTGACTACACCTCCATACATTTTCGCCACCTGTGTTTGCGTTGCTGTCGGGTATATCAGTGATCGAAAGAGTCGCCGGTATCAATGCATAATGGGCGCATATACTCTTGGTCTTATGTAGGTTGATCCCTGCTGAAATCGAGAGAATGGTGCTAACTTTGATTTAGTGGTATCATTATTTTGTGGATCACTGTCCACTATTCTTCACTCCCCGGAGTTAGCTACTTTGCTATATTCTTAGCTGCTGCTGGATATTCAGCACAGGCACCAATAGTAAGGCCTAATTTTGATGCTTGGCAGCGCACACATGACTTATTATTCGATAAATCTAGGTCGGTGCATGGACGAGCTCTAATATCACAAACCCCTCAAAAAGAGCAGCTGCCATTGGCCTTTTGATGCTCCTTGGCAGTGTTGGTGGGGGTAGTATTGGATCCAATATCTATATCTCTAGCGAGGTAAATCGATCAGGGAAACAACTCAGAGAAATCCCCGGGATTGGCTAACATATCACAGGCTCCTACTTATCCTCTCGGATTTGGGTTCTCAGTCGGTGCTACTGTGCTTGGTGCCATGATCCCTGCTACAATACATTGGTATTTGATGCGCAAAGAAAACAAGCGTAGAGACGGCTTAAATATTGCCGAAGTCGAGAGAACCTATACAACCGAGGAGCTAGGAGAGATGGGAGAAGATAGTCCTTTATTCCGCTTTGTGCTTTAGAGAAAAAAAGACGAACAACCCTGTACTAGATTTTCCAAATCAATTGAATAATTGCTTATTTGTTTCTCATCACTTATTCAAAATTGGAATGACTCAATATTCCCAGCTGTGCATATCAATTTCGAGAACGTGACGTATCCGTTTCAGATAGAGATCAAAAGCAACTCCCACTATAGAGGCAATCAAAAGGAACACATGGGAATTCATAGGTGTAAATAGACAAGATAACGCTTTGGTATCGAGGCCCATGTCATCATTGAGATAGTGTGGGTGCAGCTAAGGTGCTCTGAAACTTCGGCCACGTATAGGAAGGTTTGGCCTATCTCTCAGTATCTTATAGCGCTTATCCTTACCTTAGTGTCCCATAGACCCTAGACACCCTAGCCGTAAGGGAATAAGGTAAATAGAGGGTCAAACAGCCATAGTTGACAGCGACAAGGGTGCCAAAAAAGCTTTCACCTTGCCTAAAGGCTCCGATCGAAATTCACCTGATACATACCAGCCAGCAGCACCCACACAAAATGCGGCCACTGCCCACGGGAATCTATACACCGTTACCTTGCTTCTTTGATGGAAATGAAGATCTAGGTGAGATTGAATAAAAAAGATCTGGATTTGAAAGGTTGCTAATATGGATTGAAGACCTTGATGCTTTCCAGAGCCATGTCAAATGTATAGCATTTATTGCATACCCATAAATCTGCGCAATTAATTAACCCATTTGAAAGTTATCGCGAGCGCAGGAACTACCCCAGTGGTATCTGGGTCTATGGGCGAGGCTGTCCACTTGGTAAATAGCTTCCTGGGAAAGATACTTTAATCACAGAGCAAGGGAAAATCTAATGAAGTTTTGTTTTAGAGCAATGAAGAAAAGAAACAGCTCATCCAGTCCGCTCGCTTCGCGTTGGATGAGATCAGCCTACAGCATGTCCCGATTGTTGCGGGTACTGGAGCGGCCAGCACTCGCGAAACCATTCAACTCTGCAAGGACGCCGCAGAAGCAGGAGCAGATTATGTGATGGTAATTCCACCAGGATATTATGCGGGAGCATTGCTGGCGGATTATAGTGCGATTAAGAAATTCTTCGTGGATATTGCAACGACATCACTGGTGCCAGTGTTTGTATTGTCCTGATCATTTGACATTAGAATTCTCTAACATACTTCAGGATAATATACAACTTCCCTGCCGTATCTGGTGGTATTGATATGGATAGCGATTTGATTGTGCAAATTATCAAGTCGTCTGCCAATATTTGTGGTGTAAAGTTGACGTGCGTGCTTGCTGATTATATCCCAGTCAATATTCGTTCCAGCTAACAGAAGTCGGCAGATGCGCTAACGTTGGCAAGTTGACTCGAGTCATAGCTCAGATTTCGAGCCAATCATTCCAACAAGAATACCCTCGATCATCAACTACGCCCTTTCGGGCTATCGATGGCTTTATTGACTTCTTGTTGCCATCCATATCAGTTGGATCGGCTGGTGCAATCAGCGGTCTCCCTAATATAGCTCCTGTGAGTATCACCAGGCCTGGCAATTTTGATTTTCGAGATCAACTGACCCAGGTTAGAAATCGTGTGTCAAACTGTGGAATCTTTGCCAAGACCCGAAATCCATTAAGGAGGCATCCGAATTACAGAATCTGATCGCCCTTGCCGACGGAGTAGCGTTGAAAATTGGGGTGAGTGAAACTTTTTGTGATGAATCCTGGCAATGGTCGATGTTTTGCTCACAAAATGGCCGTGGTAGATTGCTGGGATGAAGAAGTTGTTGCATCGAAACTTCGGGTATGGAGATAGACCACGCCTACCACTGTTGCCGATGGATGAAAAAGTTGCGGACACAGTTCTATCGAGTCCTTTCCTCAAAGCACTGTTGGACTTGGAGGCTACACTTTGAATTAGAGGAAACGAAGAAGTTTGACACCATTTATTGGTTAATCAACTCTGGGGAGATTTCCTTTACTTTTACCCTCTTGCCTGAGATACCGACAGCGGGGCCAAATTCATGCACCAATCGCGGTGGCAAAAGAGTCTAAATTGCAATTTCTACTATAGACTACTGTACAATTTATGTGGTAAAGAAAAATGACTAACCAATGAAACGTAGTTCCAATGACTACCCGAACGATAATCATTCCAATATGGCCCGTTAGGGTCTAACTTGAACTATATCATCCCCGCAGATAGTGGCCTTCCCCACACGCCTGATAAGCCCGCGCCTGGGCACGAGATAAGGACTTGCTTCTCTTGCCAACGTTCTTTATTCCTTCAATTTCTTCTATATTGATCTCATAATGGACTTTTATGCTTCTGGCCCAAATCAGAATGGTCGCTCATACAAATCTCGAAAATGTCGTCCTTGCGATTCTTGTCGCAGGCGCAAAGTCACATGCAATATGCCACTGGGACCACCCTGCCACCGATGCACCAACAAAGATCAAGGATGCACATTTGAAGAAGCTCCAGGGCCGCGGAAGAGAGCGAAGCTAGGCGAGTCAATTTCGGGGACTATTGAATCAAATGACAATCCCGATGAGTGGCTTCATGTCTTCACCGAAACCCGACCGAACGTCGAGCAAAGCGATGAAGTGTGGACACCAGAGGAAGCTTGTCGAGGACAGCTAGTGAATGAACGAGACTTTGAACCTCAAACTCAGCGAACAGAATCGAGAAGTCCACCGACGAGCATGTCCGCGCCCGATCTAAATCTCACAGCGAGGATTGATTCGCGTGGCAGCATTGCATCTAGCTCCGGAGAATCTCCACCGAGTCGAAGGGGACCGGTATCTAGGGATTCCCCATCTCGAATGGATTCCCTCGAATCCATCCCGGGAGCATTCAGCTTTTACATCGGACCAACTGGAGTTTCCGATATCCACATATTGAGCCACCAGCCATATGATGACCAAAACGTTTCATTGCCGAAGGTGAACGGTTTGAAGTACCGAATCATGAACGGTTCGCGCCAAAAAAATGACGAATCATTTGACCTTTCACCTCCTACCGTTTTTGGCATTACCAATCACTCCCTTTTAGCGAAGGCTGAGCCGAAGCTAGACCCAGAACTTTTAGACAATGCTTGGCCTCGTCTATGGGCTATGATGGATTCCACGGAAGCATGGCATCTTATCCAGCTCTATTCTCGCTACGTGGACCCCTATTTTCCAATCTTATCAAAACACCAAATTCCACCGTCGCCAACAGAACTACACGATATGCCCTTGGCATTATTGACAGCAATTTGCGCCACTGCTCTTCCGTTCATAATGTATGATGGTGGTCTTTACACGTTGCTGTTGAATCCACCATCAAGCGAGCAGTTGTATCGCTTGTGCTGGCTTTGTATATCGCAGGAACTTCACACACCTTCTCTCGCAACCCTTCAAGCATGTCTTCTTTTTCAACAGAGACTGCCCACAAATATATATCTTTCTGACACAGCGTTTGCATGGTCGCTCATGTCAACTTCCCTCGCTGTTGCGCAAACCATTGGTCTTCATCGAAATCCGGAATCTTGGAGCTCCATTCCTTCTTGGGAGAAAAGACTTCGATGCCGACTCTGGTGGGGCCTTTATGTCGTGGAGAAATGGGTTGCCCTTACACGGGGAATGCCCAGCCACCTTAGTGATGACGACTACGATGTATCTTTGCCGAGGCAAGATATACTAGTACAAAATACTTTGTCAGATTCACCCGACACAAGGAGTCACTTATATCACCTAGCGACATTAACAATGATCTTGTCGGATATCCAAAGAACATTCTATACCGTAAAAGCTATTGGAAAGACTTCTAACGACCTTCAATATTCCTTGGATTTAGCGCGTTCAATTCGTGTTAGGCTCAAGGACTGGCGTGATAACTTGCCAAGCAATCTGAAACCAACTCATAATACACCGAATACATCTTCAACACGACCTAGTGCTGGGGACCTCGAAGGAAACGGGTCCCTCTATCTTTCTTACATTGTCACTCACGTGGCTCTTCTGCGTGCTTTGCTACGACCTCTGGGCCGATGGCCGGCAATCATCCAGCGAAATCAAGACATGGGAGAAGGGACCTATGATGGTGCTAAAGCGGTTGTGAAAGGGGCCTTACTGTGCATCAAGGAGTTTGTCGAATTTATCGAGAAGCTTACTGGGGCGCAATGGAATGCGTTTTGGCATAGCTGTGAGTTTATTGAATCAAACCCTGCTTTGGGCATCGTTCTGATTGATATTTACAGGGAGTCGACCTAATTTTGCGATCGCTGGTTCTTTCATGGTGCATCTTTTACAGATAGTCACTCCAGCCAATCCGACCGAAAGTCAATCAACGCCCACACTTCGAAAATACTCATTCGACGATGAATATGCAGAGCTGCAAGATTGGATACGGAGATGGCGCTGGGCAACACGCATTTCAGCGAATGGAGCGGCGGGGGTTAAAGGTTTAACAAATTTGGGATTCATAAAGGTGGAGACTTTGATGGGAAGTAATATAGCATACATTTGACTAGCAAAGATTCAGCATCATTCTCCCCCTCATCTTTGGCGCATTCCCCGTCGTCATCTTCAATTAAACTTGGAATCGGTACATTGGCCAAAGGAGTCAAGCGGAAAGCATGTCGTCGAGAGCCCGCCTGGTAGTCCAAAGTTTGAGAGTGCTGCGTCACTCTCTGATCCCAGATAACTACCGTGCCCGGCTCATATCGTACGCGACAGCAGAAATCATGTCCTCGGTTGATGTGGTCGAAGAGGAATTTCAACATGTAGTCCGACTCCTCGTCATCCCAGCCCGCAATGCTCTGAGTGTAAGAGGAATTGACAAAAAGTGCCTTCTTCTTAGTAACAGGGTGAACAATCACAACTGGATGGATAGTTCGAGTAATGGGTCGACGAAGAACGGCACTTGAGCCGTTATCGCGAAGTTCACGCATGATCGGATTCGCCGTTGTATGAACGGCCTTAAGGCCTTCCAGACGTTTGCGAAATGAGGGAGAAAGCCGTTCAAAGGCGCGAGTCATCTGTCACATTCTGGTCAGCCGTTAAGCATCGCTGTGCTCAGTACTAACACACTTACGTTAGATATTATCGTATCCCCACCTGCTCCAGGAGGGGACTCGAGCATGCAGAAAAATGTAGCACCTGGAGGCTGAGACTCGGGTGACTGTTTAAGAAAAATTAGTCTTTTGTGCGTCATTGAACTTGGGCCATAGGTGTCCTACCTGATCGACATGGAACTGGATTGGGCTTTTCCTTGCCCAGGACTTGCGAATGCGTAAATCGCTGCTCATGTAAGTGAATGGGTTAGATTGAGAGGGACAGAGAAAGAAGTATCGAGATGAAGTCTCACTCTTTAGAATCGTAGACGATGACAAACTCCTCGGGTCCTTTTTGTGGATGAGGCATCCACCCATGTTTGTGAAGCGGGCCAAAGTGACTGAGAGACATTAGAAAAAGTCATGGCTGCTGCAAGACTGACTAACGATGCAATTCGCTTTTGCTCCTCAAATCCCAAATCCGTGAACTTTTGGTCCCGAAACACAAGACACCCTCGGTCTGCCACCATAAGTGCAAGTTCGTCCAAGCCCTCGCTTGATAAGTCTGACTGGAACGATTGCAATTTCGTTAGCATGGAATCTGCGCCTTGAGAAAAATGCCATCAACTTACAAGCTGAACACCCGGTAGCTCTGTGCCACAATGAGGACTCAATTCCACGACATTTGTCGCTTTTTCCAACAGATTTGGAAACGAGGGATCAGCTCGATGGCCTGGATCGTCATGCTCGAATGGGCCGACCGGTTCGACCTTTTCGAGCGGGTCGTAGAAAGCTATACTTTTCGTTATTCTGAGGTTCTTCTAGGATTTTGACCATATGACTTACGCAAGTAATCCGGGTAAAGAGGCGCCTTTTCTTCGACTAGTTCGGACACCATTTTGGGTGATGAAACGAACTCAAAGGTAACCCAAGTTGATGCAGTGGCTTAATTTCTGAAAACATTAACAAGGTAATTATAGTAGAGCTACGATTGATCCAAAATTTACATATCCCAATCTTTTGATGGAAGGCCTCATTTACTATCCTGCGCTTGGCCGAACATCCAGTGCTTGTCTGCGGCCAACTAACAAAATGCTCCACTCGTTATCAATGGGGAGTGATAAAGATCCTCGGGGAGTCTAGCAGCAATCGGATTGGCCGAGATTGCGAACGTTGGAGTCACTCCGGCGACTTTCGGGGCACCGATAAGCTTATCCAAAGCCTAATACCTAAGGTACCGGCAAACCCTTGGGGATAACAGAAGATTAAAGGCAACTGAGGATGAACAATTCGATATATTGTCAGACCGTGGGTAACCCAAAAGTTCGCACTGAACAACACCACGACACATCAATATGACTGTTGATCAAGTTTCACCCAGCGATGAGTCCAAGGGCACCGGTATTACGGCCGAAGCAGCCGTCAAGGCAATCAAAGCTGGACGAAAAAAAGATGTGGATATTGCTGCACAGATCGTGAGCGACTATGCCGATCAAATGGATGGGGAAACTTGGTCGGTGGAGGAAGAAAGACGATTGATCCGCAGAATTGATTGGAGACTCATACCCACCGTAAGGACCCTCGTCACTCCGATGTCGATGCATGGAGAAAGAAACAAGAAAATTATGCATAAAATTAACATGAACTAGCTATTTGTTTGCGCAACGCTATCAGGGCTCGACAAAACCGCCATCTCAGCGGCGGCAATTTACAACATCAAAACGGATCTCAATCTTTCTGGAGATCAGTATTCGTGGATTGGATCTGCTCCGTTCTTTGGTGGATTGGTTTTTATGGGTCCCTTGGCTTACTGCTTGCAAAAGTACGATCCTATTCATTCTTTTCAAAGGTTTCAGCTTAAAATCAGTATCTGACTGGCTTAGGGTCCCTGCCGTGCCATTCTTCGCTTTCAATGTTCTCTGTTGGGGAATTTTGGAGATGTGCATGGCGGCATGCACCAGCTTTGGAGGCCTATTTGCATGCAGATTCCTTCTCGGTGGTTTCGAATCGCTGTTAATCCCGGCAGTTACATTGGTTGTTTCTATGTGGTATCGACCGGAAGAGCAGCCAAAGAGAAATAGGTACCATGAACCACCACCTTACTATAACGAAAGCAACTGACACGGTGCAGTATAATCCTTAATGTGGTCGCTCCAATTATCAATGGTTTTGTCGCATGGGTTGTTGGATACTACGATGGTCCATTTAAGACGTGGAAAATCATTTTCCTTCTAGTCGGGGCACTAACCGTTGTTACATCAGTGGTCGTCTATCTTGTTTTGTAATATGTGACTTGACTCGCTAATGATTGAAAAATGAGACTAATACACTTCTATAGACCGAACAACCCCTATGAAGCCAAGTTTCTGACCAGTCGTGAAAAGTACATTGTGATTCAACGCAAGGCATCCGATAACACTGGTATCGAGTCAAAGACTTTCAAGGTTGAACAAGTCTGGGAGGCTATTTGGGACATAAAAACTTGGCTGATTTGGATTGCAATCGTTGCCTTGCAGGTGCGTTTATATTTGAGACTTTCAGAACCAAATATTCTGTGCTAAATTTATGAAGGTGCCTAATGGTGGATTGACGACTTTCAATACCCTCATAATCTCTGGTCTCGGTTTCGATTCTTTTCAGACCTCGCTTCTTGCTATGCCCCCCGGGGCCATGAGTACTTTGTCTGGAATAGGTCTATCATATTTAGCAGCGACCACAAGACGGTATCGCACACTTATTGTGACAGTCTCTATTTTGCTCCCGCTTTTTGGTGCTGTGCTGTGCTATGCTCTACCCCGAACGAACCTTCCAGGTCAGCTAGTTGGGCTATAGTAAGTTTACCTGATGTCGATGTTTAAAAGTATATTCATCTTTGCTGACGACTAATAATTTACAGTATTTTATAGTACGTCAAGACCAGTCTTCCTATATTAATTTTGCTAACCAGGTTCTTCAAGCACATATTGGGCCCCATATATCACTCTAGTTTCGGTTTATCAGGCTAATATTGCTGGTCATACGAAGAAGTAATACCTTTTTCTCATTTGTAAGTGACTATTTGCTAATCAAGAAATAGGATCGTTCTATATGCGTGGTTCTATATTGCTTGGGCCACTGGAAACATCATAGGACCCCAAACCTTCCGTGCGGATCAAGCCCCAGAATACACTGGCGGAACTGTGGCAATGATCATTTGCTATATTATTGCAATGTTCGCCATTACATCTTATGGGATAATCTGTCAATTCGGCAACAAGAAGCGCGCAGAGGCGATTGAGAGTCGGATGGCTGTTGATCAAGACTGGTTGGATCTGACGGATAAGGAGAATGAGGGATTCAAGTACACGACATGATTATTTCAATTACGTACCTTAGTTTATAATGAATATTTGTGGCTATAGTAAAATATCCCGAGATTTTGTGTGAGGAACCTGTACATGGTAAAGAGAAGGAAGTACTTCGGGAAGAAGTGAGATGCCTACTTCGTCTCTCGATTTTAATTATACGCTCACCCCCGTACAGTGGCGTTGTAAAACCACTGTACGTATGTTTGAGAGCGAGGGTGTTAAGGGCCATGTGCGGATACTCCTTTGTCTTGGAGATCCGTTTTACCCGGCGGCATTGGTGTTAGAGGACTGGCTAAGAATGCATGTTCCTGTTTCCTACGTAGGATGCCTAGCGGAAAGTGGAGACTGCGCCGTTGATGAGATGATGTACATACATGACTAGTACCCCATAGTTAACTACTAGCCAGCGCATCTTGATGGAGACTGTATCGTGCATAATGCTTTGCAGCGGCTAAGATCCACTTGATGCGGCTTGACCCATCGCTCCGATCAACCGAACAAGCTACTATGTAGTAACTACGAGATTTACATCTAGATTAATAGAGTGCAGATGTGAAGGCAAAGTAGATTCTATTAATTATTACCTATCGCAATATGTGCCCACATCCCGAAGTATGTAAAATAAACCCCGGATGCCGGGAACATCGGTAGACAACAAGTCCAGGCGCACGCAATTTGGAGGAGCAGCATAGAAACACCAGCGATAAACCGGAGATCATAAAACTCTCGCAAAAATCACAGCAACCTTTCCTCCCCATAGGGTATCGAGCACGAATATCAGAACGCACAGAACCGGACAAAGGCAGAGTGGTATCAATCTAGTCGGGCGACGCACCACGTAACGCGTCAACAAGTCGTAAATCGAAATTCGATTGCGGGACGCATGTCGTTAAAAGGAATGAACGGCGTCGGTCGAGGCACCGAGGCGGATTATTGAGGGGCTTTTTTGGTATAAGGAAATCGAATGAAAAGTAAAACGGCGACAGCGGGTATCTCATTGACACCCTTCGGACCACAAGCTCACAAGATAGTAAGACAATGCAAATAGGAAGGATGACAGTGGCGAGTAACAAAAAAAAAAGTACTGAACAAAGAACTGTAAAGACAATTGGTATAAAGCCGTATTTGCACCTTCAGGACGCGGCGTGGCCGAGCCCATCCGGACGATTATGAGCTGGCGATGAAGAGGTCATGTCCCACCATCGCTCAAACTCGATGTGTCGCGAGGACACAATTCAAGCAGCAGCCTGGACGGGGGTGGCGGCAGCAACGTTGACGTTCTTAGCCTCCTCAGCGGCGGGCTCAGTGGCCTGGGTAGCCTCAGCGACAGCGGGAGTCTCCTCGGTAACGGCAGCAGGGGTCTCCTCGGTAGCCTCCTTGGTCTCCTCAGGCTTGGTCTCGGCCTCGGCAGCGGGAGTCTCCTTGTCAAGCTTCACAGCCTTGCTGGGCTTGCGGAACAGGCCGCCGAGCTTGTTGGACTTCTCCTTCTTGGCCTCCTTGGTCTCACCATCGGTGACCTCGTTGTCGGAGGTATCGGCCTTCTTCTCCTTCTTGCCGAAGGCACCGAAGAAAGAAGTGCGGCGCTTGTCCTTGGGAGTGGTGGCAGCCTCGACGGGGGTCTCGGGGGCAGCGGCGGTATCCTTGGCAGCCTCAGCCTCAGCGGGGGCAGTCACGGTCTCGGGCTCAATGGGCTTGACAGCGGCCTCCTCGACGGGGTTCTCGAGCTGGGGAGCAGTGCTGGCGACAGCGGTCTCCTCAGCGGGGGCGGCGGTGGCCTCCTTCTCGGACTTCTCCTGGGAAGGGGAAGAGACCTTGTTGAACAGGCTGCCGAAGATGGAAGCGCGCTTGGCCTTCTTCTCCTCCTTCTTCTCCTCAGCGGGCTTGGTCTCCTCGGGCTTGGCCTCGTCCTTAGCAGGGACCTCGGGGGCGGCCTCAGTGGTCTCAGTGGCAGCGGCGGCAGGCTCAGCGGCGGCCTCAGTAGTGGGCTCAGCAGCAGACTCGGCGACGGGCTCAGCAGCCTTGGTCTCCTCAGCAGTCTCTTCCTTGGTCTCCTCAGCCTTGGTCTCCTCCTTAGCGGGGGCCTCCTCCTTCTTGCCCAGGAGGGAGCCGAAGATGCTGGAGCGCTTGCGAGACTGGGAGCGGCTCTTGGTGGCGGCCTTCTCCTCCTTCTTCTCTTCCTTCTTCTCCTCGGCGGGCTTGGCCTCCTCAGCGGGGGTCTCCTCGGTGGTCTCCTCCTTCTTCTCCTCAGCGGGCTTCTTGGCGGCAGCGACGGCGACAGCGGGCTTGGTCAGCTTCTCAAGCTCAGCCTTGTAGCCCTCGCTGGAGGTGATGGTCTCCTTCTCAGCCTTGGCCTCAGTAGCCTTGGACTCGAGAGCAAGGACCCAGCTGTCGCGCTCAGCGGCGCTGGAGGCCTGGAAGGTGTGCTTCTGGCCGGCGACCTTGAAAATGAACTCGTTGGAGCTCTCCTTGGTGATATCGGTGACCTCGGCGAGGCTGAAGATACCGGCGGGGGTGGCCTTGTCCTCGGCGCGCTTGGTGAAGAACAGGAGACCCTTGCCGGTCTGGGTGGCCCAGGCGACAATGGGGTTGGCGACGGCGGCCTTCTCGTTCTGCTGGAAAACGGCCAAGTTCTTGGCCTCAGTGGCCTCCTCGCTGAAGTAGAAGAAACGCTTGGAGAAGCGGAAGCCCCTGCGCAAAGAAAAGAAGTTAGTCACAAGCTCTATGCGCGCGTTGTCGCAAAGTAAACAGAGGACTCGGGAGCTTACTTGACGAGACCGGGGGCCTTGTGACCGAGGGTACCCTCAGTAGCAGGCTTGATCTCCTCCTTGGCCTCCTCCTTAACAGGCTCAGCAGCCTCGGTGGTCTCAGCGGCGGCAGTCTCCTCAGCGGGAGCAGCAGCAGCAGCAGGAGTCTCCTCAGTGGTCTCCTTAGGAGCCTCAACAGCAGCCTCAACGGCGGGAGTCTCAACAGCGGGGACGACCGCGGGGGTCTCCTCGACAGGTTTCTGGACGTCAGACATGATTAAAAAGTATTAAACCGAAGTGGTTGGGGGTATCGATTAAAGAAGCAGAGCTTCGAAGAAACGGCGAGTTTGGGGGTATCAGGGTATCTTGAAAGCAAAGAAATAAGAGCTACAAAAGAGCTCGGGTATCACAACGACGTAGGAAAAGGGGGGGGTATTCTGCTTTGGAAGAAGGAAAAGAAGAAGAAGAGGAAGAAAAAGGGAGGAAAGGGCAAAAAAAAAGAGCGACGGGGGGGGGGAGAGGGGAGCAACCAAAGGGGAAAGGAGCTGCAGGGAGCCCAGACCAGTGGGTCCCTGGCGCTTAGTTAGGTAACAGGGGATACCGTACACACTGTACCTGTTGGGTACTTGGGTACTTGATACTTGATGTATACGAAGTACAGAATATACTTATAGAATACTGTATACTGTATACTGTATACTGTATTTGATTTGACTGATATTCACAGGAGTCCAGAGTATACATTGTACTCTTTATCTCTCCCTGCTCCCTATTGGAGGGACCGCAAATCCTGTACGAGTAAGCCAACAGCGGGTTGTAGATGTAGGGTACCCCCGGCATCACACCACCGAGAGCTTCAGAGATCGGCCATGCATTGGACACTCTTTCCCCCTAATTTGCCCGTGCAGTCGGGTTCTCTCCCGTGCAAATTAACGGGCTTTGTTGCCCTCGAATGAGAATTAGTTTTTTTTATTATTGATTATTTTTACGATTTCCTCCCCCTAATTTTCTAGAATTTCCTGAAATTGATTAATTGTTATTGTTATTGTTATTGTTCTCTGTACATTGTAATTTCCAAGGTTTCCTGTAACTTGCCTTTCCACCCATCATGATACCCAAGTACCCAAGTATACTTTCGGCCTGGGTCACGGGGGCGACTGAAGTATGGACCACCCGTTGGTTCTCTGCTCCTCCCAAGTTACACAGTTCCAGGGGGTTGACTGACTTTGATACTCGTACAAACTTACCAGCATCATGTTACATACTTCAATACTCCGTACTGTCAACTGATATGTACCTGCTATGTACTCCGTACATCCTTCCCGCAAGGCATCATACCCCTCGATCTTCAACGAGGGGAGCAGGAGGAAGAGGCAAAATAAAGGATCTCGTCCGAGGTGCTGGGCCACTTCCAACCCTGGTCCAGCGGGGTTGCCTTTCTTATTCTGCATGCTGATCAGCCAGGATGAGCTCGCCCGCCTGTCGGATTCGTTCTCAAGTCGCTGATCCAGCCTTGATGGAACTGGGATACTGGACTGCCCGCATCTCACTGGTCGTCCAACTCAACTCTCTGTCTATTGTCACGATGCCGACTCTTTTTTGCAACAAAGGTGTAATCCATCAACCCCATGACCAGCCGCTATCCCAGTGGCGTGCGAACCCTCGTGGCCAACCAACGTCAGTTGCACAACCCCCTCCTTCTTTCGTGCACGTCATCACCCCATGTCGTGCCCTATCGGGGGCGTATCATGGATCAGCTTGCATTGGCGCCCACGATATCGCACCCAGGATCCCATGATGCACTGGCTCTAACGGTCCTATCTTTTCGCATTCTTCTGACACCATCCGCACCAAGAGTTCCTTTTTTGACGTGATACGAGGAGGGTTGTAAGTATTTCACGTACTTTGTACTTCCTACTCCCTCCTCTGTATCCCTTGGCTCGACTGGGATCGCCATGCATTTTGACCGAGTCTTATCTCGTCCATAACCCTACCTAACCTCCATATCGGTATGAGATTGTTTACATCGACCGTACTGTAAATCGGACCCCACTGACAATACTATCCGTAAGAAGTAAACAAGTAATTCGAAATTGCCCCTAATTAAGGGCCCCTTTTTTCTCCCTCTGAGGGCGGCTGCTGGACCATTTTCTTCTAGATGTTCGGGCTAACGCTCAAAGTACGGTTGCGCCCCACTTGGTGGTCCCGTGTCTTAAGCCATCTCCCATCGGTGGCTGGCCAGCCCTACTCCTATACGACCTATGCCTCATCTAGCGCCCAGCTATTCCCTTTGTTTCGTGCCTTTCCCATGGTTCACTTCTTGTCGCAGAGCTGTTCCATCGATTTTTCGTTTTTTCAACCACATTCTGCAGTTTGGGATATCTGACTCACACACAGGTCGTGACTATCAGGTCGATCAGGAGACGGCCCTACCAGAGCCAGACTGCAACCGAAACTTTTCCAGTAATGATAGCCCACACGACCGATCCACTTCGTGTCCCGCCGTCCAATTGCTTCGTCGGTCTGCCCCTTTTCTACACCCGTTGCGGCCAAGACCTCGGATTTGCCAATCCTGCCTCTTTTCGTGCTGTCGCGGTCTCCAAGTCACGAGTTGCCGACCCCGGGACTGAGGTCGATGAATGGCCAGTGCCCCCCGTCGATCTTTTCGGCTGGCGGTTTCGCTGTCAGGTTTTCTGGTCCTGCAGCTGCCATGCGACTTGCCCGGGTGCTTGTCCAATTGTCATTGCGCTTCAAATGGTGGCCTGTTACGAAATATGTACATACATTATGTATGTATAGATGTACTCCGTACTTGTTTACCCTACTCCATCCACATCTGTAGAGCGGAGATGCCCGCAGGACCACCGACTAGAGTAATCCCATAGGACCCATCCGTGGATAGAGAACCGGATGGATCGTATCATGGCGCGAAGATCCCGTCCTCAATGCGACGGAATCGCTTGCCAAGCGCAAAATCACGGACACCAGACAAGAATTTGTTCTTGCGGTGTGCCCTAAGGGGCCCCAATACTCTTCCTGAGCGAAACTCTCTCCCGTCTAAGCTCTCCTCCGAGGTCCTCCGTCCCTTCTAGCGTCTACTAGACTGGTTATCGAGCCTCCCCTTAACCATGGCACACTTTAATGAAGATGCGCGCACCATCGTTACGTGAGGCCGCGGTGGATTCAATTGAACAAGATATGGAGAAGACTATTCTGCGAGTGGTATATCAGTCCGATGAGGGCCCATATGTATCGGCGAAATGCACAAAGAAACGCCGGAAACTATAAAAGGGGGGGAATAATAAAAAAAACGTGTCGGAGTTGGAGTCAGACCATGGATTGCTCGCGAGGACCACTGTAAAGAGTTGGTACCCATCCATGGAAAATAATAGGGGAGGCTCCACACGAGCTTGCACAGAGTCCACTTGGGACGGGTAAACAAGGAGGCCCAATTATTGAAAATTCAACACTCATCCCAATAATCCTTCATGCCACACGTGGATCTGATCGGCCGAATCTATAGATTTCAGGATGCAAGGCACAGACACTATCCAAGCTCGTATCTGTCCTTCCCCCCAATAATCCAGAGTGGTACGGAGTACATGGACGACGGGATGACAGCTCACAGTGCTAGTGGGGAGTCAGGTGACCCGATATGCAGGGATGTAGATCACATGACCAAGGCCCCTGCCTCTCGCTAAGCACTTGGCATGTGACCCGGGGTATTTAAGCCGCCCGCCGCTCGCGGTCTTCCTCCTCTTTTCTTTCTTCTTCATACTTACCTTGTTTGGGTGGCTGCGCTCATGAAGGCGGCCCACCACAGATTGGTCCCTGCATTGCACAGCGCGGCGGAACAGTTTGTTCAACGGCCTTCGGGTCATTGACAGGCGCATTCTTTGGCACTTTCCACTTGTTGGATCAAAATATCTTTTCATCAATCCTTGGGCCAATGGCTCGGGTTTGGAGAAGAGGTCACTCTCGTTGTATACCTCCCCTGTAGAAATAGTTCATCTTCTCAAACTAAGCTGAGAGTAGAGTTAACGTGGTCTCAACCCGCATGGAAATGTTGATAGCGCTCACTTCACCTCATTTCACTTTTGACGCGTCGCGTGTTGACCTCGGGATGTGGATGTCATCCATGCCAAATTCTCCGCAGCCGTCCCCTTCCTATGCACTCTCCTTAGTAAGATACAACCAACTTGAAGTCCTATCGACCAACTATATGTGGTCACGCAACATATCTGGTCAATCTTTCCTGATCTGCGGACGTGAAATGCGCGTTGTCGACTCTCCCAAGTACGAGGCTCGTCGCGTTTCTCGGCTCCCGATAAAGTACATATCCTTCAATCGTATATCGAAGTCGCAGCCCTTCTTGCTTGGCGAACAGCACTTCAAGTTCCTGTAATGAAAATTATGACCAGGAATACGAGGACCTGAATCGACATCCATCCAAAATGGCCGCATTTTCACTCATAACTGCAGGGCTTGGCACAGTGAGCCACTCCTTGCAGTTGTAGTGGCGGTCCACGGGTATAGTAGACCAGGATTCCATCGCTCGCAGTACTAGGTAGTACTCAGCTACTACCAAGAGCCAGATTTGCCTCAAATCTTGAATTCTATTATACTACTAGTACTAGTAGCACTCTTGTTCAAATACGGGCGTTCTTCAGTCTAGCAAAGTTCAAGTTACATGATTATATATAATTCATCGAAGGCACGGATCTCCGACATTCTCCAGGGCTACTACTACTAGTAGAATTTAGCAGAGTGGTCAAATGAAGATTTTCGATACCAAATCCTGGAAAGGCTGTTGCGCTACTAGTAATAGTAGATGGTGATTTGGCTGTTACTAGTAATTGTTTCAATTACTCTAGTCTCTAAGAATAATCACAAAGTGAAGAACCATCGGATGGATGTAAACGAATATCAAAACACAGGGTTGCCAATTGCTAGACCCCCATCAGGATTTGCAGTAGAGAAATATCGATGCCAAACGAAAACGGAAGATTCAAAACGAAAAAAGGAACAACAAGAGAAATTTGACAATGAAAATCCTGACTGTGGGTATTATCAGATCAAGGAGAGATAAGTGAGTGGATATGTATGTGCGAAACAGTCGACCGGCGATCCATGCAACATCAAACAGAAAGTAAACCCTGAACGAACAGAGTTACAACATACAAGGGTGGGTTGGCCTTGGAAGTCTTGTGCAGAGTATTTCCTTGCCCCGTTTCTTCAGGGGAGCTCGCGGGTTATTCCCCGCTCATTCCACGCCAATTTTTAAAGCGTGCATCATTGCCGGCGTGGCAGAAATGTTGGATTCATTCCAACAAAAATAGTGCTAGTCTTGATATGCGACTTAGTTGACCTTCAAAACCCCAAAGACATCTCGGGCCCCATTGGCTTCAGCTTTGATATCCGATCGGGATCGCTTGGGATTGACGACGACTTCACCCCAGTGCTTGGGGACGGTGCCCTCGGATGTTGGGCGACTTGTGTGGGAACCGTGATCTGAGGTAACTGTAAGATGCGATTCATCCGGGTTAGGAGAAGGCGAAGCTGAGGCCGAGGTGTGAAGAGTCGCTTGGGGTTGGAGATGGGGTTGTGGCTGGAGCGACCAGATATCGATGACGGAGCTGGAGACCGGAAGAATTAGCGACATACATTCTTCTATATTCCCAAAGACAGCCCATTGAATAGGCTGTTCCTTCAAATAGGCCAGCTTACTCTGAAGTTCGTTGACAGATAGCATCCAGTGCTTCCCTTTCCCGCCTCACGTACTCCGGATCCGGCTGGTTGGCTTGTTGGGCGTGATTGAGGGCCCCATAGCCATAACCAGCTTGATAGGGGTCATCGTCTAGTAGACGTGAAGACTCCGGCTGTAGACAAGGAACGTTAGAACAATTTTCTCTCTTGAGGGCGTTCCACGTATCGCGCATTAGGCCGAGGTAATGCGCATTGAACATGGTGCCTGAAAATCCAATCCTCCGTCGAACGCCTTCACAACGGTACTCACTTCTGGAGACTCCTGGCGAGCACCGCCAAGACAAGAGGCGCAGACACCCATTTATAAAGGTCGAGGTCGAGATCAGATCGGACGAGGCGCACGGTGCGGTGGTCCACGAGGCATTAAACAACCCCCAATTATCGATGCAGTGGGCGGTTCCACCGCGCTCGCTCTAGGGGCTGCGGTGGATATGAGTATAGAAGTAGAGCGATTGAAAGCGTGCAGGGTAAGGAGTGCGGGGGATGCAAAAGCGTGAACTGAGACTCGAAGAAAATGGCGCAGAGGGGAAAAACTGCTGGATGTATCGGATCGGGCGCAGGCCATCAGGTGAGGCTGGGCGTCCGTGCGATGTCATCGATAACCACAAAGTGCGTGGCCGCAGCGTGGAAATTACCCAATTACCACCCTGGGCCACTCACCGTCCAGCAGTTTTTTCGTCTCATTATATCACCCATCGACTTTGCGCTCGACGGGACAGCACACTATGTTCGACCTTCCCACAGCAAAACGGTAGGCGGCTCTCAAACGACAAGGTTCAATTGATGAACGAACTGACCTTTCTTCTCCAGCGTCCGCCGCGACGAGGTTCAATCACCAGCGTCATCACGCTCCCCATCCCCCGCCGACGAAGCCGAGCTCCAAGATGCACACGACCGCCTCGGGAAGTTACTGAACCTGGACAGCATTCTTGGCTTGGATGCGAGCCAAAAGGAGGAAGAGAGCCAACAACCCGCGGTCGATGATGAGGACGACGAGCAAGAGTTCGAATTCCGACTGTTCAGTGCGCCCGTCAAATCCAAAGAAACTACCGAGAAAGCACCCGAAGAAGAATCATCTACAAAGCAGAAGGGCTCCTCCAAGGAGAAAGACGCTGGGGGTGAAGGAACACAGAAGCTGCGCATTCGATTGCGGTCTCCAACCCCCATATCTGCGAGACCAGAGGATGGTAGATTCGTCAAGGCCTTCCGCGGATGGCAATACTATTTCACCGACCCCACGCTCTATGGTTTGAAAGATGAGTTGGATATCGAGGCGCAGCTGTCAGAGAAGCGACGCCAGTATGAGGACACAGCTGTGACCGGCGACCACATAACATCATGGGCCAAGGCTCAACCGTGGGTAAGTGCTTCCTTCACTGGCGCATACATTGATCCAAGCAACCTCGCAGAAATATGAAGAAGGAAAACTAAACTGATTTTTTAGCCTGGTTGTGATCTGTCATGGCGAGTGATTCGTCTCAAGCGCCATCAAACAAAGGTGCCGTCAGCACACAAAACTGTGCCCGTATACGTGGTCGAGGGTGCTCCGCCGACCAAGTCACCCAAGACCAGAAAGAAGCCAGGCAAAAAGCGTCGTGTTCAGCTTCGCAAGAAAGTCAAGGCGGCCGAGGTTGCGAAGGAGAACGAGGCAGAGAAGCGGACCCGCAAGAACCGCGAGCGTAAGATCAAACGGCGTCAAAAGGCCCGTGAGGAGAAGGCTGCGAAAGCGGGTGAAACTGTTGATGGAGATGTTGCTATGGCTGATGGAGATGAATCTTCTGGTGGCGAGGAGTAGTCTGTTCCAAGGTTTATATAGATCGATTTACCTAGCCGGAAGTAAAAAAAATGATACCCTACGATTACTACGCTTGTTGCCACCATGTCTGGATTCTTTCTCTTCAAAATAAGAATGCAATTAGGAGGTAACCAAGACCTCGACATTAGTGGGTATTATGTAACTAAGTAAACAGGTATGAGCGCTGAGAGACCTCAATGCTTCTGTATGGCTATCGGGTGCGTATAGCCCAACGAGACAAGAAAGCAGAAACAAACAAACAGACTTCGCAGAGGCACATTCAGCACACTATTCCATCTGACAATTCCTTGTAACAATTTGGAATTCCATTTGGTTCATTTGGCCGGCTCTGTAATCGATTAGTATGGAGGACGTGGAATGTAGATGCCAATATTGGAGCATCACTCACCTTGCTTGGCCGGAGTCTCGGTAGTATCCTGCGAGGGAGCCGCAGCAGCAGCATCCGCAGCAGGTTCCTCGGCCTTAGGAGCGGCAGTTGCAGGGTCTAATGATTACAAGTCAGCCAATGGAAACGTAGAACTGCCAGTGTAGGATAAGTCACTAGCAGAGGTGGACTGTGGTCTTACCGGCAGCGCCGTCTGTGCCAGTGGCAGGAGTAGCGGCCGCAGGCTTGGTCTCAGCTGGCGCAGCTTCAGCGGGAGCAGCAGGAGTAGCCTCAGGCTTAGCCTCAGGGGAGGCAGCCGGGGTAGCAGCCGGGGCGGCATCTGGAGCTGGAGTTGGAGCTGGGGCAGTGCCCTCGGTGGGAGCAGCAGGCTGAGCGGGGGTTGCTGCGGTGGCAGCAGCAGGAGTGGCAGCAGTCTCAGTAGGCTTTGCCTCCGAGCTCTGTTCAGTCTTCTTCTCCTTCTTGCGACGGAAGATGTTCTTGAGGCCCTTCTTCACCTGGGCGAAGGCATCGGGAGCTAGAGTGGGGTTAGAGAAAGGACAATGGAGGAAATAGACGATATGGGGGGAGTTCGCGATGACAATGATTTGAACGGTAATGGAGTGCACTTACGAACACCAGGCATGATGACAGTTACGTAAATAGTAGAATAACCCGCGTGGGAATGTAGTAGAAGCGTAGCTTGGAGTTCTTGGAGATCGGAGGAGGGAAGAAGAAGAGGACGGCAACTCACTTCCTTCCCTTTCCTCCCCACGTTGCTGGTTCCGGAACACGTGACATGGACGTGGCGCTCGGCAGTGTCTGCTATTTCGATAGAAGTAATTATTCTTTTCCGATTTTCTCTCTACTTTAGCTTTATTGGGGTTAATGAAGGTTCGCTATTCAGGGGCGTTGGGGAGATACCCAGACGTCACCCGTGCAGCGAGGGCTAACCATTGGCTCAAGTGGGCCAAATCTGGGGCCCGACCCGCTAAGAGACTTGGCCCTGACAGCTTGCAGTGGCGGTGCTGCACATCTTCATCTGACGGAGGGGGTGAAACACCGTCATCTGGCGTCGGGTCCACTGTCCGGGCGCTTAAATGACTACCGGCCAGCTGTCCCGAGTTTGATTGGGGGTCTTTGATGGAGCAATCGCAATGTGGAGATTGCATCATTTGGAAGCTTCTACTCGTACACATAGATAATAGTATAGATGGAAGGGGGACGGAGATGAAGCTCCGTAATCAAACCGAATGGGAGGGTATCATATTGCTAGTATATTTGGATAACGACCGACTGCCGTGGGCATAAATAGCAATATCGAAGCCGCAATACAACTAAAAAAACTGAAAGCAAAAGGTCGCAATTACATGGCCTGGACCCCGAACATTAGCAGACGCCGCATTTGTTAGAGAGATTGGAAGTGACTTACCAAAGATAAGAAAGAAAAGACCGATTGCCATCCTGGTGCTCTGTGCCCCGATGAGGATAAGAAGAAGGGCGCACACTGTCCACGCTGAAATACCCCCAGAGTGCAACCCGGGTGTACGTTTGAATTTCACCGTCGCATCATCGATCATTGAATGTAGGTTGGCAGCTGATGTAGTAGCTTTGTCCAGCAAAGCTTGAGAGACTTGTGCTTTGAATTGCATTTCATCTTGTGTCTTGAACTGGGCGGCTAGCAATTTGGCCTGAGACTGTTGAGCTTGTTGTAGGTCATGGGCCCTGTTATAAGATTGCTCCATGGAGATCTCCATTGTTTGTAGACGCTATTCTCGTTAGAGCAAGGATCAGTCCTGAAGCCAGACATAAATACCTGAGACATTCTGTTCTCCTGTTCCAGAATCATGACAAGCCGGCCATTGAGCCATTCCTAGAATAGTACGCATTAGCCTAAACTGGAGTCATCAGCTCTCTCAAATACATACCAACGAGGAATCGAATGTCATCATTCGCTGAAAAAGGCGGGCCATGTCTGTGTCCACGATTGATTCAAGTGAATGGTGCAATACCGATGCCACATCTCGGTAAGCTAGAGCATCTTCTTCGTGCATGCGAATCACCTCCTGACTCCGCGAAATTGCGTTTACCTGCACTTCATTTAAAGTGTCTTGAAGGCTTCGGACAGATCCTGAGGCATCTCGAAGTTCCTGCCCGGTATTAGTATCCGTAGAACAATAGAGATAGGGCATTTTTACCTTTGCCAGAGTGTCCGCCTCTCCCCGAAGATTATTCATAACCGAGCTAGCCGAAGTAGCGATGCTGTCCAAGCCAGACCAAATCTCCTGAAGCAGCCTATCGAGCGCATTCTGAGTAACAGATGCTGACTTCTCCAGGTCATCCACGAGACTCTTTTGCATTGCCCTGACCTCTTCCAGAAAGGTAATGTGTCGAGATGATTCCATAGCGGCGTTGTTTAGCGCTGCTTCTAGTCCCTCGTGTAGCTTTGAGCTGGTCTTTGCAATGGCTCGATGAAGATCCAGCAGTTCCTCTCTTTCCACCTCAATCCGAGCCGCTTGGCATATAACCATTGCATTCTGTCGGTTGTTGCTATATGAAGTCCACCACTGAGGTCGCGACTCCAAGGCTTTCAGGCACTGTCCGAGGACGTCATCGGGCAAAGAGGTCGATTCCAGTATCAGGCGGCTGGCGCTTGTTCGTGAACGAGAATCGAAATCTGGATCTGGGGGGGCGGAGAAACTGCCACTGTAAGGCAATGAGCAGGCACCGAGGCGCCGGCGCCATTCAATTCGCATATTGCCAGCCGGGCTGCGTACATGGACCGAATGCGATCCAAGGTCTCATATTCGTAAACCTGCGAATCGCTTGTATCTTTGGCCCCGGTGAATTGACACGATGTGACAAGTCGCGTTACCGCCACGCGATTGCAAGATGGTGAGGATTTCATGGAGTCGAGAAGCTGGATTGCTTCAGTGAAGATCGCATCGTGTTGCTGAGCTTTGGATCCTAGGTGGGGAAGCACACAGTTGTCGCCTGCGCTCATCGGACCGGCTGAGAGGTTACCTGAAGTAATTAGCAGATTAATTGAAGACGGAAGGGACCTCTTCAGGTATCATACTGTCTGATTTATCAATGCGATCAAAACCAGCAAAAGCCCATGCCAACTCAATCATGAGCAGCAGGAGCCAGGTTCGAGTAGTAGTGAGCCAGCTCATCGTGTCAGGATCATCGAGTCATTGAGTGTTGGAGAGATTAAAAGCCAATTCCAGACCAGCGATCAAACTCCAAGAGCCATCACGGCGGATGAAAGGATGGTAAGGTGAGGTGGTTGCTGATTGCGGGCCAGGAGAGCTCACTTCCCACATCGAACATTGTGCCAACTTCAAGTCCCCTTCTTTCAACTTCTTCTGGTGGGGAGTTCTTTGAAGAGCCCAGAAATCGATTAAAGACAAAAGCAGGCAAAGCAACCAATGAATAGTCTGATTTAGTCAAATTTATTAAGTAGATTGAGGCGTATGCTGATGCCTAGCATGCTGCATGGTATAGCTTGATCATTGTGATACTAGTACAAACGCATCATGATGTACCAAGGGGTTGGAGGAGATATTGAAGATAAGGCACGGAGTCATAAAGGATAACACAGTTTCATAGCACTAAATCTGGTGCATTTAGTCTCCATAAACAATTCAAACCAAAAGAATGCGAAACTTGAATATGTTTTGATAGTAGTTAGTTATAGTTAACTAGTTAGTTAACTAGTTAGTTAACGTTTCCTCTAGCCTGACTATTCAGGCGACAATGTTATATCACGTGAACACTAGCCCGATCGGGCCGGGGTTCTCCTCCGACAAAATCATCGACGCCGCAGCGGAGCTTTGTCCAACACGCCAAACATCATGTCTTTTCTACCTCAACGCTGCGCCCGACAGCTCCTTCGAGAGCCATTCCAGCGCGGCTCATTACCTCTCTTCCTTACCCCCGCTTTCTCTCCGTCGCGCGCGCAATGCTTCTCGACCACCAACCCAGCGCAATCCCGAATCGGAGGCGCCGCCGTCTCCGTTCCCCCAGAGGTGTCATTCACCCTGGTTGACCTGCCCAAGAGCCAGAATCGTGGCCACGGAAAGGATGTTCCCACCCATGCCGCGCAGATCAAGGGACCGAGGGGTATGTATTGAATCCCAGAGATGAACAACTTGCCCCCCGGAGTGCTAACCTACGCGATATCCAGGCGAGATGATCCTCAACATTCCCTCTTTCATGACTGTCAACCACGACCAGGCGACCTTGAAGGCCACTCTCTCTATCCAGGATAGAGAAGTCCCGCATCAGCGTGCTATGTGGGGTAGGTGTTTTCCATTTCTCGCAGCGTGTTGGTTTCCGAGTCTAACATGATGGCCAATTGCAGGTACCACCCGAGCACTCCTTCAGAACCACATCACCGGTGTCTCAGAAGGCCACATTTGTGTCCTGAGTCTTGTCGGTGTCGGTTACAGGGCTACCATCGAACCCAAGGCAACCACCGTTACCGCGACTTACCCTGGACAACAGTTCGTTTCGCTGAAGGTCGGCTTTTCCCACCCCATTGAATTGGGTATTCCCGAGGGTGTTCAGGCCAGCACACCCCAGCCTACCCGTATCCTCCTGGAGAGCGTCGATAAGCGCAAGGTGACACAGTTTGCGGCTGAGATCCGTGAGTGGAGACGACCCGAGCCGTACAAGGGCAAGGGTATCTTCGTCAACGGAGAGACTATCAAGCTCAAGGCGAAGAAGATCAAATAGTCTATGGGCGCTTGTCCTTATGCTTGTCCTTTTTCATTTTCATTTTTGGAACATCGCATTTTGGTTCCCTGTATTCTTATACTCTATCTCCATCACATATGTACTTTTTCCTCCTCTACCTCCGTTTTTGATCTCTTTCTTCAATTGGTATCACAAATGTACTCTGGACGCATCAAGCGTGACCCTAACCAGACAAAATAAAAGTCCCCAATGGCTCAGCCACGGAGCCGGGGAAAGACATGGTAAAAAATAAAGCTAGAAAGACACTTACAGCTTCAGGACAGTCTTGACGGCATCAATGACCTGCGCCTGGTGAGCCTTGGGGGCAGCAACGACACCCTTGTTGGCAGCGAGAGTCCGGCCCTTGCTGAAGTCCAAACGGGAACCGTAGATGTCAGTGACTTGGCCACCAGCCTCACGGACGATGATGTCACCGGCAGCGTGGTCCCAGATCTTCTCCTGGTAGTCCTTCTTCACGGGCAGACGGAGGTAGATGTCACCAGCACCACGGGCGATCGAGCAGTACTTGGCCTGCGAGTCCAGACGAACGCTAGGGGCGGTGATGCCGAGAAGACCAGCAACGGCGGCATTGTCACCCTGAGCGGAGTGAGCAGCCTCGACACCCTCACAGAAGACAGCCTGAGCGATATCGGAGACAGGGCGCATAGAGATGGGCTTGCTGGCGGCAAGGGTACCGGTGGTCAGCGGGCGGCTGATGGCACCCTCACCCAGGACGGCGGAGAAGAGGACGCCATTGGTGGCGGTCTGGCCTTGCTGGGCACCGGTGTTGGCGTCGATAGTGGCGGCATCATCGACGGGGAGGTTCGGGGTACCAATGGCACCGACCTTGACGTCGCCGTCAACGATCAGACCCAGGCAGACAGCGTACTGACCACCACGAAGGAAACCCTTGGTGCCGTCAATGGGGTCGAGAGCCCAGATACGGCCCTGACCACCACCGGCACTCTTGCCCTCATCAATGATATCCAGCATGCTCTGCTCGCTGGTCAGGGAACCACCAAGCAGGTTGTTGCTCGCCTCATCATCCAGCTTGATGTCCTTGACCAGACGCCAGATCTCGGCACTCAGATCCTTGTCCTCGCGCAGGGAGCTGGCCTCCTCCTCGGCAACAATCTCGTCGTTGGGGAAGTTCTTGCGAATGGCCTGGATGATCAGGGCCTGGGCGCCGAAGTCGCCGATGGTGACGGGGGACTTGTCATCCTTGGAGACGGTACCCTTGGCCTTCTCGAAGAAGACCTTTTGGGTGAGGATGGATGCCCGCTGGACGGCGAGCTCGGCGATGTAGCGTTCTTGAGAGTAAGACATGGTGATGGGGTGGGATGGGGGGGGGGGGAGGAGAAGAAGGAGAAGTAAGAGAAGAGAGGGAAGGAGGGGATAAGCGCAAGAGGGGAGCGGGTCTGCACGACCACGGCTGCGAGAGCCAAAACGACGGTGGAGCAGAGCAGCAACAGTCCACGTATGCGCGGGGGCTTCATTCGGTGGAGGCTAAATTACCTCTTGTTGGTGGATTCACTGAGTGTTTAGGGCAGACCCTTGAGCAATTGGAAGAAGCAATACTCGTACTCACTCAGATGTATACTCGTACTCGTAACTATGAACTTGACTGAATGATTAAGCTTAGATCTCGCTGGGAATTGAGACATAAGACCCCGCCCTAGTCCCAATCGGGGCGTGACTGTCACGGGGGTTTTGGGGCACTTTTTGGGGGACTTTTGGAGACTTCCCATTGTCAGAGGTTTCTTAATTCGTCCCCCCTACGAGTAACCTTCATTTTTCCATCATTCGGATCGGCATTTGTGGGAATCGATCGTTGCCATTTTCTGCCACCCTGTGCCCCTCTTCGCACCGTTGATCGCCCTGCGGATCTTCCCCGACGTCACCGTCTTGCTGGTCTTGTCTCCTTATCACACCACAACACCCCGGCCAGTTTCACCTTTTGAAACATACCACTTCTTCAAAGGACCCCAGCACGCTACTTGAGACTAGCGCTACCTCCCGTTGAGATCACCCAACCTACTCAACTCCCATTTATCCCATTCAATCCGATCCTGGGCGCAGTGCGGGGTCTTTCGGTCTTTCTTGGTTCGATACGAGCACGCGGGATACTCTGCCCAGGCAGCCAAAGCCAAAAGCCAAAATCACACCTCTTCTTCCAGAAATATCAGATTCTACATCCATCAAACCCCTTCTCGCGGGCATTGTTGAGCTGCGCTCGCCATGTTTCAGTCATCGGTGAGCCGACCTCGGCGTGCGATAAGCTGTCTTGTGACTCCCCACACTGACCTTGCGCCCTTCCCTAGAAACCCTACTCGGCCGTGACCGTGCAAATAGAGGTCTTGACAAGCGAACAATATGAGGTGGAAGACTCGAGTGGTATCGTCGATCTAGTCGAGGTTGTCCGTATCCAGGCGAGTGGCCCGACCGAAGCTAGTCGGGCACTGCGCAAGAAGCTGTGGGTGCGCTCGCCGACACTTAGATGACCTCCCTAACTTATGTTCGAACTCGATAGGAAATACGGAAACCTACATCGACAACTGCGAGCCCTGACCATTCTCGACTTTCTCATTCAAAACGCCGGCGATCGCTTCCTCCGCGAGTTTGCCGATGAGCCACTCCTTGAACGTCTTCGAATCGCGGGTACAGACTCGGTCTCGGATCCCTTGGTGAAGCAGAAATGCAAGGTCCTCTTCGGTCAATGGGCGGTCACTTACAAAGACACTGCGGGCATGTCCAAGATCGCTGCCCTATACAAGCAGCTTCCGAAGCGGAAACAGCCGGCAACACAGGCCAAGGCCAAGGTTCTTCGTGACGGGGCGAACCACAATGAGCCCCCAATGGGCCACACAGTATCTATATCCGCGGGCAATGGACCATCGACGACACTGAGCAGTCCTAAGCAGAAGTCGAAATCGAAGAAGGATAAGAAAGATAAGAAGTTGTCGGTTAGCAAGAACTTCAACCTGGAGAAAGAGCGCCCAGAGATTCTACAGACACTTGCTTCGGCTTCGGTGGCTAGTACAAATCTGCTGAATGCACTCAAGCTGGTTAACCGTGAAACCACCCGTGTCAGCGAGGACGCCGAATGCATTAGCCGATTTGAGGTCTGCAAGAAGCTCCGGCACCAAATCCTACGCTATATCCAGCATATTGAGAGCGAGGAGTTCTTGGGCGGTCTCATTCACGCCAATGAGGAACTCGTGGAGGCATTGATGGCCTACGAAGTTTTGGACAAGAGTTACGATTATGACAGTGATAGTGATGATGATGTTCTTTCGGGCAATTGGAGATCCAGAGCGGAGCTTGAGGACGAGATGGGTGAAAGTTTTAACGGCTTGAGCGTTAATCCTGCTAAGCCCCCACGGCCTGTGGCGTCTTCGTCTCGACACGTCCTTGAGAGTGAAAGTGAGAGCGAAAGCGAGTCTGAAGAGGAGGACGAAGATAACCCGTTTGGAAACCACAATGCGATCAAGACCCCTGGCGGTGAGAAGGCTGGTTATACCTGGTGAGTCTTCCATCTTCACAGTCTACTATTCCTGGCATCTAACATCTTTACAGGAAAGAGGTATAAAACGTGCTTTGATATATAGCTTTTGGACCATAGATGTCCCTTTGATAACTCGATGTTCTGTATCTATTCATTCTTAGCCAATATCGCTATACCCAATGATACGACCGTGCTGGTCACTTATTCATAAGATTTTACAACTCGAAGGCATGCCTTTGAATCGGATGCCCAAGGGGTGGTTTTAATCGAAATATTCAGAGGATGACACAATAATGATAGTTGAATACCTTCTAGACATCTCGGCCGTATCTGACACTAGCATCTACTGTGGATGAGCTGTTATTCTGAGTATCACCTCCCCGACAGCAAGACAGATTGTGTTATCCTCTGACAAGGAGCAAACGGCTTCCTCGTCCTCGATTTGTTCAACGTCAATAATAGGGCATGTAGTACCGAGAAGCTTTCTCTTCTCTGCTGTCAGCCTTTCGACATCGAATCCCAAAGTTGGCTCTTTCTTGGTCGCGAAAGGAAATGAATCCTCGAGGCAGATGTATATTTCAAGCGATCCAGCAAAAATATGACGACAGGAACTGTTGTATTTCATAACGCCAGTGACTACTTCTCCTTCAACTGGATACATTGTATGAATCGAGTCAAAGGAAAGGCGTCGAATGTCTGATAGTCGATCAGCTACCAAAGCCGGTTCAGCCTGCAGCAGAGTTTCTGACAACCCCGCGGATGTGCTCATTGACGAAACCATATCTGTCGAAGTCCTCAAGGAAATACCAGGAATACTTGCTGTGGTTTCAGAAAGACACACCGTCATGACTGTACTTTCATTTGGGAAGGGATATACAGGTAATTTCCCCTGTGTTAAACCCAAGGAAACGCTTCGTCGAAGGTTTTCAAGGAGACTTTTGCTGAGATCCTGCTGGAATGATTTGAAATCTGGAAGATTAGGAAACCTCCAGCCAGGGTAAAGTCGACCATGTGTTTTGGGAGTATGCATGCGCCCGTACCGAGTAACAAAAGTGTTGCAGAGAAAGCATGCGTCCTTGCTAGAGCTGACCACCCGAGGAAAGATCCTTGGCGCTTGCATTTCGCAAAACATAATTATCTGGATTTCAGCGTGGATCTTGGCCTTTGAAAGAGCCGCTATGGCTTCGTTATATCTTGAACTGGCCTCATCCTCATTGAGTTTCAGTTTGCGACATAGCTGCTGGACATTTCCCTGCTTCCCATTGATGAAACCGTGTTTAGATAAAACAGACTCTGGGTCGGTAGAATTCTCCATGCTCGCTTGTCCCTTGAAAGCCTTTTCAGGGAGTTTCACCAGCTGAACTTTCATATTTCGGGCCAAAGGGAATTTCTTCGCTATACGATACAGCTGTCTGGAAATTTCCCAATACCTTGAGACTTTCTTGATCATGTTAGATAGGCTAGATCTTGAGGAAGGATCCATGCTATGATCTGAGATCAAATCCAACAAGCTCTGGTATCGTGGCGATGTTCTTTGCAGATGAAATATTTCCTCTATAAGATCACTCAGCTCATCAAGCTTTTGATGCTTTATCCAACGATCAATCGATTTTATAACATTTCTTGCCCCGGCAGTAAATGACGACGACATATGTGACAGATCGGCGGTCTGGAGCTTTTGAGGCTCAATACGCGAGATATTGAAAATTGCCTCTTTGAGTAACTCATGAATGGACCTCCGAGTCTTTTTCGGGTTTCGCTCGAGTCTCAGACGGGATAGTATTCTCAAGGAGCACATTTCGGTGATTGATATGAATATGGCCCTTTGGATCTCTGACTGCGCTCTATTTTCTGAGACGTGTCAGCAGATGCTAGTACTATTGATCGTGAAGGCTGACACGGCAAGAACAGCGAGGACAGACCATATGAAGAATCGTGAAGTACTTTGCATATCTTTTCGAGGTTACACTTAAGAGTTTGCAAGAGGCGGTCTCCATCGGTATGGGTGCTTTTGTTAATGGCGAGAATAATACTCAGCTCGGTTCCTGATAGGTTCTGCTCCACGCAAACTGCAGGTATGTGCTCAAAGCCATCCTTTGTCTTCGCCAGAAACGCGAAGGCTTCAGTTAAGTCACGCTCCTTTTCAAAAGGCAATAAATACGCGTCTTGGTTAATTGGCAACGGATTGAGTACATTTCTGGTAGCACGGGCGGGCACCCGAGAAAAGAAGAAGCTAAGAGCTACTCCCTCAGCAAAAGCCGAGGTGAGAGCTTTGCGATTCTTAGACATGGAATACTGGCATGAATACTGGCATGGGGGAAAAAAAATGCGACCAGGGCAAAGGGCGAAAGGCGAAGGGGAAGTGGTCCCTGAGCTTATGAGGTGTCGAGGGTCACTGCATATTCGGCTTGTTTTACATGCTGATGAGCTGTTATTGACGTGGTTTCATGCATTGCGCGACAGGGTTTATCATTCGTTAACACAAGGAACAATAATTATGCCCTGCTTGTCTCACACAATACTAGTTTAATTGGTATTAGAGCCTCCTAAAATTTCATCTCAAGGGAAATAGTGATATCAGAGCTATGGTGTGGGATTTATAAAATAGTCGCATGATAGGACCCTGATTTCCATCATTTCCCGCTGATTTTCGTCGTCGTATCTGGTTCAACCCAACTTTTGTGTTAAGTGACTATCAAAGAAGGCTAGGAGATTTATTAACAAAGTTTCTACGCCGGAATTTGGTAAATCTTCCAAGGTGAATCCAGGTTTTACTTGTAATACGGCTCGCTCAACACCATACGTCAGACTATATTTTTGCTGAGCAAGTCCAGGGTGAATTGTAAATCAGATCAGCCTGAATCCAAGGTTTACGAGATAGAAAGTATCTAAATATGAAAATATTCTATAAGAGACCAGACTCGCAAATTGATTTGATGGAATTTATATGAAATTGGGAATCAAGTAACTTTATGCCACAAAAAATGGCGAGATCTAAACTAATGACTAGTGCTTCTTCTTCCGTTTCTTCTGAGATGGATGATTGCTGTTAATTCCTTCCCCTGTGCCTTTATTACTCATAAGATTCCTCAGGGAGGCCAGATGCTCCGGACGGGTCAAGGTTCTGAGCCAAACCTATAATGGCATGCTCAGTAGGCGGGTCCATTCCCGGTACAGGACCCCCAGTAAGCGCAAGAAGGGATGCATCGTCGTTATCATCCGCAAGCTCGTTGAGAAATTCACTGAAGTCCAATTCCTGTTGCCCGGGTTCTGTTGCTTCCTGAAGAAGCGTACGATGTCCCGGAGTCGGCGAAAGAAGTCCCCCGACAGACGAAAGTAGGTTATTCCGTCTAGCCGAGTAATCTTGTACACTGTCTGCAAGTTGTGCTGCCTCCAAATCCCGCCTAGATCTTTGGTAAGCTGCGGCCATAAATTCCTCTATCCTGACTTCCTCTTCAGGTTGGTTATCACGAATCACAAGGGTAAATACAGGCTCCCAGTCTCCGATAACGTGGCGGCCCTCCATGGGCCGTGCCATTGCTAATTGTGGCCAACGGGCTCTCATAATAGCTTGTACAGCGTTCATAAGATCCAAGTCGTTTTCTAAACGATATTCACCTTCAGAGAAAGTAAGATTTACTTGTGTAACAGGGTTCGGATTGAGCCAGATGCTTTGGGCTGGCTGAAGCCATCCCTGACTGGCCAACCCGTCTCTCAATCCACTGATTCGAAGACGCATGCCATTGATCCACATCCCGTTATGACTGTAAGACGTGGGATCATCTGTATCTCTTACCAATTTACCAAGACGGAATGGTGGAGCTGACCGACCAGATGGGGCATGTATAGTATGAACAATAGCATTATAGCGGGTGGTATTAGAGCCAAAATCAAATCCATATTCTTCCCATTCACGTTGATGCTGCCATTGCTCATCACTCAGTGGATTAGTTATCTGCCTATGAACCTCCAGGAGTAGAAAATTTGACATCCGAATGAGCTTTCCCTCTTGATTGCTCAAAGGTCCTTCGATCACCCTCGAGTGTCACCTTTTGTTCATTATGCTGGTCCAAATTCATACCCCGAAATTCTCGATCATGGGCCTGTCCAGTTTCCAGAGCTATTTCCCAGAATGTCGATGCTTCCTCATTCTCGTGTTGTTCTTTTAGATAATCCTCAACATCACTGAACCATCTCTCCCAATCTGCAACTACCATATTCTCTACTGCATCAAAAAATGTGTATCTCTCTGGCGTAAGCGGACAACCGCCACCTGTGAAGAATGCATAAACATTGTATAGATGGCTTTGGAATCCGTTTAGCTGAGATTGAGCAGTAAGCGGCCATTGACTCGATTCTTGTCGAAGCTCACTAGATTTTCTCGGAGAAGCAGGAGGCGGACGGGGTGTAATTCTAGGCCATGCTTGGAGTATTTCTCGATATTTTCGTAGTGAGGCTGCGGGTTCTGGTTCAAAGGGCGTGTTTAATAACCACTGAGGCGAGCTTGGGCGTGGGGGTGCAGGTTCGAAAGCAATGGCAGGCGAGAGAAATGCAGGCAGAGGAGGTTGAAGGTTGGGAGAAGGGTCGGAACAAGCCGATTCCAATCAAGGGACTCGGGGCTGTAGTAATTACGACAGGTAAAGGTACAAAGGCAGGTTCAGTGACAGGGACGCTCGGAGCAGCTCCAGCCTCAACTTGACCTTGAATGCCTGGCGCAGCTTGGCATCCGCTGGAGATCTATAAGGTGTGCCAGCTGGTACTATATTCACCTTCAACCTAACCCAGGTACGCTTATAGGCCAGGTAGAGATCCCACAGACGCTTACGAGCCAGCTCGGGATTCACGGTACTGGGAATATGAGGGTATATCCGAGGCCATAGACTCCTGATCCAAAGTTCCAGTCTTTCTTTGTTGATATTAAACCTGAAAGAAAATTTGTCAAGCTCTCCCATATTATAATGTATCTTCAAAAGTTCCTCTAGGATAGCATATCGCTGTGCTTGATGCCCTCCATATCCGCCCAGGTCCAGAGTGCTCCAATGTGACTGGCATATGAAGGTATTTGACACAGCCCCAGCAGGTACATCCATCTTGAGAATTTATTTTCTTTCAATAGAGTCAAGGGTAGACTATATACTTCGATTGTAAATGTTTCGCCGGTCTAGTATCAATTATCCGATGGTGACTAGAGAGAAATCAATCGCTATCAAATACTCGAGATTCTTTGTTTGAGCCTGCACTATCTTCGGGGCTCCGAGTCTGGCTTAAACAACGGCTTACAGAAACGACAAAAACAAAAGACCAGCAGCGGCCTTTCAACCCTCGAGGATTTCTTGAATCTCTTTGATATCGAAGACAATCAGACAATGGAAGACCAAAGTCTCTGATATGCCTTAATCCAACGACGTATCATACCTAAATAGTGATAGTTTGACTCCATGAGTTGATCAGGGCTTTTTTAATCACAAAGAGAACGGTTTAATGAGCTATAGTACCCAACTGGAATATTAACTTGTTGATCCTGACTGCCTAAGAAAGGGAGATAATGGTAGAGAAAAAGGTGAGTTGGTAGTGATGTCTCAATGTATTTCCTTTTCTCGGTCCAGCATTGAGATCTTCTTTTCAATTCCCAGAAGAGAAATTCACGGAGCTCATTCGGTGTTGAAGTGGGTCTTTGTCTCTGTATCTGTCTCTTTTGTTTTATTTTGATTGTCTGCTCAAGGGTAAGCCCTGCCCTTTGGAGAACAAAGATCATATATTCAACATTGTCTGTTCTTATTGCCACATTGGGGCTTGCACGCGATATTCCAGTGCACAAACCAACAAAGACGGGTGTGTGAATGAATACCTAGATGAATAGGAATTATTGATATGTAACCAATGCCTTAATCTCACTTGCAAGCCAAAATCGACTAACTAGATCGGGAGAAGCTCCTCAGACCTGGGAGAAAAGCGACTTTAACTTTGCAAGGAAAACAGGATGAAAAGTATTAATCGGAAAGCAAACATGATTTCAGTAGCGTAAGCCGAGCATATGCAGCATTCAAATGCAAGACTTCCATGAAGGTTACCAATTCAGGAGATCGGGGCCCACTGAGAATTAACTCTCGGCCCCAAGTCGCGTTTAAAAAGCATCCATGCATAACTCCATGGGAAAAACACATTGCCAGGATTTCAGACAACTGTACCTTTCATTCGAATTCGCAATATGGCGGTCACCGAGTTAGCTCTCCTCCGCCTTAGGAGCGATTCTTCATCAACAACCAACGAAGCATTGACGCAAGTTCAAGCTGCACAAGCAGCATATTCTGGCTATCCAGTTACGTTTTTGCAACAAATCGAAGATCCAAGTCTCCTTTACCTTTTGGGTGGCTGGGAATCGGTCGCAAAACACAATGAGTGGATTGCATCAGAGACAAACCAAAAGTTCCTCGAACAACTGAAAGATGATGTCGAGGTGGAGTGGATGTTTCACTACAATGTGAATGTATGATTTGCTTTTGAAGAAGCAATTATTCAATCAAGGCTAATGTTGGTCAGTCATCTGGGTCCAGTATCCCCTTAAACGTACCTGTTATCGCGTTGACTAGATATTTCGTCGAGCCGAGCAGAAAGACGGAGTTCGATCGAGTTCTTGCCCCAAGTGCACCCGCGTTAGAGAAACACACGAAACCTTCTCATGCGGTCGGGGTTGGAAGGTCGATAAAAGGGTGGACGAGGATGAGGAATTCATTCTTTTTTCAGGGTGGAATACTGTCGAGGACCACTTCGGTTTCGCGAAGACGGAAAGTTTCAAAGAATTTGGGAAAATACGAGAATTATTGACGGGCTCAGAAGTCAAGCATATGAAGGTGGAAAAGATGAAGTGATTTCGAGAATAGGCTCTCGATACCTGTTAGTATGGCACATCGTGCTCTGGATCCATGCATGTATGTAACGAACCGATGTTGTCGGAGTCACGTGCCCGATCACGTGACTACAATTGTCTGTTCCATCTGTACTATAGCAATCATGCGAGAGCTTACCTCACTTTCCTTTCTTCAGCTTTATTACTTTTCGTTAATACTACATGAGTATTATTTCATTCTGAGTCCTTATATGGTAATAAAGCTCTATACACCGTCTAAAGTCGTACAGATAGACATCGCCAGAACCCATGTCAACCATGACCCAACCCAACCAAACCCAGCCCATAATGGGTTTTGGGTCGAATATTATAACCCACATGGGAACCCACTGGGTCCCCATTTTAGTGTAAACAGGTCAAATATGCCAAGCCTTTAAATACTGTATGTATCAGAGCTGCTTTTAGGCCTTATTACTCTACACCGAGATAACAGGCTTGGGCAGAGAAGGACTGGAGCAAAAGTGGTTGGTGGAAGCCTATTCCGTGAAAGTCTGTTTCACTACGTAATTCTTGAACAGCAGGCAAAGAATATCATGCTACCTTATCGCCAAGGAATGGTCTATTCGAGTTCTCAATTTCCTTTATTCCAGCTAGGCACAGCACCCGGATAATCTTGTACTTTAGCCCGACTTATGTTGGAACATATCCTCCGTTCGCGCAGACCGTGCTTCCACTTACGCATCTCGACTGTTCTTCACACAAAAAGGCGACGATATCTGCGATATCTGATGGATTACCTATACGGTCACCCGTGGCTGTAGCGGTATGAATAGCCCTTTCTACCTCATCGTGTCCTGGAGTATTGTTCCACCTGGTTGCAATATTTGGTTAGTTGCACACGGAAACACTGAAAGAAACGACAGAGAGCGATTAAAGACTTACATGTCCGTTCTCACGGGTCCAGGGTTTACCGCATTAACGGTGGCTTCAAACTCTCGCCCTAGAGCACGATTTCCAAGTCAGTGTCTCGCTCTAATTTCGCTTTCGTTGGATATCGATCTCAAAATGATAAATGTAATTACCGAGCTCGAACGCTAACGCCCCGGTAATGTTTTCCAGTGCTGCTTTTGATGCAGCATACGTGATTGCTCCGGGATATGCTATATGTACTTATCAGCGAGGTCCATTCTCTTATTTGGTTTTGCGGAGGGTGCTGTAGCGGGGCTATGATCGCAACTTACGACGACGTGCTGATGTAGAGCTAATATTCACGATCCGAGCCTTCTTTCGCAGAAGTTGTCGGCTCTCTCTGACAAAGAGCAAAGGGAACAAGACGTTCGCGTGAAATAAATGGTCAAAGTTGTCTGTTGTCACCGCCGCCAAATTGATATCTGAACCGTCCGCCGCATTGTTTACAATGATATCAATGAAGCCGAAGATCTTATGAGCTTCGGCCACGATAAGATGAGCGGCTTCGGCGGAATTTGCGGAGTCAGCCTGGATAGCTGCGACTTTCGCTTCCTTTTGAGCAACGCTCTGGATCTCGGAGACAGCCTTGTCGGCTCTTGGTTTCGAAGACACATATGTAATGAGAACCGACGCTCCCCTGCGTGCCAACTCCTGCGCTATTGCGAGGCCAATCCCTAGGATTTATTTGTCAGTCGGAATGTTGCTCAAAATATATAGCATGTTCATATCTAGACAAAACGTGCAGCCTCTGAAGGTAGCGCGCCCCAAGACACATAAGACACATACCCCGGGAACCGCCGGTCACAATGGAATTTTTATTAACAAGCGAAAGTGTCATATCGGTTGTGGAATTTAGAGATGCGGAACAGCTGAAAAAGATGGTGCGTATCTGAGACAACTGTCAACGAAGCCTGACGACCGATGACAAACTATAGAAGTTATATACAGCAGAGGACAAGCCTCGGCTGTTGAAGTGCTATCTCCGGACATAGAGAAAGAAAGTTTACGAACGGGTGCGGAGGTAGGTTCCCCCGCCCTTCTGGCATTATGTCGATGGAGATGAGGTTGTACTCCCTCCATACTAGCATGATTGAACACATAACCTGAGCGGGCGGTGATCGGTAGTCGTTAGTCGGCAAGCGACAACTAGAAATACATTGGAGCTGTCCTAGAATCGGAGCTCACCGATACGCGATCCTAGTCCCAGAATACTACACTTATCCTTGGTGTGATGTGATTTCGCATTGATTTCCTTGAAATCCAGGCAAGCGCTTAAGCGCTTAGATTGGAGGGTCCACAGATGACGGGGTCCGCGGACGCCGGGTTCCACGTTAACTAACCAAACCCCGCAGGCTTGAATGTTCACAGTATTGCACAGTTTTTACAGTGCACTTGGGGTACCAACTTGCGTGAAAACCATTACAATACAGCTGTATGGAAAATGCTGGAATCACCATCCCCAAACCCATCGTTCGTTTCTTCAGCCACTAGACGTCGGCAACTAGCACCCAGCTACTAGTAAGAGGGCCAGTCAGTCTTAGCGAAGCTAGAGGCGCCACGGAGCTGATCCTTTATCGAAGACCAAGGGCTTTTTCCTAGTTTTGAATCATCTTACAATAATAATGAATTATAGTATTTTTCCATCGGACCTCATTAAGGGACAACCCTTACAGCCAGCCAAATCCGTAACCAAAGCGGAGGCCTGTTACATTATTAAATTAGTGAGAAATTCCTTACACTCGTAACAGCTTCTGAAAACAGAAATGGCTCCAAAAGCCGTATTTCGCATATCGCTATATCTTGCGGGGCTGCGTGTATAATGTCAGATGACTTAGGAGTCATCGCCTGTCTAGGTGATATGTATGCCAAGGGCGCCGGGGGTAAGGGTAAAGTTCAGCTCCATTGGAATTGGATGTCAGGTGCTTTTATCTAGTCTCTTATCTAGTCTCTTATATAGTCTCTTATCTAACCTCTTATCTACCCACAGTTTTCTCTTATCTTGTCCCAGGTCTCTTACCAAGCCTAGTTGCCAGTGATAGAATGACGTGTTTTGGCTGAAGTACAATCTCCCAGTGAATAAAGAAAGTACTAAACTGATATAAACGCCCTGACATTCCTTTAAATATTTCGAAGCAATCCGTTCGCTGCCACTTCATACGCGATCTTTGAAATTTCTGTCAACATGGTATCAAATAGCAGCAAACCAGATCTGAAATTGAGTCCTCGTGTTAAGGAGCTCTTGGACTTGGAATCCCGGTTCACGGTTGGCGGGTTTGATCCTATGCCTTATTTTTTCGAGAAAGGTCAAGGATCTCTGCTATGGGTGAGTTAGATAGGAGATGGAACGCTTGCAACCTTCAAATCTCAAAGCCTAACTCGGAAACAGGACGTCGATGGGAAAGAATACATTGATTTCATTAGCATGTTTAGTGCTGTTAATACTGGACACTGTCATCCCCACATCCAGGAGGCTCTTGCAGAGCAGTCAAAGAAAGGTATCCCCGGCGACTCGTAGGCAAGGAAGTTGCGGTTTAGCTGACCTTAGATGCTGCCAAAGTGACACTGATAAATCTATCATCTCATAATTCCATGTTTGGTCCTTTCGCTCAAAGAATTTGTGATCGATTTGAATACGACAAAGTCATCGCCATGACGTCCGGAACAGAAGCAGCGGACACAGCTTGCAAGATAGCTAGAAGCTGGGGTATCAATAAAAAGAAAATCCCGGCAAACGATTGTATCATTCTTGGAGTCGGGGGCTCCTATCATGGGCTCTCCTCGGGGGTCTGGAGCTTGATGAATTCAAATCCATTGAGGTCAACAAGTAAGTGAATTTATATTCCAATATATGAACAGTGTGTGCTAAAGTATGACTGGGAAAGAATATGGACTTGATAGCAAGGTTCAGATGAATATCAATCCCAGTACGGGGGAGCTTCTAGAATACCTTGACCTAGAGAAAATGAGATCTTGCCTCCAGGAGCATAAAGATAGGGTGGCAGCGGTCATCATGGAATGTATTCACGGATATAGCCGGTGGGATCTTCTCTGACGCTAATCTTATATTTATGCTGATATCAGAAATAGAGACATGAATGATGAGGTTCACTACGCCCGAGGTGTTTATGAGCTTTGCAAGTCTATGAATATCCTCTTCATCGCTGATGAAGTGCGGCAAGGAGCGGGAAAAACTGGGAAGTTTTTCAGCTTTCAACAGCTCGGTGATGATGTGAAACCTGACATCGTGACGATGGGAAAATCAATCACTGGGGGCTTTTATCCTCAGTCCTTTATAATGGGTATGAATACAGCCATGGCAGCCGTTGGACCATACGAGATGGCTAGCACCTACGGCTTCAGTCCATTGGCTATTGCAGCCGCAAACGCAACCATTGAAATTATTGATCGAGAAAATTTAATTGAGCGCGGTGTTCATTTAGGATATTTGTGGAGAAAAACTGTCGAATCCTGGCAACATCCACTTGTGGACTATGTTGCACAGATTGGCGCTGACTCCAACTTGATTCTTCGAGGAGTGCAGCCGTCGCGTGTAGCAGCCCTGTGCATGCATCGAGGTCTATTCGTATATCCTAAAGCGGACGGAATTCGGCTCAGTTTCGCCATGAACATGCCTGACGAGTTGCTTTTGAAAGGGGCAGCTATCCTGAAAAGCTGTTTGGATGATATAGACAAATATGGATCAATTGAGGGGGAAATGACCCGGTATAGGACAGTATAGTTCCTATAGGAACTACAATTTGCGACCGTCTAGATGCAGTTCACGAAACTGCCAAGATGAATAGAAAAATCTTTTCAAGGATATATTTCTGGAAATATCATAAGTATTGAAATAGCAATTGCATTTTTCCTTTGTTGACCCTTCACCCTGACCAGTCACAATAGAATGATTTGCGTCTTTACATAGCTCAAGATTGATGTTGAGCATAGATGGTGGATCTCACTTTTTCAACAGCCCCCTTTACTGTACCTCTATGTGCCTGCTGAGCTTTGATCGATCTATTCTGCTTCTCCATAGACTTGGAACTATTCTTCTAGATTCACTACCCGGCAGCGATCTCTTGGGCTATCTTTATCATTAGATGGCTGGATACGTCCAAGTCTAGATAACATGGGATCTCGAGCAAAAACGTCTGCTGCATAGATTGAACGGGCTGCCAGGTGACAGACCACACAGAAGGCTGGCAACCCCGAATAGTTTGGCTTCCTACACCTCCCGTAATTGAAATGGCCTTATGTCCTCCCACATAGACATGATTAGCATATGTTAGTGTGTGGTTTTTTGTCCTCATATACTGGATTTCTAGGCGGAGGGTTCTGGAATAAATCTCAAGAGTGATGAGGGGGCGACTTGCAGAGTTTTTAAAGACGTGAATGAATGATTTCGATCAACAGAAAGTTGAAATACACAGCCTGATTGATGGATTTCTTGAAAGATCTTATGTGACGCTATAGAAACATCATGATTAGTTAATTCCATATACTGACGCAACGTTTCGTAGATTCTCACTAGCCCATCAGTATTAGACCATCGGACTTTAGACGACCAAGTTGGTTGTAAAACTGCACATACAGTCTTTTCTGGATGCCTTGCATCTGCTGGTCAAATTCATCGTTTCCTAGTAGCTGACGAAGACTAACGATATGGAGAGCAAGAAACCCTTATTTAATATAACTTCGATTTTATTGCGTACTTCGCTTGACTTACTGATATAAAACTATTCTAAATGTCTGATGATACAACAAAAATTGCGGTCAGTGAATGCGGCAAATTCTAAACAGCGATGCCGATCCGCGCCACAATGGTCAACCGAGGAATGTCAGCCACTACCCAACTGGTATTGAAGTCTGTGTAGAGTTCTTTTTGTAGGAATCATCCCTGAGTGATCTTGAACATGAAGTTGAGTGATTGTGGGTAAGGTAAGGCCATAAGGATAGAAGGCAAGCAACAATAAGCCCAGTGTAGGAATTGAGTATACAGAAAATTTGAACATTTGTAATGCGAACCTTAGGGTATACTGATAAAATAACTAGGAGGTAAGCTAGACAGGTGCCGATGCTCAATATTACAACTCTAAAGGTAGTATACAAACCCAGTCTCTTCTTCCAGTTGACTCAGAGGTAATATAGAAAAAAGAAGAGCAAAATAAATATTAACAAGTCTATTGTGAAATATAGGGCTTAGATAATAACCTAGGTAATAAGAGAGCTCTGTACTCTACAAGAAGCCAGACGAAATCTAATCTCTATCAGGGTGATTATTCCCGTATCATTTTGAATGGTATAATACATACCTATTCATCTAGCTGCTAAGACAAACCAGAGCTATATATAATAGAGATATGATATATAAAAAAGCAGTACAAATAGTAAGTACCTAGAGTAACCAGGAGAATAAGCGCAAAATAGATAGGAAGATATTAAAAACCTTGGAAAGAATAAGAGAATAGCGGCTTTATTAAGATATTATATCAGTAAGAGTAGAAACTACACAACAAAAACTATCTAATAGATAATTTAGCCGCTAACCTTAGTGTTACGCGTTGCTAACTGGTCACGGTTAGTGGTTTAAACAGTTGGTGAACGTACCTTGTTCTTATCGAGTAGTATTGTGGATTGCTGAAAGACGGCTGGAACCGGCGTCGTTCAGGCACCACCACTAATAATCCTCAAGTATCGACTCGCAATCGTACTGTTGCTGTGCTAAGCCTTACACGGACTCGGATCCTGTTGAGTAACTTCGAAGGATGTGCCAGGTAGAGCGCCAAGTAGGTCAGTCCGAAGAGCTCCCCTACTTGTAGTATGTTTGTCACAAGAGATGAAACTGAATGAAGAACAATCCGAAGATTATACTGTAGTAACTTACTGAAAATTGATCGCGAAGAACTAAATACATATGCGTAAAGAGTGTCCTATATATATCCAGTCCTTTCTAGACATCGCCATAACCCATTTTGGGTTGAACATACCGACCCAAAACCCAACCCAACCCAAAACCCAGTGGGTTATAAATGGGTAAACCATTTCAACCCATCTCAACCTATTCTGTTATAATTTCTTCATATTTTTTATACACTGTATTCCAATACGAACTTTTATATCTTTTTTTTAGAAGGAATTAGATACTAAGATTTTATATATAGGTTTCTATAGTATTAATTATATATATATATTTAAATATAGAATAACAATAATATGAAAGAAAAAACTAAAATTACCTATATATAAGGCCTAAAAACAGCTCTGATACATACAGTATTTAAAGGCTTGGCATATTTGACCTGTTTACACTAAAAATAGGGAAGTGGGTTCCCATGTGGGTTTGGTTGGGTTGGGTCATGGTTGACATGGGTTCTGGCGATGTCTAAGAGTAACGAACCAATGTTATCGGAGTCATGTGCCCGATTACGTGACTATAATTGTCTGTTCTATCTGTACCATAACAATCGCGCGAGAGCTTATCTCTCTTTCCTTTCTTCAGCTTTATTACTTTTCGTCAATACTACATGAATATTATTTCATCCCGAGTCCTTACAATGAAAGCCAGATCTGACCAGCTCGTTTCTTAATGATGCATTCCTCCCCAGATTAATGTCTGGTAGCAGAATATCCTTCGATTTTCATGTAGAGTACTCGAAGTATCATGTGGCTAGAGTTCCATGTTGTAGTACAACTAACGGCATTGATGTACAAGAAATTGATATGGTTATTACAAGATGATCGTCATAGTTTCGTAAAGAAGGGCGCTCAAAAGAGAAAAATAGTGAGCAACAAGGGTAGGCGACAGGTGTAAATGCTCATGTCCAAGACTCCATCCCAAGCCGATCCAAGACCGAAAACCCCAAATCCGAAAAAAAGTATAGATGTTATGCAGAATCAAAGCACCTTCGGCTTCATCCATTCTCGCGTTCCGAGGCCTAAGTTGAGGCCATTCCGTTCCCACCAGCGGCGAACGCGCTCATCCGTGCCAGATACGGCATCCTCGAGAGCCTCCTCGATATCACAAGTCTTGAACTCGACCCGCAACCCGCAGTCCTTCCACCATTGTAGAACGTGATCATGGCCGTTCTTTGTTGGTCCGACAAGAACCTGGTTGTCGAATATCATTTTGGGTCCCTTTAACCGGTACCAGAAATCAAGAACATGGACATGGCCGTGGGTGCTAGCAATGCGGGCAACATTCTCAGCGTGGCTGTACGGGATCCCAGAGGCGTCCCACCAAGCTAAGGATTCGGTTCGTCCGGACTGTGCTGCTAGTAGGACGGATTTGCCAACTTTCAGAGGGACAGGGTTATATGGGGAAGATTGGGCTGAGGCTGTTTTCCACCAATCAAGAACCGCAACTTGACCCTCGGCGCTGGCAGATTCGAGAGCCCGTTCGCTATATCGCAAAGGAAGTCCAGAATCCAGCCACCAGTCCAAAACGTGAGTAAATCCTGCCCGTGAAGCTCCGTCCATCGCATCGGCCATGTACTCCTTATTTGGTAGAGCGGGAGCGTCACGCCACCACGTCAACACAGTCGGGTTGCCGTAAATCGCGGATGCTCGGTAGGGGATGTTGGTTGAGACGGGACGTTGTCCAGAGAAGATCGAGATGCTTTTCGGTGAGATAAGAGAGAATGTCGGTTCGAGAGAATTTCACAATGAGATGGCAAGCTAGATCGGATAGCGGCTTCCACCGCGGCAAAGCGTCTATACGCTTCGTAATGGCCGCGAACGAGCCGCGAAGGATAGTGTACTCGAGGGAAGCGGGTGTTGACATTTTTAACAAATGACTTTGCCATTCCTGAGGGACAGGAATATTTGTTGGGATGCCAACTGCCTTGGCGGTTTCCCAATCGCGTAATTGGTCTTCAAAAATGATGAGCCAAATCTCGAGGGGTAAAGATTGCACCTTTGCCTCTGGATTCGGCCAATGGGTTTGAAGGTGTCGGAGGGCAGAGGCAGTCTTATTATCGGACGTTTTGTTTGATGTCGCTGCTGATGACGATGACGTCTCTGTTCCACTTCCTGTGAGTGAATTCCCTCCACTGAGGGAAGCGCCCCATGGAGGCAGGCTTAAGCATGTTTCAAGCATATCGTGCAGGTCATTCAATCCATGCCATGGAAGTAGTGTCAAATCTTCGGGTCCGTTGGACTTCCACAATACAGGCTGCACGATGCGGATCCACGACCAGAATCGCTTAATCTCCTCCAACTGGCGAGTACTTAACGGGTGATCCCATTCTGATAACGTCATGCCTGGTATGAGAATGACAGGTTTTGAAGACACCCACCCCCGCAGAAGTGCCAAGGTCAAAGTGTTGGTCAACCCCGCTAGCATCGATCCCAGAGCGCCAGCGTCAATGGGAGCAACTAGTAGCATGTCTGCCCATTCGCAGAGTTCAGCCGTTTTCGCCTTGAGCCATTTCCGCGCCCCGGTCTTCTTATCAAAGGTTTGGCCATCCACCGAGTCCATGTAATGAGGGATTTTGTTGGTTCCGGTCAACAGCGCCGAGGGTTCGTCGGTGATTAAGCGCAATTCAATGTGGGAATTCTGAATAAGGGACGGGAGGACTGCATCGGCGAAGGCGCTGTCGGTTGAAAGGAGGAGTCGACGACGTCGTTGACGCGGTGGCGTTGCTTCGCGACATACTCGATATCCTTCTTTGTTCCCTATCACTGTTCCATCGCTGTCGCTCTCCACCTCCATAGCACCGATTCTCTCAGTTATCTGAGAGCCCGATGCTCAGGCTAGTCCTGTCACTGCCCTTGTACTCAATATGTTCGGTCGGGTTGGTGTCGAAAGATCGGAGCAGGGTTCGGCACCCGAGAGAGTAGAGCGATCGCCGTAGACCAAAATCGTGAAATTGAAGGAACGACGGATCGCAGATCTCGGTTGGCTCAAAGTAAAAAACGGTCGATATGAAAGAGAAAATGAGAGGCGCAGAACTCGAGAAAGTGAGTCGATCAGATGTCAATTGCCTCGGCGCCTTAAGTTCTTATCCGACAACTGCAAATCAGCCCCGGGGAGATGGGATGGTGATCAGGCAATCGAAACGGTGGGTACAAGGAGCCCTTAAGGAATCCACCAACCCTCCACTAGATTCAATCAGGTGTGACCTATGCAGTGTACTTTTTTTCGACTCTGAGCGGTGTAGATATTCTGTGCTGGCTGGAGGGGGAAGTGCGTCGCCACGTCTCGACACGGGAGAGCTGAACGGCAGCGGGTCGGGGCACAATCAGTCAAAGTCAAGAGGAGAAATCGAGCAGATCCGGAGGAGGTGCAGCAAGGCCTGGCCAACCAGAAGAGATAGAAATGCAGGTTTCACAAGATCGGGCGGCTACAGGCGGGGAGTTCAAGTTGTACGAGTAATAGCGCAGGAGCGGTCCCGGCAGGCGGTCAAGATGGTCACTATTGAACCACGATACTATGGAAGTATAGAAGATTTATTCAAGTCATCTTGGTTCCTATTTAGATTCATATCTATATACACTCAGATACACAATGATACAGATTTTATCCTTTTGTTTCCAATCTCTCGAAGACCCCTCAACGACGAGAAAGGTTATTATGCAGCTTGTGCTCGCGCATCGCGAGGCTAGCCAATGCCCCCAAGACCGTCAGGCCAAGCAGAGCTAGAAAGACACTACGTAGAGAAATCATGTAGATGTCAAGAGCTCTCGGAATCCAATCGGCAGGAAGCTTACGGATCTCATCGAGGCTGTCGCGAAGTCGAGCGATTCGCTCTGCTGCGTGCTTGAGGCCTCCAAAGCGGGACCACAGCCCAGCCTTCAGCGTGTTCTGGAACACGGCCGAGGCAATCGTAATGCCGATCGTGCTTCCAGTACTGCGGAAAGCGTATGACGCGGAGGTCACCACTGCATGGTGCTCGTGGTCCACAGCAGAGATCAGTGCCACCAGAGTGATGGTCAGAATACTGCCATACGCCGTCCCCATCATGAAGAAATAGACAAACGGTAACCATGCAGGCGTGGTCAATGTCAAAGTGCAGATCAGCCCACCTGAAGCCACCAACAGGGCCATGGCCAAATAATTCAGGATCATATACCGTCCCTTAGCACGCATGATGAAGCCACATGCAAGAGATCCAATGGAAGTGCCGATCGCCTGGGGGATCAAGCGCACCCCGGCCGCCGTAGCCGACATACCTTGCACCTGGCAGTAGAGAGGCAGGTAAAAGAGTAAACCAAAGACTGCCATAGTAGTGAACCAGTTTGTCAGACAGGCCGACGCGACCGTTCGGTCGAGCAGTAATCTAATGGGGATGATGGGCTCAGTTGCGACTCGGGCCTCAATATAAATGAAAAGGCCGAGGAATATCGCGGAGACCGGGAAAGAGATGAGAACCAACGGGTGTGTCCAGGGCAATTGATTGCCCCCGGTATTCAGACCCAGCAGTAAGGTCACCATCGTCAGAACAAGCGTAGTCGCGCCCAGGAAGTCGACACGTTTGATCCGAGATTTATCCGAATTCTTGACGGGAATGTTCACTTTCCACGCGACCAAAATGCCCGAAACGACTAGGAAAGGTACCTGAAGCAAAAAGGCCCAGCGCCAACCCAGTGTATCATTGATCCAGCCCCCAAAGACACCCCCCAATCCGCCTCCTGCGCCATAGCAAATGTTCCCAACACCCTGCCAGACCCCTCGTTTGCGGAGAGGGACCAAGTCAGAGGTGACAAAGGTTGAAATGACCAGCAGGCCACCGCCTCCCATACCTGCGACGACACGGCCAAGAATAATCGACCATTGTGCGTTTGCCAGGCCACAAATCAGGTTTCCAAGAGCGAAGAAGACATTGGAAACGACCAGCCCCCAGCGGCGCGAATAGATATCGGTCAACCGGCCGCTCAGAGGTTGACAAGCAGCGTTTGAAATAAGATAGGAGGTCGCTAGCCACGAGAGCAGTGAGAACGAGTTGAAGGAGGAAGAAATGGGGCCCGAGAGCGTCGCAACGATCGTCGTATCTGCCGAGTGGAATGGTTAGCCGTCCATGCATATTCTTGCATATCAAGGGGAGTCGAAAGTGGGGTATTTCAAGTTACCAAGAGCTGCGAGGAAGACTCCCACCCAGATACTGCCCAGAATCACGATCAATTCGCGAGTACTGGGCTCGTCAGCCACCGGTTCCTGACGATCGCCCGCTCCAATGATGGCGGGGTCATCGCGCAGTAATGGAGTCTGCTCCGATGGACTGAGCAAAGTCCCATTTGACCATTTAACTGTCATCTAGGAATTTTAATTTTCCGAGACTTCGCTTTTGCACTGTTGTCCTCCGGGGTTGGGGAGTGAGGGTGAGGGTGAGAGGGAGAGTTAGAGTGATAAGGTGAGGTGAAACTACCCGCGGGCAGATTTCCAAGCCGGAGAAAAGCCTCGCGGATTGCGGAGAAGCTGCGGAGCCCCGTTGACTCGGCACAACAAAACACATTGCCCATTAGGTATCAATCTATAGAATAAACCGTGAAGATTACATTTAAAGAACCCTTGGAGGCTCCATGCTACCCAATCCCAATATATATATATACATTGTTTACTATTTTCAATGCTCATGAGGGATAAGCTTTGCACAAGACGGAATACTGGTACTCGTAGTATGAACCATAGTTAACTAGATGACATTGGCAACTTGATCCTTGGAACATCAGGGTGTTTATTTACACATTTCACTCTTTTTTTAGTCCAAAATTCGAGCTGATACCCCGTCATCCAAATCATCCCGGCCAGTGACTTTAGTTATATCTAAACAACGTTGGAATAGATGGACCAGCAAATAATAGTGGGTCAGCGTCACACTGTTTAACTTAATACAGTGATACAAATAACTAGCCTGTGCGCTCGGACTGACTACCAAATTTAATTGGAAAAAACTTCTAGAGGACCGAAAACTTACAGTTTATTACTGTCAATACCTTTCTAGACAGGCACTAGCATTGGACCAAGTGTTTATCAAAGTAATAGGATCAACCAATAGTACACATTTGATTCTCATCTGCCTCGGCCATGTCTTCGCAGTATGACAAGCTTTGCAATTAGTGATTAGTATGATTTCAGGCCCCCCCATTGTACCCATTTCGAAATGAAGAGAAGCGGGGAAAGTGGTCTGACGCTTCGCGCTTACGTCTCTCAATTCATCGTCATCTTTTGCCGGGGGCCCCTGTTGTATTTTCTTTTTCTTTTTCTTCATTTCTAGATTTGCCTTACTTCCATTTTTTCTTGCCGCTTCCACCACGATGGCCACTCCCAATTTACCCCATGAAACCGACTATATTGTGGTTGGAGGTGGAACATCTGGATTAGTCGTTGCTTGTCGACTATCCGAGGACCCGAATATCAATGTCACTGTACTAGAGGCTGGCCCCGATGGGAGGCAAGATCCAAGAATTCAAAACCCTGATGCCTGGGAAAGTTTGTCTGACTCCGAATTGAATTCGAAAATCAATTTCATTCCTCAGGTATGCAATCCATCCCCATACACCCAGAAGAGAGTCAGACATATTGACATATCAGACTGGCCTTAACGACCGCGTTCAAGATCATCAGACCGGTAAAGTACTCGGGGGCTCATCGGCAATCAACGGGCTAGCATTTGTGCCTCCGTCTCCAGTGGGTATCGATGCTTGGGCAAAACTTGGAAATGATAAATGGACATGGGAATCCCTGCGTCCTTACCTCCAGAAATGCTATACCGTCACCGCACCGGAGGGACTACCCTCTTTCAATAAGCAGCAACACGATATAACCGCCGGCCCTATCCAATTAAGTTGCCCTATTGTCGAGGATAAGGTTGGAATGCGACTTACTCAAGCGTGGGACGATGCGTTCAGGTCCCAGGGATATGAGACCAATAATGCCGACCTTCTCGCCGAAGATACAACAACTGGGACCAGGCCATTGTTTTCTACCATCGATCCCAAAACCGGCAAGCGCAGTAGTGCCGACAGCCAGTATGGCACTGTGGCCGCATCTCGTCCGAATGTGAGAATTTGCACTGAGACCACAGTGCAAGAGATCTTATTTGATCATTCATCTCCGGATATATTGGCGACTGGCGCTCGCGTCGATTACAATGGAGAGATTATAACTATAAAGGCAAAGAAAGAAGTAATTTTGGCTGCCGGGGCTTTGTGTTCGCCCGTGATCTTAGAGCACTCCGGTATAGGTGACAGCAAGTGGTTGGACTACCTCGACATTCCAGTGAAGATCGACCAGCCTAACGTGGGACGGAATCTTCAAAATCACCTCATGCAAATAATACCTGTTCCTATCAAAGCCAAATCAGGAGTCGAAGGCGCCAATCTTGGATTCAAAGGGGTGGGATTCATGAGAGTCTCCTCAAATGAGCAAAATAAGCTTCTCGCTGCGTATGCCGAGACGGAGGACGCACCCAGCAAAATAATAAGATCGATTATCCAGCACCCCAACGAGGCCTCCGCCAGTGCCTTCTTCGCCCTCGCCTCTCCGGGGCTAGCCATTTTGGGCGTCATAAACAGTTACCCATTTTCACGAGGAAGTTTGCATGCGAGCTCCAATCGCTTTAAAGAGACACCTATTGCGGATGCGGCTTTCCTGAGGAACGAGCTTGATCTCGAATTATTAGCTCGAAACGTGCGGAATATGTACGACCTGATTGATACCCCGGCTCTCAGCCAATACCTCGAGTTAGGTGATGTACCTAAGGACATTGAGTCAATAAAGGCCAGCATTCGTGCAAACGCATTGACAACCCATCATATCTGTGGGACTCTCGCGATGCTGCCTCGCTCTGCTGGGGGTGTGGTGGATCAAGATCTGAAGGTTTATGGTACACAAAATCTACGCGTTGTTGATGCGAGCATTTTTCCTCTTACGCCTCATGCCAATCCCATGGCTACTGTCTATGCCGTGGCTGAGCGGGCGGCTGATTTGATTCGAGGAATTTGAATAATAACAAGCATCAACGGAAGCATAGACCCTACACACCAGAACTTGAATATCAAGATCTTGAACTTACCGTCATGCCCGGGTGTAATTTAAGTACATTTTCAAGAAGCTTATGTGAATGGAACCTCTAGGGCTTCTTAGTTTGCCTTAATCGGATAAAGTTCTCATACTACTGAGCTCCCTATTTTATTTTCATTTGAGTTTCGGTCTAAAAGTCCTGACACCTCACCATACTTTTGTTGTGATCGCCATCCCGTCTAGCCCCTTTGGAGCGACAGGAATGTGAACATCAACGAGCAAGCCAGTCCACAGCTTGGCATGTATGTAGGGGTCAAACTCGACATTAAATCTCGAGACTCCGCAACGCGTTTCAATTTTTGAAAGATTTTGCCGATCGCATCAACGAAGCTCAGAGGGCTATTATCTAGCACGACATGGCGCCTAGCAAGATGTTACTTCCCGCGATTCTAGAGCTTGTGGCCTTGACACAGGCAGCCCAGGTCAACTTCGCCTTGGATCTTACATGGGAGAAGGGTGCGCCCAATGGCGTCAAGCGCGACATGATTTTTGTGAATGATGCTTTTCCCGGGCCGTCGTTGATCATGGACCAGGGCGATGTAGTCACTGTGAGTTCCAACCAAACCTCAAATTGTTAGGTTGCTAATCGCAGAAGATCGATGTAACCAATCATCTACCGTTCAACACATCTTTACATTTCCATGGAATTGAGTAAGAAATCATTTGTCATACTTTAAAACTAAAGTTGGCTAATTCGAGGTTCTAGACAGAAAGGAACACCCTGGGCCGATGGAGTATCTGGGTTATCGCAGTGGGCTATACAACCCGGCCAAACATACAGGTACCAGTGGACAGCTACGCAGAAGGGAACTTATTGGTACCATTCCCACGACAAAGATCGAATAATGGATGGATTATATGGGGCAATTCAAGTTCTGTGAGGCAGATCCAAACTTCGCTTTAACTCCCCTTCTTCCTTCTAACATTATCCCTAGACCACCAGCTGATAACGATTCGCCCTTTGCCATGATCTCTGATGATCCCGATGATATTGAGGCCATGAAGCTTGCAGAGCAAAATGCCAACCTGGTGGTTCTCTCCGACTGGGACCATCTCACTTCAGATGCATACATGCAGGCTGTAATGGAGACTGGATACGATATCTTGTGAGGATCTCTTCCTCACACGATCATACTAGATTACTAACTTTAAATTCTGCAAGTTGCTCCGATAGCGTGCTTATCAATGGTGGAGGATCAGTTTATTGCAAAGACCCAGAAGAACTTACTGCCCTGCAGCCGCCACAGGTTCGTGCAGTTGTAACCGAACCATTGACTGACAAAGGGTAAGTGATCAAAATGAATTTGGTGAATGTTGCTAATTATATTACAAAGATGCGATCCTTTCATGGCCACTCTACAAGGGGACTGGGATCATCATCCCGAAAAACTTCCTGGGGGGTTGAACTCCGGATGTATCCCAAGCCAAGGCACGAATTCTACTATCCAGGTAAATGCGGACAAAAAATGGGCAAGCTTCAACTTTATCAGCGCCGCCAGCCTCAAATCTCTCACAGTATCGATTGATGAGCACCCGATGTACATATACGAGGTTGATGGCCATTATATCGAGCCTCAGCTGGCTCATCAGGTTCCGATTTACAACGGCGAACGATACTCAGCTATGGTCAGACTCGATCAACAGCCCGCAAATTATACAATGAGAGTTGCTGGGAATGGAAACCAGGTAATTTCTGGATTTGCAGTTCTCGGCTATGAGGGTGGCGAGCAAACCACATATGAGTCGGTACCTTACATCGACTATGGCGGGATGAACACAACGGCCTCTGTGATCCCACTCAATACCAACAACCTTCCACCATATCCACCAATATTGCCAGCGGATGATGCCAATGACTTCCATCTTCTCTCACTTGGACGCCTCAATTCGTCCTGGAAGTGGACGTTAGACGGGACCACATTTCTCCCTGCAAATCTCGCTGCAATGGAGCCCGCTATACTGGACCCAAATGCAGCAGGTCTGGAATCAGCTTTGAAAATAGAGACCATGAATAACACTTGGGTGGACATTGTATTCCAACTCGTGATTCCAGAGCCAACGAAGTTACAGCCTCCCCATCCCATACACAAACATTCCAACAAAGCGTTTCAGATGGGGGCCGACCGGGGAAAGTTTACATGGAACTCCCTTGCAGAGGCTTCCAAAGAATCTCCGCAAAGCTTCCTTGAAAAGCCCATTTACCGTGATACATTTGTGACTTCTCCAGCCGGAGAAGCCTGGATCGCCATTCGTTATCATGTTGAAAACCCCGGTGCATTCCTTCTGCATTGTCACATGGAGACGCATTTGTCTTCCGGAATGGGGTTGGTACTATTGGACGGTATTGATGCTTGGCCAGAAGCTGGCCCCATAGAAGCTTACTAGTTTCGATGAGGTATAATGGAACCATGGAATCAATGTGTAATAACGTCGATAACAGTTGGGAGGTGTGTCATTGTGCATTTGTTGCTTCGTAATTGACCAATGAAAACGATTTGTGGGCATGCGACATTACAAATGTACATTTCCTACATTCTCAGGATTTAATACTTAGGAGCGATTTTATTTCAAAACTCTGAACACGAATTTATATTTTCAAGTCTTTCAAACAAGGATATACTCATACTATCTGATACCCAATATGAATTCAACTCCGTCTGCCGTTGAGCTCACGCAAACCTTCCACCATTCTACTTCCACCCACGCCTACGAGATTCAGTGGACCTCATTAGGTGATCCTAATTCCCCCCCTCTTGTCTTCGTACATGGTACACCCTGGTCATCTCGAGTTTGGACGACGTATGCCCAAACTCTTTGCAAATACTTCCACATCTATCTCTTCGACAATCCGGGGTTCGGCGATAGCCCTCTTGGAAGTCCACTGTCAGAGACAGAGAATAGAATCAGCACCAAAGTGAGCCTTGATGCAGATCTAGCCAGACAGTCGGAAGTGTTTGCCGCACTGTTTAAATTTTGGGCACAAACTTGGCAACAAAATCCTCATGTTATTGCTCATGACCATGGAGGCCTGATGTGTCTCCGGGCACATATAATCCACCACTGTGATTATGCAAGCCTATGCTTGATAAATGTCGTTGCAATTGGTCCGTTTGGCCAACCTCTGTTCAAGCTGATCGCTGAGAATGAGGTTGTCTTCAATGCGTTGACTGGTCCGGTATTCGAGGGTGTGGTCGAAGCATACATTCGGGATGCGGCATATAGAGAAATTGGAAAGGATACCATGGAGATGCTGAAGAGACCGTGGCTTTTGAATGCAGATGGACGAGAGGGCTTCATTAGGCAGATGGTGCAGGCCAATAGCCGTAACACAGAAGAGGTAGAGCATAAATACCCCGAGGTGGGGAAAAGAATGCCAGTGCAAATAATATGGGGGACGGAGGACAGATGGATTCCAATGGAAACAGCTGCACGACTGAAAGAAAAACTCAATGCTCGCGATGTGGTATTAATTGAGGATGCGGGACATCTTGTTATGTATGATCAAGAAGGGAAACTGGGGCTGGAGCTGGGGTGGTGGTTGAGTCATGTCACGGCGAGAAAGACCATTTGATGAACTTGAACTAATTCCTCATCTGTAAAGCTTTTTCGAATTTGATCATTCTCTAGTCTGCTGCACAATTAAAAAATCACCAAATTTTATACTTCCGATCGAAGGTCACGTGCCGATCGATTCCAAATCGGGCTGCTCCTCATTACGCCCTGAATCCAAGAAAGGCTAATCTTTGAGTCCTTTGTCATTCCTTTGAATTCGTATGCTTCTTCAATGTCAGACTCAAAGCCAAAGCTACTTGGATTTGCATGCCAACAATGCCGCGCCTCCAAACGCCGAGTGAGTACCTTCCCACTTGATATCTCCAATCGCCCGTATCAGTTTCCGAACCAGACTAACGTCAATCGCTGTTTAGTGCGACGGGGTCGAGCCCCAATGTTCATATTGCAAAAAGACGGATAAGACCTGTGTATATGTGAAGGAACCCAAACCACGCAAGTCAGCTCGACCCTTTTCCTTATCGATTTGGCCATGAGCTAATAACTCACAGGCGAAAGTACTGGGACGAGACATACGTGAAGTCCCTTGAAAATCAGGTTGAAGCATTATTAGCACTTCAGACTCAGAGCAGCATCACTTCAAAGCATGACACCTCCGATCTACCAAAATTTGACGCTGATCGTTCAAACTATACACATTCTGTTCATCAGCGGGAGCGCCCCTCTTATGAACGACAAGCTCAAGGTGGTGGAGGATCTAGCCAATCTCTCCAATCAATGGAGGAGCTGAGTGTCATGATGTGGCGTACGAATCTTGCAGATGGAGTTACCATTAACTCTGAGCCCGGCTCCAAATCTACCGATACTGCTGCAATTCGAAATCATCGTGCCCCGCGAATCAACACACCCCGTCATATCTCATATTATGGCCAGGATCCGGGTCGAATCAACGTACTTGCAAATCTCTTTCTAGATTGCATTAATGGGGAACATCAGTTCACACAATACGAAACATCTGCGGCGTTTTCTACATTCCCAGACCATCCACCCGATCTTCTTTTCCTTCATGCCGCTATGCTAGCAGCAGGCGCAACCTTCGAAAGCCAGTCCGATTCATCGGAACTTAGTGATGACTTTGCGGAGCTGAGCGAGAGTCTGATTTTCACATGTTTCAGACATGCACCCTCCATCTGCGTCATCCAAGGGCTCTGCATTTTATCATGGCGGTCCCTTGCTTCAGGGCAAGACCACCTCGGCTGGACTTTTCTGTCAATGGCAGCTGGGATGGCTGTCCATTTGCGCCTTCATGTGCTCGCACTGGATGAGATCGCTGCTCAATCTGTCAAGCCGCCACTTGAAACCGTTCAAACATTTTGGTCATTTTATATGACAGATCGCACGTCGATTTCAATTTTGGGTAGGAATTGCATCCTGCCTTGGCGTCGGGTTAATGTCCCTGCCATCGAGACGTATTTCCATGATGGAAAGTGCGATATAGCCCAAATTTCATTCGCTTGGCAATGCAAACTATGGTATATGCATGATCAGAATATGGATCAAATGTGTGTCTGCTTATAAATTAGATGAATCTATGAATCATTGGCTAACATTTTGCAACAGATTCTCGTCCTCTTTCGAGACGCAAAGTGTTTCGGATCAAGTTCGCATGCTCATTTCGACTCATGAGGATTTATGTCGCTTTTTCAAATCGCGCGACAAGCGACTCGAAGTCACTCGAGGAATACCGCCAAAACCCGCACTTCTTTTCCATATGGCCTATCATATGGCCATCTTGATCACCATGCCACCATTCCTTAGACTATTCGCATCGTTAAAGACCGAGCAGAATAAAATATCTCAGGCGATGTCACTTGTACTGCGGTCTATCACGTCTGCTGCTGCTTCGATGATTCGACTCGTCCAGCGATACTGCAAGTCCTACGGATTTAAACATGCCAACCCACTTCTAATCCACCACATTCTCAGTGCATCTATAGTGCATCTGATGAATACAACCGCGACCTCTTCATCATTTCGGGGACACAGTACTCGCTTAGTGAGGAACTGTCTGAGTCTCTTACGCGGACTTAGTCCATACTGGCCCTTACGCTCTCAAAAGAGCATCGACACTATCAAAGCTCTTGCGAGGCGGTGGAATGTGGGCTTCATTATTTTGGGTAATGATGGAGGCAATCAAACTAAGGACTCATCGGCTTGTCAAGTGCAAAATGAATTCAAACCACTCAATCCCGAGGTGACATCTGTTACGTGTACCAATCTGGATCCAGCAATATCCGTCGCGGCTTACGAAGGTCTAGGTGGGCATTTCGATGCCTCATATGCTGTCGAACCGATTGGAGAATTTTTTGCAAGTGATGAGCAACATAGTTTTGATATTTCTATGGTGAATATGCCAATATCGGTCGATGATGAACTTTTTGGCTTGTCACAATTTTTCCAGACTTTCGAGAACTACCCAGATTTACTGTGACACCAATTGGAGCTGAATTATGATAGTCCTGATTCAAAAGAACTTTGGCGTATGGGAATTCGCTATCTAAAAATGAGTCACTTTTCATCACTGAGATCATGGTTAACTCTTTCCGTTGGTTCGCTCTCTTCCTCGCAAATCATTTTCTTCACCCGGGTGCAGACGTTCAGTGACATGAGATCTGGGCGGCTATAGTGACCAGTTGGATCCGCAAACAATTTGGTGGCCACAATTAGGTCCATGGCCAGATCTGCATAGATAATCTTCTCGGTGGTGCTTTCAACTGGCTCGGTAAGCCTTCTTCCATCAGGGCCGAATACAGCAGAGCTTCCTCCTCCAGGTGAAGACATGAGCATGCCACTGCTGGTTCTCATTTGCTCGATGCCGCCTTGCCCAAGAACTGCGGTGCAATGAAGGACGAAACTCTGCGACTCTATGGCATATGTCTGGGACAAACTGTGACAACCTGTGATGGAGATTAGCAACTACTTCATACACTGCAGAGACCAACCAACCTTCTGCCGACATGGACCACAGATCCTGTCCTCCGGTATGCGGGAACACATTTGGCCACGCTGAAATATGAATATCCTCTTGCTGAGCAAGCGTGTGGTATTTTAGCAGTGGCTGGATATGCTCCCAGCAGGACAAGGCGCCAACTCGAGCAAAAGTAAGGTCTGCAACACTTGAGAAGCATTCACCCGAGGCATCGCCAAAGATGGTACGCTCCATGTGTGTAGGCTTTATCTTTCGACGGTGGAATTTGATTTCTCCATCAGTGTCAATCATCACCTGGGCAATGTACAGAGTGTCATTGTGATTCTCTGCAAATCCCAGAGATACCGCAATTTCATTCGCCTTGGCACAATCCTGGATTTGCTTCATCTCCGGGGAGTCCAGACGGAGAGAGTTCTTTACATAGGCGACATTCAGCTCAATGTCAAGCAATCGTGACCTGTGAAGAATGATGTGATATCAGAAGAAATGTGCTTTATTTCATTCTCCCCTACTCAAGCACCTACTCGCACTCACCAAATCCAGCAAGGGTAGCCAGGTATCCAGCATTCAGGAAATGCGATCAGCTTTGCATCATTCTTTGCAGCCTCCGCAATCAGGTCACACGTCTTTGTCACGCCCGCAGCGAGATCTAACCAGGCAGGCTCGGCCTGGGTGACCGCAACACGGACATTGCTTTCGGGCATGATGGCTTGGTACAGGTGATATGAGTTCAATTTATTCAGCGAAAGATACAGTGTGCTGATTGAGACAGCAAAGAGAGGGCTCTCATCTATTTATGCGTGTCGATGTGTCCACTTCTACCCCGCCCTTCAAGGCTGGCTTCAGGTGAAATTCACCCAATCCACCAGGTGCCTGGGCTGGTATGATGCGAAGGTAAAGATTCCGCACTTTGTTACGGTTTATCTTGGCTTTCAGATAGTTTACTACTATCTTCCAGTCGAATCCGCGATAACAATTTCGTTAAGGTTTCCAATGTTTGGTTGTTACAATGAGCGTGGTACCAATGGTCTAAGTCAGTACTTGCGGAAGCATAACCCCCGCAGCGATCGCAAAACAAGAAAATCTCCTGGTATCGAATCAGCATGCTTTGATATCTCACCACGGGGTTCGTTTTCATGATAGTTAATCTGCTATCTGTAAATTGGCATGTCTTTAGTCATGAGGTATGTGAGGTGCGGAACGGAAATTTCCGCAAATCGTTTCGTTGATTGCACGATGCTTGCAGGCTGCCCAGTTGGGACTTATACAGCGCTCATGGAGCGCTGTATAAGTCCCAACTGGGCATTTTGGAGCGCCGTAGACTTAAATACCCAGAGTACCCACTCCGCTTTTACACCATATGTTGATAGAGTCTAACATCTTTCCTCGTTCAAGGTTTTTACCTCAGAGGTGAACAAGACTGCACATTTTAGCCTCCCTGTATCCCTCTGATCAAACACCGACTTTGACTACACGCGATGTCAGCGGTGAAATTATCTTCAGAAGAACCCTTTGTCTACTCAATTTTTGGGCTTCAGTTGTCTGACGGCGAGGAAAGCCCGGAGAAGCGGTTCCTTAAAGGGGAGTTCCATGGCCTGATTGCACCTCACGCAACCCATCTCGATCTATTTCTTCAAGACCATGATGGATGTGCTGCAGCTAGAGAGGGGAAGACCTTGATATGGCTCGGTTATTGGAAGTCTCGCACTTCCTACCTAGCTTGGTGGGGTAGTGAAAAGGTTTCAAATTTCTGGGACAGCCTGCCAGTTTCTGCTGGCATGTGGAGAGAGATTATGTCTCCAGATTCATCCAGAACACAATATATGACAAACAAGAGCGAGCCTGTTGGACTAGGCCACCTTGGAACTGAAATTTCAGTTGGGAATAAGACTGGATACTGGGGCTGCTATCGGCATAGAATGGCTGCCCATTCAAAGGATAACTTCGCCTCGCCGATCGAACGGGACCTCGAAGCCTTTCAACCCATACCAGACTCTCTCGACGGGGATCGACCTGGACGCATCTTGATGACCAAATTTCCGGATAATATCTGTTTTGTGGTTGAGGGCCAAGACCATTCAAATATCACCGCGGAAGAAAAAGAATACTGGAATGACAATTTCGATTCATCTGTCACCCAATGGATGAAAGACCTCTTTTCTGCTGGTCCTGACTCTGGGATTTTGGGTTCCCGGATGTGCTATGCACCGGAAACTGGTGTCTATAGAGTTTCTACGCCTAAAGCTCTCAACTACAACAAAAAGGCTCAATTCTTTTACTTCAAAGACCTGCAGCATATGGAGCAAATTGGGCGGACCAATAAGGGACATGCGGCATTGCGCAGTCGTTTCATGCGGGCATATGGCCCCAAGGGTGCCATGGAGTCAGGCAAGCTCGGGCTGTGGGTGGAAACAGCTGTTTTGAAAAACGGAGAGATTGAATGCGAATACGTGGGTTGTGAAAAGGGGACGGGATGGATGGCACTGGCAGGTCACCAAGAATTTTGGTGAGAAGACCTAGTAAATATTACTATTTCAATATTCAAAACGACGTTAGTATTTATAATAAAACTGATTGTTGATGCCTCTGATGCCTCAGGCATGAACATCGCCTGTTGTCTCCCTTTTTCTCTACGCGTCCACCAACCTCCTTTCCATGCAACCTCCTCTCATCCGATCAGCACCTATTCTCATTTAAACCGTTACCCCATCGTCCAGAGCCTTGCAGGTTGTCACCCATCCCCAGGAGTTTGTCACATTCCACTCCCATGTCTCACTCGCTCCGAAGGGAGTCCCCGTTGTTGCGGATGCATCACGCAGAAGAACACAGTCGTATCCCTTGCTACATGCATCCATCAATGTTCCACCAACACACTGATCTGTGTTAACGCCAGCAAAGAGCAGAGTCGTAATTCCATTTTTCTCTAGAAAAATTTCCAGGTCTGTGTTTGAGAGGCAAAGTCCAGATGTGCGATTCTTGTGGATGAGGACGTCGGGCTTCGAAGTCACTGACGAAGGGTTGTCAGAACTGTTCGTCTGGTACTTCTTCTCCAGAGGTCCATAAATGGCAGCATTCCACGACCCCCTCATCAGCACTCTCCCGCCTTCGACTTGGCATTCATTCCCAAGGTCCACAGGGCCAATATCTGCCCCAAGGCCCTTGTACAGCTCACGGTTCTTGGTTCTAATCATGCCCGGCTTGGATGGCACAGCCTTGCTCATGTCGCTGCGTGACGAGTCATATGGCCCAAATGCGCGCATCACTGCAGGTGGCATTTTCATCAAATCCTCCTCGGTAAGGCCCCAATTGAGCCAGACAATACGAATGCCACGGCTTCGCGCGGCTTGAATTCCAATGCCAAGTAATGCCTCCGCAGCCCCCTCGGCGGGCGTAGGCTCTTGCGGCTTAGCTCGAGGGCGAACGGCAGGCGACAAAAAGAAATTCTGCATGTCGACAATGATCATTACGCTCGTATCGGGGTTCAACCGAATAGGACCGGTTGTGGTCTCGACTGTGAGCCGTTTGCCCAGCCCAGCCCCTCGCGAAAGATCGACAAGCCCCGTCTCCTCATCGTAAGTCCAAAAGTTGGACGGATCGTTGCCAATTCGTTCAATCATCGCAGTCTTTTGATTTCGATTCTGGGGTGGGATACTTGCTGGGGAGAAAATTTGCGGGGTCACTATCGATGCTAAATGCGCAAACCCGATTGCCGAGGGATTAAGCAGGGCCGAACAAGAAAAGCTATTCCCTGCCAACTATTTCGACTGACGAAAATTCTCAATTTAGCAGGAAATGCCAGTTCCACTTGGATATTTTTATGAAACTCAATCATTCGTATCTCTGAAAGCCCCTCCGCATGCTAATATGCATATGTACCTATGAATACATGCATTTCGGACCCTGGGTTCGCCCCACCCTATTTCCCACAACACACTGGCAGCCTAGTAATTTAAGCCCAAAGTCCTCGTTCACTATCGTAGGTCGTAATTGATTTGAATTTTCTTTTGAACTCATTACTATATCGAAATTACATCGATGATTGTAGCTCACTTTCATTATATTCTCATTAAGGGTTTCCTCAACTTGATTCCTAGCTCATTATCAATGCGAACGCGAGGCTCAATTTCTACAGTGGCATTGCGAAAGTTTGAAACCTCCTATTGCCCACCCTTATCAACCACCTTCGAATGGAAGACTAGTAGCTACCTAAGATGGAGTAAACTGGCCAATCTATTCCATCTTGGGTAGCTACTTGTTCGCGATTAGAAGGCGAAGACGAAAGGGCTTTCAAACTTTTGCAACACCACTGTAATTTAGGGGTGCCTAACGTTATCAAGATATCCCACCGAATGCCAAGCTGACCGGAGAAGTATAGATTCACTTCAGTGGCTTATTTTTTAGGTAGTAATCCTCCGGCATATACGAACGCCTTGCTGATAACCCTATTTACGAGTGTCCGTTACCAAGACCGAAACACTCAAGGCTAGCTTGTCCAAAGTAATTAAACGGGGAACTTAGGAAGGGCACAATTTGCTTTCGAAAGCATTCCGCTCGGGTCTTGATTGGTGGATCACGAAAGGTGCAAGAAAGGCGTCTAGCCTCCGGGAGTAGTATCCTATTTCCATTCGATATAACCTTGAAAAGATATCATTATCCGCTACTGGATTATGCTACCTCAGTGTCGCATTCGACGTATCGAAACTTCTTGGCAGAGATAAATTGACTGGGAAATGCCGGCCGTTTTCGTATAAGATCTTGGTATGGCTGAAGCCTCGTATAAACACGAAGAGCCAAGGCGAGATGTAAAGAAAAACATTGGAAATATTAGAAAGTCACACTATAAAAGCCTCCATCCACCCTCAGTTTGATCTATATCATCTTCGAGTACTCAATCCAGATATCAGGATAATTCAAGAATCATTCAAAATGAAGTTTTCTGCCCTCGCCATTGCTGCTTTGCTTCCCGCCCTCGCTTTGACTCAAGAGGCCCCGACCAACCTTCCCGATGCTCCTGTTGTGGAGAGCCGCAATCTAGAGAAGCGTGCTGTATCCGGCAAGGTTCTGGTAGATGGGCTTCGCTACCGGACTTGCCCAAAGAGGACTTGTACTGCCGTTGGCCAGTACGCCAAGGGAACAAAGATCTCGATCAAATGCTTGACCCGAATTGGCACTACCGTTGAGAATGGTGACCCGTATGTATCGCCTCGTCTTATTAATACCAGGATAAACTGACGGTGAATATACTTAGTGGTTGGGCCAAGCTCACCAATGGTAACTGGGTTGCTATGGGCTATGGAAAGTACATCACTTGGTCTTGTAAGTCTCGCATACCGAAACCTGCCCGTTCTTATCTTCCAACATTAAATCTAACATTTTCCTCGTCCTAGCTACTATTTATGGTTGCACGTAGATATCGATATTTAGTCAGATCTGAGGCTTCCGGATGCTTTGGCAAATACGCGTTTAGTAAGATACTTTACGTGCTCGGAGAGAACTCGAGGATCGAACGAGATATATCTTACTACTGGTATTACAATGAAAACACATTTTTTTTATTGATGATTGGGCCAATCATATTTCAAGTTAGCATCAAAATTACCGATACCATTATGTACTCTGTTTCGGACCATACAAGTCGCCTGGAAGGATCAAAAACGGAGGATTTATTGCACTGGCAAGAAAAAAGGGTATAAGTCCTCCAAGCCAACAATAGACAGATATACGCTGAATTCTTGAACCCCGTTATTTCCGACTGCTACATTGTATGTTCAATGTTTAATTTTTCACGAGAGATTATCTGTAAGGTTGATGCGTGGCGCGCGTCAAGCCTCGGAACTCAATGTATTTGGCGTCACGGCTTTGTTTACATACGAGAGATACACTCCATCTCTGATTAATACATACTCATGCATTGGCTCTCTGATTATCCTCCGATTTGCCTAGGCTCCCCTGAGCCGCGGATGGCGAAATGCCGACTTTCGTAGCCAGGCACCATCGCCCCCGCACTTGTGGAGTCCCCGGATTCCTCAAAGTGCAGCCATCGGGGAAATTGGAGGATGCCTAGCTCATTTCCCCTTCTGCCACTTGACCTGGAGGTCCCACATGATCTTGGGAAAAGCATTAAGCCACTTCCTCATCTCGGTCCACACCATTCTCTCTGACTCCTGTCATTCGTCTTGTGCTGGTTTCAACTCCACCGTCGCCGGCTCATCCTCGGTGTTTTGCTGATTTGGGCTGAGATCGACGCTTGAGACGACCGGGAGATGATCCTTCGGCCAATGCCGACTCTCGGCTTCGATGGATCCCGCGAATGTCGTCAAAGGGGTGATGAAAGTCTGAAACATGCCAGGTACATATATGTCCCGCGAGCGCATTTACCATCGTCAATTTGCCCGCCTATTCAAGTTCCGAGGCCTTCTAATATCTACGTCAATTTCAATATCTAGAGCGGTTTAATTGCTCTCTGGCGTAATTCGTCATGACTCGATTCAGCGCGATTCTCCCCTTCGCTCTGGGCTCGCTGGCTCTTGCCAGTCAGGATGCTTTCCAGTCCAAATGCAATCAATTCGCGAAGAAGATCGATCTCCCCAATGTCAAGGTCAATTTTGCCGAATACGTGCAGGCTGGTACCAACCTGTCTCTGCCAGATAATGCACCCAGCTGCGGTGCATCCTCACAGTCTGTCTCGGTGGATCTTTGCCGTGTCGCAATGGCCGTGTCTACCTCCAACAGTAGTGAAATCACGTTGGAAGCTTGGTTCCCACGAGAGTACAAGGGCCGCTTTCTGAGCACTGGCAATGGTGGTCTGTCTGGATGTGAGTGAAAGATGCAGCTGCAACAACATAAGCTATTTTTTGTCAATTGCGTTAACAGTTTCTTAGGCATTCAATATTACGACCTGGCATATACTGCCCAACTAGGCTTTGCTACAGTTGGAGCCAACAATGGACACAATGGAACATCAGGCGAACCATTCTACAAGCACCCTGAGGTCATTGAAGATTTTGCCTATCGCTCTATCCACACTGGAGTTGTGGTCGGCAAAGAGCTCACCAAGAAGTTCTACGACAATGGCTACGATAAGAGTTATTACCTCGGATGCTCTACAGGTGGTCGGCAGGGGTGGAAGTCAGTACAGAAGTACCCCAATGACTTTGATGGTGTCGTCGCAGGCGCTCCTGCCATAAACTTCATTGGATTGCTTTCATGGAGTGCACACTTTTATCCTATCACGGGACCCCCTTCTTCCAAGACATACCTCACAGCTGCCGAATGGAATATTGCCCACGAAGAGATCATTCGTCAATGTGATGCTATTGATGGAGCCAAGGACGGCATCATCGAAGACACGGATATGTGCCACCCTATTTTGGAGACTCTTATCTGCAAGTCCAATGCCAAGAGCAAAGCAAACTGTCTCTCCCCGGAGCAGGTCAACACCGTTCAACAAATTCTATCGCCTGTCTATGGGATTAATGGAACTTTGATCTACCCACGTATGCAGCCTGGC